CCTGCAGCGTGCTCGCCCGAACCCTAAAGCGGTGGCGATCTGGGCGGGCCGCCTTATTCAGCCGGCGTCTGGCGATCGACAGTGCACGGACAGCTCGAGAGTGGCGTGCGATCAGCCAGCACTGAGCGCGGAGAATGGCCGCGCGGCCGGCGGGGCGGCCCACGGCCGCGCCCACCGGCACGGACACGGCCACAGCGGACTCGGCCGGCTACTGCTGCCGCCCAGACGGATAGTACACTGCAGCCGCTCAGATTACTGATGCATTCAAAGTAGACCTGCTGTGGACACAGATCGGCATAGGATGGGTGCTGCTACCGACACATCTAGCTACTGCCGCCATTACCGTCAAAACTTTTACTGCCCAAACAGGTTGAATACCACCACTCCCATCACATCTATTATACTGCTTGTTATATACTTAATCACTGGTGATTTAGCATGATATCCATGCAACTCGACTGTAGGGCCTGGTCTGTGGTCAGCCTGGACCACACGACCAGCCCAGTCAGCAGACGGGTGGGGCCGGGGAGCCGGGCCCGCGCGCGGGGCGCACCTGTTGGGGTTCCTTCGGCCCAGCGGAAACATCTCTGTCGACCGCCGCGGGTCGGGACGGGCCGCTGGCCTTTGTGGCCCGGCAGATTTATTGTCGGCCGGCGGCGACGACGGTCCCGTTCTGTAATGATTGTCGGTCCGCGTTCGGCCGGCGCAGCCACCGAGGGCTGTAAAATCGGCTCGGCTCGGTCCGACCGCAAATACCACCGACCACCGGCCCCTGACCGCTGTCCGATGACCACCGAAACGATCCCCAATGGTCAGGGATTGTGACATCGAGCACGGGTTAGCTGTAGATCGTAACATCGAGCCTAATCGTCTACTGACCGCGACAGCCCTTACTATTGTCTCCATAGACTGCGACGCCAAGTTAGTCAATAGCCGGCGACTGCGACGGAGAACAGGAAGACAACTGGCGACTGCAGCGCCGAACAAACGAGTAACACCAGCTGTTGTGCGGCGCCGCGGGACGGCAAGGGCCGTGAAATGAGCTGAGAACACGGCGCGTCCGGCCACCGCTGGGCACAGCGGCCGCCCAGCACGAGCTGACAAATCAGTGACGGGGGGTGGCGACGGCCGCGGCCGGCGCTCCCCGCCTCTCCCTCCCTCCCGCTGACCGGACCGGCCGCTCTGTCGCGCGGTGAGCGGTGTGGTCGTGTCGCGCGGTGTGTCCGCGTAGCCCGGTGGCAGTGTGGTGACGTGTCAGTGGTGGAGGTGACAGCTCAGTTGTCCGCGGTCCGGCCGTCTGATGGCGCGCCGCCTGCCGCCGTGGGGACGGCGTTACGTCGTACTGAGCAGACGGACGGATGATCAGAGCGGCACCTACACTCGATCCAACGCTTGCAGATGGATTACTGGGGTGGGGGTGGGCGGGTGAAAAGGAAGAAATGTTTGGTGACGATAGATCAATACAACAGACTAATCACCAGAAAAGGTATTAGGTTTTGACAATCTGTTCAGCATTAATGTCGCATAAAACAAAGGGTAAATTGCATTGAAAGCAGTCAGGGCGAAATAGAAATAGTTTGTCTGTTGGACATTATCAGCTATGGACAATGGACATGGTACTGGTAGATAAGCTGTTCAATGTTTATATGACATTGCAATAGATGAAGCAGATGTGTTTGTTTATAACTTAACTGTAGCTGCACTGCTGTGTTACCGCCGCGCCGTCTTCATCACTGGTGCTGACTGCAGTCGCTGTGGCTCGGTGATCGGTGACGGTCGGCCAGTAGGTGCTGCCCGGACCGGCTGACTACAATTTGTTTAGCGCCGATGCATTATTAATGTGGCCCACCCAGGGTACGTTCCGACACGTGTTATATATGATGTTCCCATACTTCAAATAGCGTGACTGATGATGGTCAATTTGTCTAAGACAGTCTGTGCGCTTTGCTCAGGCTCAGCCATCACAAGACGGTATAACTTCTAAGAAAAATCAACACTTTGGAATACATTTTAGGTTACCCACTAAACCGAACCACGCCGAGTTACCAAATTTCACGTAAAGCAAGCATCAACGGAGCAGAATGGGTTAAATGCGTAATAAATGCTCGCCCACGAAATATAGGCATTCATGTAAGCACTAAACTATGTCAGTAGATATCTAGCTGGAATTACGAGCTGAAGAAGTGTTAAAACAGATAAAAAACAAAGTTTTAAAGCTTTTATAGTACCACTACTTTTAAACCATCACCGGTATCAAAATCAAGGGACTTACCTAAATATAAAAACATATTTGAAAGAATGATAAAATCCCCTATAGGCTTCAGCAAATGATGTCTGAGAATCAAGCCGGCATAAGTAGTTGTCAGATGTTGAAATACCAAGACCCTTTCCGTTCCTACCAGTAACGTTTTGCCTTTTATGGACATGTTCCGAGAACAAACCATTCTCGTTGGCCTGCGCCAGGATGCAGCTTCGTTCCTTCATCCCTTCGTCATCGAGCAAGTAGCCGACGGGCTTGGTTGGCATTTTGATATGGAAGATAACCTTGACCAACTCTTCCAGACGTCCACATTTATCGGCCGTACTCAGAGGCACGCGCTTCTCGGCGTTGCTATTTCTTGGAACGTAATGGGGCGGTCTGAGAATCCGCCGTGCGCGGCTGTGTGCGATGCTGGATTTTCCCGATGGGCCGTGGGGGAAGCTAGTGTTCTGAGTCACGATCGGGCCTCTCTTCATATTTGACTATTCTGACAGAATGTTGACGGATGCGGGCAGACATGCTGATTGGCCGGTGGCGGATGAATTTGGCTGGCAATAGCAGCGATCCAACGAGCAGACACTGACCGAACACTGAGCCGGCACCTCACGATGCTGTTCAGGTACGCGACGGATAATACGCGGACAAGCATTGCAAGCACACCGAGCGGAAATGGTGCGGACACCGGACAGCAACCGGTCAATGGCGACGTCAGCGCTTAGCGGGAGGCGGCGACGTTCGCTCCGATGATCTATGGCAGTCCGCATTCTTCGACGTCATTCCAGTCGACCACGGTTATGACTGATGCCTCACGCACGCTAATCGTGCGCCCCTATCTGATGCATGGTTAAGTGGGGAGGATGGTGGTCGTGCGCAAGGAAACGGACTTGTGAACTAAGCATAGATATGAGGATATAAGTTACAGTAATGCACTGCTTGAGAAGGTTCTGTGCGACTATTTACTCTTTATCTCGATGGTCGAGACCACAGTTTCATTGTTGAACCAGACGGCACATTGTTTGTCTCATTTGCCGTACAGTTTGCGCTGCCTTGGGATGCAGCGACCCGCAATGAAGTTCACAGAGCGGATACAATGCCTTTTGTGTGCGTGTACGCCTCTGTGCGTGCTGTGCCGGTGAGGGGAGCGGGGCAGGGCGGGGCGCGTGCGTCGCGCGGTGCGTGGCGGCGGCGCCGGTGGTCCTGGGCGGCCGGTGGCGGCGCGCCGCAGCCGCCCTGTTAGACGGCCGGCGCTAATGGGCAGCCCACACGGCCGCCGGCCGGCCGCTGTTGACTCTCGGCCGGAGATGCCGTCGGCCGGACCGACGCCGTTGTCTCTCGCCGGTGGAGACAATGGGCGGCCAGCTCGGCGGCCCGGCAGCTCCGTGTTATCACTCGGCGGGTCCGCCGCAGGACGCCACTTACCGCCGCGTGGTGCGGCCGACCGACTCACTGCGTCGGCAGGGCGCCAGCACTTACTCGCCAACTAACTGCGGTCTCAACAGCCTCCAGTGCCCTATTAGAGGGTCTATCTAGAACCAGCGGGCTCCAAAAGCAGGATGACACCCGGGGCTCGGAGCTATCTCTGTCCCTCACTAGCTCCTGTCTGGGTGGACCAGGGCCATCGGATTTCGGTCCAGGTCTCACTCCATTTCGTCTCCCCCTCAACGAAGCAAATTAAGTTCCAAGGAGGCCTGTTCCAGTTCATTGAATCGTGAGTGCATAACATGTTGTTGTGTAAGCTTCGCACGCCCCATGGCTAACAGTCGTACACAGCCAATATCACTGCAGGAGAGCAGCTGATCCGCAAAGCAGGTCGGTCAAATGTTTAATACCTATGTTGCGACCATTGCCTATTGCCATATCAGCCATCTCTAGCTTGCGGCGATAAAGGCTATCAGAACGGCTTAGCGCACAATCGATAACAGCTTCATCAAAATCAGTCTTCGCTTATCAAGAGTATGCAATGCATAAGCATGTCAATATAACAATAGTTAAACAATCATGAATAATTGTCCATCAAAGTACTTCTATGCCCCAATGCCTACGCATCCAACCCTCTACATACTTAAGGCAGGCTGTAGCCGTCTAGCTACGAGCAACCGAACCGAAAAATTACACTAAAAGTACAATAATGCTTCGTACGACCTTGGTCTTTAAAACGTCATGAATATTCTTAGCATTTCAATGGCATGCACCAGCCAATCTAAGCAGAACACCATCACGAAACTCATGCGCTTCTTCCACTAGAAGCACACGTTACGACTCGCTGGTCATTTGGTATTTAACTGAACACAGCCACATACCTTACCGATAAAGTAAGCGGTCAGCCAGCCGGGCCCGCGTGCCGGCCGGGGTCGGTCCCGCTCGAGTTGCTGCCCGGATCGACCGACCGTGTGCCCTGCAAGCCGGCGAGCTGGTCCGTCCCGGCTGATTAACAGGCCTATTGGCCGGCCTGCTGGCCCGCGCCTCAGCGTCCACATAAAAACACCACCAGCCGTAACTCGTCCAGATGCTGATCACCTCTCAATGGGCCCATCCATACAGCTATGACGAACGGGAGGCGATGAGTGGCTGTATGTCTGTCTGTCTGTCTGTCTGTCTGTCTGTAGTTAAACAGTACCTACCAGAGAGTCTCTGAGACGTGCTTAGGTATTGTAAGGAACTGACCCGTCCTAGAACGCTTCCAAACGCTTCCTAGCCGCCATTGTTTCGCCATTTAACCGCGCTCTCCATCTGTTCACAGGCCGTGCAAAAGTCACTGCGAAAACAGTGCAAATGCCACGGCGTGTCCGGCTCATGTAACATCAAGACGTGCTGGCGGGCACTACCGGACCTGCACAGGATCGGGCAGCGACTGCAGCGACGGTACCGCAACGCCATCGAGGTGTCGATGCGTCGCGTGGGAGCCCGGTGGCAGATGGCGCCTGCCACCACAGCCATGGGCCGCTTCAGTCACGAGGACCTTATCTACAACGCCAAGAGTCCCGACTACTGTGTGCGGGACCAGTCGTTCGGGAGCCTCGGCACGGTCGGAAGGTGAGTAGAGATGGCGTCTCCGGGGTCAGTGGGTAGAGAGAGAGAGAGAGAGAGAGAGAGAGAGAGAGAGAGAGAGAGAGAGAGAGAGAGAGAGAGAGAGAGAGAGAGAGAGAGAGAGAGAGAGAGAGACCTCCTCCGTGCCCGAGGACCCGTTGCGAAACAGGGCGAAGATGGCCGCCCGCGCTGCGTGATCGGCTGAAATTAGCGCCGGTCCTGGGAAACTGCCCGGCCTTGCTCCGAGCCGCCGCCGGTCCCAGCTCTGGCGTTCGTGACGCTCAGACAAAATAGATTCCCGGAAAGGCTGAGTGCCGCCGTTATAATGACGATTCGAGTGCAATGCATAATAAAAACGGCCATTAGTTTGGGCGTCTCGCGCGAGCCCGGCACGTGCACGGCATGCTGAGCTGCCGGGTTGGAGAGGGACGGGGCGGGGCGGGGCGGGGGCTCGCAGAGACGGTGTGTGGTCAGTCAATGCTGACTCAGTATACACTACTCATCAGGGGCTCTCAGGCCTGCCCACTGCCCAGCCCAGGAAGCAGTGAAACGTGCAATAATTTAGCTGATACTGCCTACTGATCGTATCTTCAGTTTAGTTCGCATTAGAATGCGAAATTGTGCTCTGATGACAACCCATGATGTCTTAGACGTCTTCCTTGAAAATTATTTGCAATCATTGCGAGTTTTAGAATGCAGACGGCAGCTCTAGCTGTCCCATCGTCTCGCCTTACTACCCTACATCACCCGGGTCAATTCGACATCATCCGACACCACCCCCAGTCGGACACCTCCCCGACCCGGCTCACTCGGCCATCAGATGGCCTCCGCGCCCTCATTTGCAGCGGGCCCGGCGGCGTACCGCGCTCGCCGCAGAACTAATGCGTTTCTAATGAGCCAGCGATGGTCGGGGAAGTGATTGGGTGTTCGGGTGGCTGGCTGGCTCGGTCGGCCCGCCGCCGGCTGGATCGCTGCACCGCAGCGGTTCTCTGAAGCGAGCCTGGCTGGCGTGCCGCCGCTCAGGGATGCCAGTAGGCGAGACGGAAGGCGGCTCAGTGCAGTGAGGGAGCCGTCAACCCTGGCACTGGGCGCATATCTCAATGGGACAGTCCACCGCCCCTGGTCGGTGAGGTCTAGACGGCATGTCGGGAGCCAGTCGACGCCTGTGACCCAGTTTTCTTGAGACGAAGATGAAAAGGTTACTTCCGGCGCCGACAACGACCGTCAGGGAAAAAAATCTTCACTTGGTGGGTGGCCACGTATCTCTTTTTGTCCAAATAATTATAGGTATGCAGATAATCATCGTTTCCTTCCTCGCCTTTTCATTCAACCATGACATTGATCTCTCATTTAACCCACTCCTGAAGTCACGACCAGCGTCCGCAGATCTGTTCGTCCCTGACTGTGTCCCTGCCTTGCCTGCTGCAATCGTTTCCTGCACATGCCCCTGTCTTTACCCGCACCCTCGTTTGTCCCTGCACCTGTGTCCTGCGCCTACACATTTGCTCCGACACCCCGACACATGCCCCATTCTGGCCGGCCGGCTTATTTAAATTAGCTGCAGCGACCTTGCAGAGATGAGGATGCTGCAGCCGCGGTCGGCTCAACGATTCGAGAAATGACAGAAAATTATAGCCTGCCGCCGCGCCATCAGCACGCTACTCGACGGCCCAGAGAACGGCTGTCAGCGGGTCCCGGGGTGGTCTGAGGTGGTATGTGACCCCAGAGAACGGCTGTCAGCGGGTCCCGGGCTGGTCGGGGTGGTCTGTGACCCCACGAACGGCTGTCAGCGGGTCCCGGGGTGGTCTGAGACCCAGCGAACGACTGTTAAAGGGTCTGGGCTAGTCTGAAGCCTAAAGCGGACGGCTGTCAGCGGGTCCCGTGGTGGGCTGAGACTGCAGCTGTCAGCAGGTCTGGGGTGGTCTGAGACCCAGAGAACGGAGGGTCTGGGCTGGTCTGAGGCTGCGGCTGTCAGCGGGTCCCGGGATGGTCTAGTTTTTTTTTTTTTTGCCAGCGGGTCTCGGTGGGTCTGGGGTGAGATGAGACCCAGCGACCGGCTGTCAGCTGGTCTGGGCGGGTCCGAGACCGCTGTCAGAGGGTCTGGAGTGGTCTGGTGTGGTCTGAGCAGGATGGTCTGATACCCAGCGAACGGCTGTCAGCGGGTCTGGGATGGTTTGAGACGGCTATCAGCAGGCCTGGGGACGGGGTTTGGGATGGTCGAGTCACGGTGGTCTGTAGTGGTCCGCAGCCGTCTTGGTACCCTGAAGTGATTTGCTTCACGTTTGATGGTGTGAAACGGTTTTCGTGGCCTGTGGAGATAAAGAGGTCCATCCGGCGTGCCGGACCCCGCCGGTATACATGACATGTCAGTGACCCTGTTCGTCTAAGTGGCATATCAGTGGCCCCGCTGGTCTACATGACATGTCAGTGACTCCGCCGGTCTACATAACATGTCAGTGACTCTGTTGATCTACATGACATTTCAGTGAACCCGCCGGTGTACATGACATGTCAGTGACCCCGTTGGCGTTCCAGTGACCCAGCTGGCTTACGTACCATGTCAGTGACCTGCCTGGTCTACTATGCCGCGGTCCAGTGTCAGTGCCCCATGTTGGCTCTCAGTAACGGGCGGTGGTGCTGCTCCGGGGTGTACTGGGAACTGTACCCCTTCAGAGGTGTCTGGGAGTGCTGCCGACGCCGGGCGCCGGTCCGGTAGATGGGGTCACTCACACCTACTGCACGGGAACGTACGTGAATGCACACTTACTTGGCCCAGAGGCAAGGATGTCTTCCCCCGGCGGCTACAGAGGGCGGCGCCGGCGTCCACCCATTTCATCAACTTTATACCCTATACGTCATCCGTTCATAGGCATATCCTATGCTAACCCTCGACACGCATGCAAACCGTGCATGTATTGGTGTCGGCTCGCCGGTGTTAGTGCTAGGGAAAGGGAGTTCAGCGGGAGAATGTCAGAAGTTTTGTCTTTCCCAGGAGGTTTTCTGTAGTTATTTGCACACCTCCATGAAGACTGCCTTCATAAAAATCACCCCGCAGAATATGTTCGATAATAATACCTGATCACCAAAACTGGCCGATTCTGAACGCGTCGATAACCGAGTTATGGCTGCGAGACGCTGAACTCTCCGGGTAAACGGAGTGTAAACAGAAGACTTTAATGGAACACAGAAGAGCACCACCACACTCAGAGGCAAAATAATTCAAACTGCAGCCTTGTCTTCATGCCTTTGAAGGATTATTTTATCCCCGTGCAGTAGTTATGGGATATATGATTCTACCTATACGGAATAATGAATGCAGGAACCAGTACGCTTTATAACGCCGTAGAATCAGTTAGCAGTTCGTGGTTTAACCCTCGCCCATGTAGGGGGGGGTTGGTGCAACCCCCCCCCCCTGAGGTTTTTCGGAAATAGTGCAAAAACGGCGGCGCTGCGCGCCGCCAAATTTTGGGTACCTTATGGGGCAAACCTTGCGCATCTTTTGATAAAAAAAAATTGACCGGGTCATGTCAGGTCACGGAGTTATGACGTCACAAAGGGAACAGCCTCCGGCCGGATTTTCACAAACTGAGTGCCAACGCCCGAGGTTTCCTGCCGGTGGTACGGACATCGGTTGATGGATCGTGATGAAACTTCCCATGCATGTTGGGGCAAGTATTGGCTATCATATGGTATAAGAAACTTGACCGGGTCAGGTCAGGTCACGGAGCTATGACGTCACAAGAGGAACAGCGTCCGGTACTATTTTTGAAAAGCGCCCGAACCACTATTTTGCTAATTCTTGTCACCTCAATGGGAATATGCAACAATATTAGCTTCTATAGGGAGCAAATGGACCTTCCAAATCCAAAAATACAATCAGATTTCAAAAATTTAAATTTTGATTTTTCGAATTTCTGCCGCCGACTGTGACCTTGCCGACTTCCGGCGCTCCCAACGCGCCATTTTTAGAGCTAGGGAAACGAAATACATACCAAACGATAGAGAATTGATCAAGGAACACGATAGTGAAGGTTTCAAGTCGATATCTCCCACCGTTTTGCCGCAATCGCCGCGGAAAGTTGACGCTCCGTTTTCAAACGCCAAGGGGGGGGGGGGGTCGCACCAACAGGGCGAAGGTGGCAGATCGCCGTTTACGGGCGAGGGTTAAAGCACTGGTTGGCACGAGTCTGTTCCGTGAATAAACCTTTGACTGATCCGAGTCGCGTGCGAGCAGCTTAGTAAGATCCGACGCTGAGTCTTCGTTCTTTTTCTCTAGTCGGTGACAAGTTAAACTCTTTGGTACTGATGCACCCAGATATTGTGGCCGTCGTGGCCCTTTTGAGGACGTCGAACCGGAGCTGATAGTGTTATAACGATCTCCCAATGTCACAGGTTAAGTAGGAATAAAGTAGAGCAGATTAAAAGTCATTCATTTGGCATGAGTTCCCATGGTGGGACGCTGCATGAAAATTATGTAAACTGGTTGTATTTAAACGGTTCCGGGTGGTAGGCACATTAACCGACTGAATAAAATACTCCATGTCAAATGAGTCTCTACAGCAGCCATTGACGCAATTATTCCCTGAGATAAAGACTAATGATGATGTGAGATGATATGAGATAAAATGTGTGTTTTTACACGTGCACACTGCACAGCGATAGGACAGTCAACATTTCAGGCACCTAAGTTGGGAGAGTTTCCTGAAAGACCCTTAGGTTAAACTGATCAGAGACCGCGGACCTCAGTAAAAGCAATTAAGAGCAAATTTTTTACGCAAAAAGTGCAGGTGTTTCAAAAGCGCAGAATTAAGACTTTCTGTTCACAGTTCATTGTTTAGCCTGTGGCTATGCTTGTCTCGACCATTCATGAAGATTCATCTTTCAGAAAACACTGGGAGTGGCAGTTCATAGAGGATATCCACCATAATCTCAGCACAATGCCAATATCCGTCAATGCCTGTTGGAATCCACAATATCACCACCGGCAGAGCGTGGCACGCGTGACGGATTGCAGTCGGCCCGGCACGAATCCATCTTCTCAGTTTGGTAGCCGAGCCGTCCGGGCCATCATCGGCTTATGCTCGATGTAACTTGACGCAGAAAATCACAACTCGTTGAGGGACGGGAACATCCATAAGCCCGCGCCTGATTCGGTGGCGGATCTCGGGCTTTGGCCGGCCCGTAGCAGCTGTCACTCAGGATCAACGGCAGTGGCTCATTGGGCATTCAGGCGGCAGCGAGCGGCTACAGCGGTGGACGACGTGTGTGCCGACAGACCCGGATGGCAGACCACCACGGCAGACAGACCCGGATAGAGACCACCACGGCCGACAGACCCGGATGGCAGACCACCGGAGCTGACAGAATACACGGCAGACAGACCATAACAGCAGACAGACCCGGATAGAGACCACCAGAGCTGACAATACACGGCAGACAGACCATAACAGCCGACAGACCCGGATGGCAGACCACCACGGCCGACAGACCCGGATAGAGACCACCACGGCCGACAGACCATAACGGTTGACAGACCATAACAACAGGCAGACCCGGATAGAGACCACCAGAGCCGTAATACTACACGGCAGTCAGACCACAATAGTGTCGGAGAGCTCACAAGCGTGGGTCAGCCAGATAGAGAATGAATGTATTGAGCGACAGAACAGAGTTTATATACCAAAACAGTTGGGCGTTGGTCCGCACTTCTTTAGGCGGTGGCCGAAACGGGGAACACGATGATTGGCTGACAAACGACAAGAGAAGCAATGCGATTGGTGGACGAAAAGGTTACAGCGAGGCTGGCGTGATGATAATCAATAGGTACCGGGGGAGCTGGGCCACGATGCTGCGGTTTTTATATTGTCCGACGCTCGTATTGATCTGGTCGGACAAAGCGAGCAGTACTTATACAAGTCAATATTGAGGTAGCATATAGCGAAATATACCGTGCGACACATGTCACCCTCCCTATGAGCCGACGACAGGAGGCATGACAATAATCAGCACGTAAAATGTACGGGTAATACATTTTAAGATGAACGTATTTGAAAATGGTATGAACATGTAATTAGGTGTCATGGCAATATCACCTACTACCTGCCACGGTGGCTTGAATGGTTCTTCATGGTCCTTTGACATATATGTTGAATAACACTGTAAAGGAAAAGAGCCATTGCCGGGACGCTTAGCGTTCCCGTCAAGGTCGTGGAGCTTACGGTTGGGCGGCTCCTCTGCTCTCTGGCAGGGACCGCTCCTGGGCATCTCTGGCCCTCGGCATCTCTGGCCGAATATCAATTCAATTGATTTTCAGTGAATTGACCATGATATCCACGTATTTAAGTGTTCATACGATTTACAAAACGCTTGTAAGACTGATTGCCAAAATGACATGGGATGTGAACAAAATTAATATTAAACACAGCACTGTAGTAGCCCATTTCCCGGTAATTGTGGGGTACGTTATGTACCACTTTAGACAACATGGGTTCCAATCACGGACGAAACGAAACGTATTTAACTATTTAATCGCCTGGATAATCTTGATGCACTGTAACCACTGTAACACAATTTCCAAAGCACGATGTCACTGGCACTTCGTAGATTAAAGAACAAAAGTCTGCCATTTGTAATAGGTCTTGTCGGTTATCTTGAATTTGAAATATCAGATTTGTCTTCAATTTAGCGTTGTGATTTGCACTCCGTCGATTTTCGTTGTTGTTGATGTTGGTGGTGGTGGCTTTTCCTCCATGAGGTTGAGGATATCGCAGCAGGTTGGTGTGCCATGCGCTGTCGGCGAGCTCCGTTGAGGTTTAATGCAGCTCGTTTTTGGACTTCGGTCTTGCGTAAGACAGATTATCTTGTCGGGGCAGAGCTGAACACTGTATACGGTGTCGCTAGAGTATGACGGTTCCAGAGTAGTCACTGGTCAGCACCCTAGTCGATGACGTGACGTAGGGGTGACGCACCGTATCGGAGCACGGACGAACCTCCGGTCTGCGGTGTCAGTGCAGATGTAGAGGCTGGAGTCCGTTGCGAGGGGCGCAAGTCCCCTCGACCGCCGCTGCCACCATTGTCGGAGAGCTCACAAGCGTGGGTCAGCCAGATAGAGAATGAATGTATTGAGCGACAGAACAGAGTTTATATACCAAAACAGTTGGGCGTTGGTCCGCACTTCTTTAGGCGGTGGCCGAAACGGGGAACACGATGATTGGCTGACAAACGACAAGAGAAGCAATGCGATTGGTGGACGAAAAGGTTACAGCGAGGCTGGCGTGATGATAATCAATACCGGGGGAGCTGGGCCACGATGCTGCGGTTTTTATATTGTCCGACGCTCGTATTGATCTGGTCGGACAAAGCGAGCAGTACTTATACAAGTCAATATTGAGGTAGCATATAGCGAAATATACCGTGCGACAATAGACAGGCCACACGATAGACAAATCCAGAGTGCAGACGGACGGCAGACCAGCAGAGCCGGTAGACCCCGACGGTAGAGCGTCAGGGGCCAACATCCAAGGTGACCTTTCTCAAGCAAAAAGAATACCATTCGACGCAGCTGAAAGTGGTTGGAGGAGTAATAGTTCAAAAGTTGTTGAACATTTCAGCCGATTATTTTCCAAAACCTGACTTGCCTATTGATATTTGACCTGACCTCGGGAGGCCCCCGGCCGACATGATACCTTAAAATCGGGCACCAATCGCTGCGCTTCGTGACGGCGTGCACACGTTCGCTTTTTTCGCGAGGCGCTAGCTCAATTAGGGGCAAAATGCGCAGGGAGGTCGCACTTTTGTACCAACTCCTTTGAGTCAGGACTTCTAAGCGAGCTACACTGCGCGACTCACCGCTCCGATCAACGCTCCCAGAGTAGGGGTTGACTGCTATTTGCGTGTGTCTCTGTGTGTGCGTGAGCGCTTCTCGTGTGCATGCAGTTAAATCAAAATAGTGTGACGTGAGCGTTTCACAAAGCGATATTGTGTCTAGGGCTGTGACAGCGTTAGCATAGTATGCTTCCTGACTTCTCCTCATCCCTGGCACCCGCGCAGAACAGTGCCTCCCCCACCGTTCCTCAGACGTAACACCCCCCTCTGTTTCAGGCAAAGTAACGCCTTCTCTCGCAGTCTTCTAACACAACATCCGCTCTGTTTCAGGCAATGTAACGCCTCCTCTCGCAGTCTTCCTAACTCTGCATGCCCTCTGTTTCAGGCAATGTAACGCCTCGTCGACGTCTCACGACGGCTGCAAGTCCATGTGCTGCGGCAGGCCGTACAACACGTTCACAGTGGAGCGCATCGAGCGCTGCCAGTGCAAATACGTCTGGTGCTGCTACGTCAAGTGCAAAACGTGCAAACGCTGGGAGGACGTTCACGAGTGCACGTGAGACGAGCCGAAGAGTGCGACCGGCGCGGTGACCGCTACGGGGACCCTCAGACGGAGCCGTGACGTCACCGGCCGGCGGCCAATCACACGGCAGGTGACACAGCGCGGTCGGCAGTGAACATGGCGTCGGTCGGCCGGGACGGGCCGACCGACCGATAGACGGACTCTCTGAGACCAAATGTGGGGCGGTACTGACCAATGTGAGGCAGTGTTGACCAATGTGAGACAGTGTTGACCAAATGTGAGATAGTACTGACCAAATGTGCGGTAGTGTTGATAAAATGTGCAGTAGCGTTGACCAAATGTGAGCGTTGCTGACCTATTATGAGCCGCTTGGATCACTAGTGACCGATGTTGATCAGTCGGTGGGCGGCGGCCCTACCGTGGCGTCCCGTGTTGTGACAGCTCCGTTGACAGCTGCGTTGACGGATGTGTCGGGCGAAGCGAGTGGCCGGTGGGAGGTGTCCGGCAGTCCATGTCAATGTGCACAATATGACCGATCATGTCACACATGGTTTGACCGGGGGCGGACACGGGATGGAGGGGGCCGCCGCGGCCAGCGGCTGGGGCCGTTTTTACCCGACCCGCGCCGCCTCTTTTGTTTGTGTGCGGCGTTTTTCGGGGCGGCGCAGGACCGCTAGTGCGCGTGAAAAACGCGCACCGCCCTGGGCCGGCGGCCGGGGCGGCTCTGACATGTTTTCACAGCCGGTTATTAGGGCGGCCGGCTCTCCGGGAATTATATCGGAAATAATGAGTGTTTGTGGCGTCAGCCCGCGGCCGGGCGCACGCCCCGCGCGCCGACCCCGAGCGGGGTCCGACAGAGCTGGGGCCGGGCGGCCGGCGGACGCAGAGCGCCGGCGGAGCGGAACGCACGCAGATACGGCGCAACACGAACAGGGTAGAATGAAGGGGATGGAAACGGATGTGAACACAGGGATAAGCAGCAGGACAAGGGAAGACACAGAAAAAAGGATATGGGTGGGTCGTACAGACACACACACAATTGTAAGCTACACATCGACGGGCGAAACAAAAGCGTGTAGATTTAGTAACTGAACTGAAGGGCAAAGTGCAGGCCGATATGGTCATCATACTTCAGAAAGAGGACTTAAGCGGACATCTAAATCAAGCACTAAGGAACTGGAGGGATTGCAGCACAGAGCCAGGCATTGATTGTAAGTATTAATTGGTGGACTGAAGAACACATCGCTTCCATCTCGATGTCTCCTGATCTCCACTATGCAGCTGGGAGACCACTGAACCGCCTGTGGCTGCTGCGGTCAGTGCCGATACCGGGCTCCGGCCTGCCACCGAGCCGCGCCGGACCATTATGTCAGCCAGCCACCGGCCGGACAGCATTGTAGCGCGTCACGCCGCGGCCGGCCGCAGTTTTTGCCGTCATCAGCTGGGAGGCCGGCATGAGCGCGATGCCGCCCCACACGGCACGCACCGTGTTATAAAAACAGCCGGACACGGCCCGCCACGGCCGTAGCTCATCACACTCACGGCCTTACATACCCCGGCATAGCCGTACAAGGCTCGTCACGGTCGTAAGTCTCACCGCGAACGAATACAACCCTTAGGAGCTCAGTAATGACATTGTCACGGCGCTATTTCAGCTCACAACAGGGACTTCATCGGCAATTCTCATATTTTACGACGACTCTGGTGTTACGTAGAAGCCTTTTCAGAGCGTTTAGCTCCTAGGTGCGCTTTCATACAAAACCTTTTCTTTTGTGATCGGCTTTTAAATGCTCAACAAATAGCTCGACACAAGAAAAAGGCCACGCTTCTCATGTCAATTTCCAGTAGCTAGAAACTGGGAGCAAACAAGCAATGTTTTACGTCTTTTTGTCCCACCAGCCTTTGCGTTCAAAGCACTGTAGTGGATTATTTCGTTACACATACCTGAGTGTCATACATGCTTTTAGGTGATTGAACACCTAGCGGTATGCGATGTGAAGAAAACCGCCGCGCTGGCGAACCATTTGCAGCCATGACCATTCATTATCTAATGGCCTGCTGCCAATGTATCAAAGGCAAGCCCTCGGGCTCGGTTGTGGTGACTTCGATGGCACACATAAACACAGCCGACATTCAGATGGACCAGTGTATGCATGAATTGTACAAATACACAGAGTTACACAGAGTTCAGCGCACGGTGGAGCCGCTCCATCAGATGCACTACGCGACGGCAGAGGCGGCCCCGTTCAGACCCCGTTAGAAGGGAGAAGGTTTGAGCCCCGACAGAACGGAACCCACCGCGCCGACCGACGCACGATCACTATCAGAAGGGGGCAGGTCCAAACCCCGGCTATCATGGGACGACGTAGAACGGTCTCACCGAGTGGCCACCTCACACCCCGGAACCCCTACCTCACCCCACTCACACCCTCGCCGCGAATCAGACCACCCACCCACCACCATCCCCACCCCACCCCACTCAGTAGATATCGGTGACGGACAATACCGCACACGCGGCAGCACATTACACGTCCGGAGCCGACCTATCACAATGTGACCCAGCGGCGCAGTCAGTACGGAGCGGGACAGTGGGCCGCTGATGTAGAAAGGTGTAGTGTGAGAGAGCGGCTGTCTGATATAGAGGACAGGACAGGACAGGACAGGACAGTGTCGGACAACATAGAATATGAGAGGACGGAGAAAGCGTGTATCAATAGTGCAACAAAGGATGGCACAGGGAAAAGGACAGGGCACGACAGGACAAGACAGGACAGGACACAACGGAGGGAGGAACAGTTTTAAGTGAAAAAAGAACCAACAATAGGGCAGGGCAGCGGATGGCACAAAACGTACGGTGTACAGGACCATCTCTGTCTAGTCTACGTCCGTATCAGGACAGGACAAGACAGCGGGTGTCACTGATGCAAGAGAGGAAAACACAGAATAGCGCTTGTGTGGTGCAGATGAGAAAATGACAGGACATTAGGTGTCACATGATCTACAGTAATTGCCGACAGTCATGGAAAGGTGACTGCACTGAGTAGTAGCACTGGTGACAGTGAGTGAGAGTGACAAACACACATACAGACGAGACTGACGCCGCAACAACTACACACAGTCATGGTGGTTTTCATCTAATCCAGTACCGAGTGTGAGCATACCATAGGAGCCGGGGCACGGCGCCCCGCACGTGCTCTAGAACAACATTCATCACATCTACCGTAATCGCAGAAAGTGCGGCATCATCACTTGTGAAATCGAAATCCGAGAATTAAATTCCGTCTAATAAAAAAACATCACAACAAAACCCACATTGAACAAAATAATGGCTGTGGGTTCGACAAAACAGACAACTTAGGCCAAACAACGAAATCCGGTTGCATCCACAAATGCCACACCTTGCCAATAATAATCAGAATAATCACTCCTCGCCCACCACAACTGAGACGACCTAGGGCCTTGCATACCCTCCCCCGGTCACAGAGTCCCCGAGACTGACTGCGTATCGCCCTCCGCCCACCCGCCGTGGTCCCGGCTGACACTGCCGGATCTGAGCGGCGGCACGGGTCAGGGAGCACCCCCAGCACCCCGCCCGGGCCGGGCCGGCCGCGCTCAGTCCTCCCAAATGGAACCTATGTCGGCCGTCATCACAGTTCACCTCCGTGCCGGTCTGCCGCCGGAGAATCTGAAAACGAACACGGCTGTCAGCAACATGACGACAGACAGCGGCTGCCGCGGCATGCATAACGATCACGGGAGCACTAATACAGAGACAGCCAGCCGATGACAGGCCGTCCGTCCGGGCCCTGCAAACACGGAGAAATATATGCAGGATTCATCTCAGTCGCTCAGCGAAAGACATAAGCCAATAATCGGCATAGCCACACAACTGAACTGAGATGAACAAAAATACATCAAATTCACTTAAATATATTCCATTGTCGAGCGGAAGACAGGCTGGCAAAGAGGTGAAAGATGCTGCAATCAGCAAAATGGCGAAAGGAGAATCCCCGCAGAAGTTCCCCGTCGAGTACCACCGTCTATTTCTGTAGGGATTAACCGTCCCACAGACTCGTGTAATACTTCTTCCCGTATCCAAGACAAACAATGCAATCAGCTACCACCACGATGGCGGTATCATGAGGTGAGCCACAGACATGCGGTGCTGCCGTCTGACCGACAGCGGTCGTATAAATAGTGACCGGGCAAGCGAACAGAGGGGAGAGGGGTGCCGAAAATGGGAGAGAGCTGAGAGGAGACGAGACAAGGAGCCGAACAATCGGCTACTGGTGGTCGGGATTAGGAAGGAAAGAGTATCACTAAACTGATCACTATTCACTGAGAGTGGAGAGGAGACATTGCACTAACAAAGATGGAGACAAACGACAAAGCCAAGCATAAAAAGACAAGAAAGAAAATGGGAGAGAAGCCAATAGAGGAAAGCGAAAAAGGAGAGAGTTAGGGGAGTGGAGATTCGGGTAAAAGTGGATATGAGAGCAGAGAGTAGAGCAAGAGAGAGGAAAAGAAGAAGAGAAGAGGAGATAAAACAGAAGAGTTGAGAGCAGAACAATGAAAAGGAAAGGATGAGAGGAGATGACGGAGGAGGGCAGAGCAGAGGAAAATAGCGCCGTTGCCAAACACAGCCCGGCGGCCCGCCCCCTATTGCCGGATGTTTCTCGCTACGCAGATAACCGTGCACATCAGAGTGCTAACCGCGACTTATTTTCGTTCCCCTTTCACTGTACGACCTTCCTGCAGCGGGTGGGGAGCACGGAGAACGACCTGCGTGGGAGGCGAGCGCCGTCTCTCCGCCCTAAAGGCGCGGCGACTAACAACATTAGAAGGCAGTCATACGTGAATCTGACGACTGGGAGTCACATTCGCGCTGTCAAGCGACAAACGTTGCATGATGTTGCAACTGTTGTTGCATATGCCGTTGTTTATTTCCATGTACCCAATCTGTATACAACGCGATCCAAGCTTTTACACACCTAGCCATGATCTATCATGTTATTCTCTCTACTTACGCAATAACGATAAAAATATCAATGAAAATATCGAAAATATCAAATGAAAATGAAAATCCATGGTTTCATTTGTCACAAAAATTGAACATGATATAGAACTTGCTAGTAGCCGTTACAGCAATGGAAGACTCTCAAACGATAAGTCCGATGTCAGCACTAAAAAAAAAATCAGCACTACGCAAAGTTGAGATTGATGACTGAGAACGAACGTTTATTTTACTTCATCGCATGCATGCCTGTGACGCGATGACGACGTGCATTGACTGATGCTACCTACCAAAGTCAAATGCTATTCGTACCGCCTGCACTATGCACAGTGTTCGGCTTGAAAGCGTAGGTAGGAAAAGATGGGGAGAGATGAGTTTAGTCAGTCATGTGCACTTCTACTGGAAAGCTGACACGCAGTCAGGGCAGCGGGGGTAGCGTCCATCGAGTCTAGGGACTACAGCGACAACCAACACACGACAGTCGTCGGCCATTCTGCATATCAGGGCCAGTCAGTCGGTCATAGAATTCCAATGGTTGGAATAGTCCGTTCAGCAAGTTTGCACCGCTGAACCAGCCAGTTGAGTCGTTTTGCCGGCTGCGCCAGATTCCGTCAGTCAATCATATCAGGAGAACTCAGCTAGGGCAAGAGAACTTATCCTAGATGGTCAAATATAAGACGAGCCTGCCCCATCCCGCATACATCCGTCTATAACTCACCTGTTGACGCGTTCTCGGACAGTTTTCCGGCCTTCACCTCGGCCTGGAACTCCCGAATTTCGTTATCGTAGTCGGACCACTCGGGAGCTATCCTGACGGCGGCCTTCAGCTTGGCTTCCTTGGTCAGCGGATTGTTGCACTGAAACAGACGAGGGCAGGTGTCGGCTGTGAGCCGTGAGTGTAACGGTACGGCGCACGCTACACCGGCCGGCAGTCGGCGGGGCACGATACTGCGGTGGACGGGGAAGGCCGGGGCGCGGCGAGGAATGGTGAGGGTTAGCGGTGGTGCCAGGGTACCAGGCACAGGGCAACAGCGGCCGGTGAGGAAGGGAGGGCAGGCTCTGAAATGGACAAAGGATCGACTTTGGTATGGCACACTGAGTAAGAAATTATACCAGGAACTGGTTGGTCATTACCACACAGAACAGCACAGTCATACTAAACAGCATTTGTCGTCTGGTTCGTCAAAAAGTAAAGACTGATTGGTGTGGTTACAGAGGAGAATCATAATCGTAGGGCACATTGCCGGCGATCCCAGTCTGCAAGCCGTCATTGATGCGGAATGCCACGACAGTCCGCGGTTGGTGACAACACAGATTAGAATCCAAGAGTTTATCCAGCGCTGTGCCGACAGTCGTCACGGGCTGTGGGGAGCCCGAGCTAGCCGGCGGGGCCGCCCCGGCCCCCATTCGGTATGCGTCTCAAGAAGCGACTCGGCGGCTGCCGCAGACGCAAGAAGTTAATCGTCTGGCCGCGACCGCCGGCAGTTGAGCCATCTGCGGACATGTCGGCACGTCAAGTGCCCCGCTGCCGCTGCTGGGTCGACGGGAATGTCGCCGGCCGCGCGGCCACTCACGGATGGTCAGCCAGCACACAGATGGTCGGCTGTCCGGCCGGCCGGGCCGCGCCGCCGCTCCCGACGGCCCCTAATCCGACCGAGCGGCCCGAAAAGGAGTGAAGGGAGGAACAGTGCCGCCCCCCGCCGAGCCGATCTGATTCAGCCGACACACGCAAAGAGCGCCCCACATTAACAGTGTCGGGGGCATAAAATGGGCGATATTTGCCGAGTTACTGATGATGATGATGATTGGAGTCGGTGGGGATACAAACGGTACAAAGGCCAGGTAAGTTGTGCGAGGTGTTATTCACGTCATTTTCCCGAACACTGGGCGATTCCCGCAGGTACAACGAAGAAATAACTCATAAAAGGAAGACCGAGAAGGTTGCATAATCGCAATAAATACATAACAGCTTTCCTAAGGCGATTATCAAACATCTCAACTTGGCTAATATGAGGAAGCCCACAAAACGGACAGACATCGGGCTTGATGCATATGCATCGCACTTTCCGCGGATCAAGTCAAGCGGTTTACGTTTCAAATGCACATTAAGGCATTACGGCCAGTGAATAGCTGCGCGCCGACCGGAATCATCATTAGGCGTTTTTCATCCAGAAGGAATCCAGCGGATCGTGACATCCGTTGAAGCCGGACTGACCAGGTCTGACTGGGTTGAATCCGGTGCGCGTTTGTGGTCACACATAACCTCTGTGAATGCAAAGCAGCCGGGACGGCCGCCGAGTCCGAGAAAAAGTGACCTAGTGGTCGCGGTACAATCGACCGTTTTCAGAAATGGAAGACTCGTCACATTTGCATAAGCTCGTCTCGGCAGTTAGGGGAGCCTGACCAATAATAGCGGAGAGATGACTGGGGGAGGAATGTACAAAAAGCGGCCTGCCTCGGCCGTCGGCGGGTGCGGCCGCGCGCGGCACCCGGCGGCGACGGCGACTTTGTGCCGCGCGCCGGCCGTCCGCGGCCCGTCGCCGCTGTCAGTAGACGAGCGGGGTTCATTCATCACGGGTCTCAGCCGCTACCACCGGAACTCCGGCCGTCAGAGACAGCAGCGAGACGGTCACGTAGGCTGTCTGAGCCGGTAGTCACTACAGGGGTATCGGCAGTCACAACGATCAGTCAACATCGGCGACATCAGCTGTCACACGACCAGCTGTCACAGCGAAATCAACAGTCACAGCTGTCGGGCATCAGCAGTCACAGACGGTGGTCACCTCAGCTACATCAGTAGTCCCAACGACCAGTCGTCACAGCGACATCAGCTGTCACAACAATCGGTCATCACCGAGACAGCCGGCTGTTACAGCGAGCTGTCACTACAGCGAAATCAGTGGTCACAGCGATCAGTCAGCAGGCAGCATCATCGGTCACAGTTCTGAGCCGCAGTCACATCGCCGCTTTGGGTACCACAGCTGTGACAGCCAACAGCCACTGATATGCTGGTTTTGAGCAGCTTGCATCTGGGAGTCTCAGGATATAGTAACGACGGGAGAAGAGTCGTGAGTAGTTTAACTCTGCAAGGCAAGCACGACGATTCGTTCGTTGAGATAGTCGACCCCTCCCTCGACCTTAACTCACCAGATCGATGGTCTTGGCGTACTGTTTGGAGGCGTCGTCGCACCACGTCTCACACCAGAGCCACTCCTGGGGCAGCGACTTGATCCGCACCTGGTGGATCATGTTGTTCGGCAGGTCCTGGTCCAGGTTCGACAAACTGTTGGGGTCCTGAAAGTGGAAGGGAGAAGCGACGTCAGGACAACACTTATCCGAACATCAGTGCCGTCTTCGCAAATCAGTAATATTTTGCTGGGCTCGTAACCAGGCACGTAACTGGAGCGCCATACCAACTAGCTAACGTTACCCTGTGTTTGCAGCATTAAGCTAAAATTACTGTATTAAATGGTCCAACAACGATGTTAGCGAACCTCTTGGCAATTCGTGAGGAAGCGTGCCTTATTTCCGTCAGCTGTTCCAGCCCTCACAATCCGTGGAGCCGGTGAACCGAGCCAGGTTTCGGGTACTGTTAGCCAAAGCCTCTCATCACACACATGCATTCAAATCTGCAATGCATAACAAATCGCAATCCACCCAATGGACATTCAGGCCGTCCACGATCCGATTTCATGACTGCTCTAAGTCCTCGCCGATCTAATCCAATCGCGTCAGCAAATGACGTTTAAAAAAGCTGTTTCGCAGCTGGCCCTCAGCCCATCTATCTGCATGGATAACCCGGCATTAGCGTCAGGGCGGCACGGCGCGCCGAATGGTCGCACTAAATTTGGCCGGATTGCAGCAGCTCAGGCTCACTTTGGCCGCGGCTGAGCCGCAGTTCGGCACGGAAACGGCGGCACGTCACCGTCCGCCGGCCGTCGGACCACGGACCGCACAGAGCGGCTGTCGGACAGGCGTGACTGGACTGATGGCTGGAGGGACTGAGCACTGACTGAAGAGTTGTCAGGGAATAAACCTGGGTAACGACTGAGCAGGGAATGGACTCTAGACTGAGTTCTAGGGGTTATACTTAACTATGTATGAGCGATGGCTGGCCTAGGACCCATCACCAACCCGAGGACTGGGCTTCAACGAATAACAGTGGGCGTGGACAGGGAATGAGCTCCGACTGAAGGCTGGTTTAGGACCCCTCCGAATACGACTGATGGGACTACTGATGGCAGAGGCACCGCGTGGTGACCCAAATTAATTGGTGCCGTCACCTCGCTGGATATTAAACGCGCACATCTTATGCATACCTACCAATCCTATAAACACGTACACATATAAACACGGAAATAGTCCGGTTCCCCCTTGAGATACCCTTCAAATGAGTTTTCGTAGACAGTTCATATGAACATCCAAGGAATACTCAGATATCCTAAAAGCATTCCAATTTAAGCAGACTAACGTCAAAGCTGAGGAAGAGAGGTGATCAAGTAAGGTAGCTTACTTACAATACGAGTAAGCTGTGTTTAAGAATAGACCTTGCCCAATGTGGAGACCAAACCGAACTCGAAACTAAGCCAGCTCTGACCTTCAAGCATTACAAAGGCCATAAAGAAATAAGTCTTTAGGAGATCCGAATATAAATGGACTTCCACATACCGTGCAGATGGGTCCATGTCATGCAATGCGGACATTGAAGGGAGATACTGAGTTCGCCTTAATCCCAGTGTTGTTCATGGCGCAATGCCAAAACCACTAAGACCCCATTGTCGTTCAGTAACATATCTCCACCTTGCTATTCACTAAGGCCGTAATTATGCCCAGTGATCATATTTTGTACACACTGGTACTGCTCTGGGCACTGGGCAGTACTGGAGGCCCTGGCACTGCCCATTGATAACATTAAACACATACTGACCTGACTGAGACCCTGGTACTGCCCAGTGACAATTATTTAACACACTCTGACCTGGCTGAGACCCTGGTACTGTCCACGCAGTCTGTCCCCAGCAGCGATCTGGCGGAACTTCTTCAGGTCGACCACGTAGAGGGCGCTGATGTGGTACTTGCGCCCCTGCAGGTGACTTCTCCAGTAACCCTGGTTCCAGAAACTGAATGGGAGGGGGAAAGGGGGAGTCAGAAATCGCTTTGAAGGACTGCTAGAGTTTGGGAACAACGGACCAGCCCTAGCCCACAGAAGGGGCAACTCGACAGCCACACAGTGCCAGCGCGGCAGGGCAACAATTCAGTACAGCACTACCCGACTACAGTACGGTGAAGGACGTTTAGACACCACCGAAGAACGCCCGCCCCAGTCCCGATATACATCGGACCTTCTAGAGCGCCTGTCCGGCCAAAATGCACATTCGTTGAACACTATCGTCCATCGCTGGCCGGTTAACTAAGTGGGTGTCGTTGTTTCTGGTCGATATGATCGTTCAGTTGATATCCGCCCACACCGAATTCCATACCAGAGCCAGACATCGTCTGGTGCAACGGTGCAGAGAATAGGGAGGCGCTGAGGGGTGGCTCGAGCGTCGAGGAAATAAACGGAAAATGACCGCGAAATTCGGAGCATGGACCACTTATGAACAATGAACATGTCACGTTGGTCGGAGTTTCCGTCAATGTAAGAAAGTTAAATGTTAAAATATGGTAAAATTGTGGGATGTTTTCTAAATACGCGAAGGAATAAATAAGTGAATTAATGTTATAACACATGCCCCAAGGTTCTACGTTTCATCCCGTTACATCAAACTTCGCATGTCGGCGAGGATCGGATTAGGTCACAGCGGTTCAGTATGGGTCAGAGAGTCAGCGGAGGGCGAAGACACTGACCGGAATCCATCCATCTCCTTCCGGCTGTCACAGAAGGGCGTGTAGCCGTACGGCGCTCCCTCCAGATCCAGGTCCCGGAGCTCCTTCAGGTCAGCTCGCACAATCTGTTCGGGCGGCAGAGGCATGGTTAGCGGACATCATATGGACTCGGAGTGCAGTCAAACATATTACACAGTGCAGTCTCGTAGTGGACAAACATTGCAGAGAAAACTCTGTTCAGCAATATACCACGCGGAAAGTGCATCAGTCAACTGAAGCTTACTTGTCCCACAATAATTTACCATCAATATACGCAAGCACATAAAAGTAGCTTAGCTTATGCTACTTATGCTTCCTTATGCTATGCTTATGCTATGCTATGCTTACTTACTTATGCTTTAGCTTGTAGCTTATGCTTAGCTGACTGAGCACGAAAAACGATGCACATTTAGTGACTCTGACCTGATCGGCGTCGACGAAGATGATCTTTTTGACGTCGAGCGGGAAGAGCACGTCAAGGAAGAGGATCTTGTATCCCCAGATGATGCGCTGCTTCTCGGTCTGCTGGTGCAGCCAGCGCGGCCACTTGTACTGCACCAGCTCGTACTCGAAGCCGTAGCGCTTGGCCATCGGCGGCAGCAGGTCCTGTGGGCCAGTCAAGGCGGGTCAGGTCAGGTCGGGTCAGGTCAGGTAGGGCACTGTGCCCGTGGGTGGGGAAGGGGTCGCTCAAATCACTCACACAGGGGTGCAAAAAACAGAGCAGTGAGCACGAAGTCAAACAACAGCCGAGTCTCAAACATCTTCACCTTGACCTACCTGACTGGAGACAGTAACAAACACTGTACATATAGACCAGAAACTGACGATGATAGAACATCAGAATAGCGATTTACCGGAGGTTAGAATCTCCAGTCCTCACGCTAGCACAGCACATGGGAACAGACGACGGCGGCCACCTACCTTGAATGTGGGCGACAGGTAGTTTTTGAGGAACCAGAACTTGACGGGCGTCTTGGTGTGGCGCAGCACTCCCAGCATCATGATTCGCATCAGACGCTCGTACAGGTGGCCAGAAGCCAGCGAGAAGATGTTGAGCTTGTCGTCCGGGTCGGCCGCGCCGCTGCCACTGCCGCCGAACGTGCTGTCAAACGGAGACAGGTCAAGTAACGTCAGCGGTCGAGTGAGGAGATAAGGCCGGGTCAGGTCAGCCCGGAAAAGTTCGGGTCGCATATAATTACAGTACAAAAATAAACTAGTTGATTTCAAAAACTACAGATACGAAGACGAATTGAATCTTATAAGATCACGCAAGGGGTAAAATTCGTTCTTCACACAGACGAAACACGACAGTTTCCGCGCGTCATAGTCTAATAACACATATATGACGCAAATCACATTACGGTCGGTCACATTACGTAACCGACAGATCTATGATATGCTCAGGAAAAAAAACTGGAATACCATGCAAGTACAAAAACGTAACCATCACAATTCAGTGTGCACCACAAACAGCAAAATAAATAACCTGGCAGTGCGGTACAAAGGTAGACCGGAACAAAACCAGCCAAGTAGTGTTCCGAAGAGTGACGCGAATGACATTAAAACTCAATAAGGAAAGAATGAAGACAAAACGCATCACTTAACACACAGGCTTGCACGATGCACAAACGACAGCTGTGAATTAATTTGCCGGGAGAGAGCAGCATTTGCCCGAACACGGTACTTCTATCCGTAATCCCCGGGAGAGCCACTCAGGGGTAGGCCGGCTCATTAGAAACAGGAATGCTCAAGTAGCGCTGGTATGTTAATGATCCGAATAGATAGCGGAAATCTGACGACTCAGATGCTCCCGAGCTAGTCAAATCCGACATTGAGTAATCGCCGTGCCCAATTTGATCGCATCAATATCGAATTAAAACCATCTCACCGAAAATGCACCATTAAAATCAAAGGGGATTCATTGAAGTAGGATGCATACTGATGAAATATTACAGAAAGGTATGCGAAAGTGATTAATCAACGTCAATCAACAAGAGTTGTAGAATTGCTGGCTGCCTTGAACATGCAAGCATATGTGCCAAGTAATTATCTGCATTCGGATGCTATGCTTGGCGACGGTAGCAGGGATATCATAAATGACGTCATTTTTGTACCGAAAACATACGTTGATTTCTAAATTATTCGATGAAGAGTTGATAGATTTTGCTGACAGTTAGTTCTGAATAGGACGTATCAAAGAACATAAAAATTGAGCATATTTGCCTACCCTAAAAAGCGACTTGTGTTGATTCAGTGGCGATCAGCAGTGAGAAAAGTTGAGTAGTTGTCAAAATAACTACATCTAAAATATTATGAAGGTCAACAATCAACATACATTCAACAGACAACGGACAGTCTACATACAACTGACCGAGTTTGAACCTAGTAGTTTTTTCATACCTAGTCGTTTTCGCTCTCATCGGGTGTATTACACTCGTAAAATGCTTGTGTTTATTCAGTTTTGTTTTAACACGTAGTTCAATATGTTTGGCCCTGACTGGAGAAAAGCCCCCTGACAACGGTCTCATGGACGGATGAGTCTAGCCCGTACTGAATGGGCATCTGACCCGCAATTAGTTTGTGGGCTCTACAAATGAAGTGGGGTGAAATTGGTGCAGCGAAGAAACCAAACAGCCCAATGGAGGAAAACAGGTACCTAGAGACTTACTAGGCGGATACGCCCGATAATGTGTCGGCACTACCGACAGCCTGCCGTCGCCGCCACTTATCACCACGATTAAACACATCAATTAAGGCCGCGGATATACCCGACCTTCACTCAGATAGACAGATAGGCACATCAAGAAAAATAAGGAAAAGACAGTGTCCGTCTTACGTTATCAGTTCGCCGTTCGTCACTTAACTGGGCTTTAATATTTTCCATCTTGACGTGAAATCCTGCGTAAAAATGGGTGTAGGGGCAAGGGGTTTCACCCGGACCAGGCGCAAATTAGGCCGACAAAACACTGGAGCCTTCAGAACCTTAGAGTCGTACAGTAATAAATATTGCTATAATTCCCGTAACAAAAAGAACACACTTCTAAGCAAAAACAACTGCTAGCGCAGCGAAATGCGAGTGACAGCATAATAATGCAATGTTTCACAATTCGGTACTACGTACAGCATTAACAAACAAATTTAGGTTTTGCCGGGAGGGGCGTTAAAATGTGCTATTGTTGTTTTATTAAGGGCTGAACAAAGCACTATTAATACGTCACCATCAGCGTGGCTACTCCTCGTATCATTTTTATTTTGACCTGGCGCTAGATAGAAAATCTGGCGAAGTAATCACTTCCGAGAAACGAAAAGCTTGTCGACAGACTTCTCCTAAGCAGTCTGGCGTTACTCTAGCTCGATGTGTCCGATCGATTCGTTTGCTTATCAAAACACTGGCCCAACACTACTCGGGAGGGTGCGTGCGTCTCAATCACGTCTTACTGAGACCGTACACAGCCGCATCGGTCAGTCGCCGACGGCCGACTCGCCACTCGCCAGGCTTTAGCCGCCTACTGTCACCATTCCTGTGCACTATATCAGTGGAGGTTTTATCTAGCCCCTGTCCGAGCCGAGGTCAGGCAGCTCCGACGGCATGCAGGCAGTGCGCCCTGTGCACTAGAGGCTGACGCTGTGCCGTACCGCCGCTGTGGCATCCGGCCGGTGTGTGTGAGGGGAGGATATGAGTGGCCCTCTACCTGTCTATTGTGACCATCAGCCGCTCCAGTAGCGCCGTAACGAGACGAAAGGGGGCACCGAGCACGGCCGAGCGCCGGCCCAGCCTGGCTCCGTGCATAGAGCGAGGGACAGCACACAGACCGTTAGCGCACGAGATAAATCGTTATGGAATGGGTATGGTAAGATATGACATAGGCACACGTCTGAGACTTTTTGAAAGAAAACTGTGATGTCTCATCATATGTGAAGTCAATCGTATCGGCTTTTTAAAAAGCATTGTCACCTCATTTTAGTCTTTGCCGAAACGTCTGAATAACAACTTGCATCTGAATATTTTAACGCCACATATCAAGTCACACGTTTGGGATCTATTCTAAAATTTGACCCGAGGCAAAATATACATGACGTGACAGGCAGCCTGGAAGTACCAACGAATGAATTTCGGCCATATCCCTTCCCAATTGTCTCATATAAGCGTGGTAAGGTAAGAACAGACGACTCAGATCACAGGAGACTTAGTCTCAGGCGCGCCTGAGGGCGCCTAAAACACCAGAGAAAACTGTGCGATGCTGTTGAAGGTAAAGCGTTCTGCTAGCGTTCTAGAATAGCTAGGCAAATGCTTTCAGACTGAAGTGTAAATAATAAGTCAAAAAGGGCCGTCACAAAGAAAAAAAGCAGAGCAAGCACGTCGTTCGCATAGCATAACTGAACAACTAACAAACTGAATACCGACACACTTCGAACCGGCATATCACGAAGACCGATGTTGAGCACACCTCGCCTATTTGACAAAGTCTCTGCACCACCCTCTGACCCGACCAACAACCGGCGTGGAGTACCCCAGCCCTTGCCGATCACTGACCTTTTGATGCTTCCCCAGATGCCCGACGAGTCGTCCGTCTCATCACTGAGCAGGTCCATCTGCTCCATCCCCGGCTTCTTGGCCACGCGCACCTTGACGACGTGCGAACGGAACGAGCTGATTACCACGCTGACTCCGGGAGCGTCCGAGGGTATTTCGGTACCGTCGACACTGCAGAGTAGAGGTCACAGGTCAGAAGTAACAGGTCAGGGCAAGTCAGGACAGGTCATTATCGATTAATGGCATGGAGGCACTTTCAGTCTGGCCACAGGTTGGCTCACAGACCACAGGATAGCCGGCTGCATGACACAATATAAGCCACACATCAACTCAACTTCAAGGCACAAGTTACAAACGGAGCCCTACCAAACATAACATCACCACAGCTCTCCGCACACTGCAGCTGACAATTACACACATTAACCCGAAGCACACACAGTCCCTGCCAGGGTCCCCGTCACCCACCTGACGAGGCTGTAGAGGTCTGCCGAGCGGCCCTGTCGCAGGCGCAGCGTCCACGCGCCGGGGCTGGCCTTCAGCTGGAAGTAGCCCAGGTTGGCCATGACAATGGTGTCGACCATGACCGGCTGTCGGACGGTGCCCAGAGTCACCTGCAGACCGCGAGGCGGGTTACCCGTCGACTGCTCGAAACAGTGGCCCTCCAGCAGCAGATGCTCCAGCTCGAAGTCGCTGACGGCAGACGACGGCAACGGTCAGGGAGGGGACAACGAGGGAAGAAGGGAGGGAGGGGATGGTTAGGGAGAGAGGGGGAAGAGAGGAGAAGGCATGCCCGTGGACACGGTACAATACACAACCGACAATCTTCATCAGTTTTCAGTCGACGATCTCCCAAGCCCAAACGAATGAGTAACTTCTGGTAGATAAATTATATCACATTTGTGCAGTGAGAGATCGTTAGCCTCAGCTACTGCCGCTGAGGGAAGCACAGCAGACAGCACGCTTACCTGTGCAATGTGCACGTCCTATGCACCACCGATCCACCCACCTGTGCACCTAAGTACTGCCCCGATCTCTCACCTGTGCACACCGTTCTCAACATCATCCAGTTTGATATTGTCCAGGTCGTGCGGTGACACGACCGCCTCCACCATCCAATTATCCGGCACGTGATAGTGCTGGGTGAGGATCGGCTCGCCCGGCAGACCGGTGAACCGGGCAGACGGACCCTGCAGGGCGCCGGACGAAGAGAATTGCGGCTCCGCCTCCAGCACCAGGCGGTAGTAGCTGAAAGTGACAAGTGAAGAGGTCGAACGGTCAGCATACTCAGCAAGAGCAGCGTTCAGACCGTAGATAGGTAATTAACAGTGGTTTCAGCAGCCTAGTCGAAATTAGCACTGGATAACCATCAGTAGAGCTGAAGTGTTTCGTGACAAATAATATGCGAAAATAAACAATTAAAGGTTGAATAAATTATCAGGTACCCAATGTATCAATGCTTATTATAAACTACGAATGAAAGCTGCCGGCACATTCCTATCTTCAAACAATAAAACCCCCTGCCATACCAAAGTGTCGCGTACCTTTTGAGCGGCATGTCGCTGTGTTTGTCCTGGGCGTTGAGCACCAGCCGGATGTCTGCGTTGAGCACCTGTCTGAGTACGGCCAGCAGCGGTCCGAGCTGCTGAGCGCCGCGGCTCACAGGGTCACACACGGCTACTAAATCGAACGCAGGACGGGAGGCGTCGGCGGCCGGCAGACGCACCACGCTGCGGACACAGGGGAGGGAGGGTTACATCGGTCACACACGGCCACCAGGTCGAACGCGGGGCGGTCCGCGTCGGCAGCCGGCAGACACACCATGCTATTCAGAGGGACAACAGACTAGGAGGGGAGGGTCATATTGCGTCAAAGCGATACCAGGCAGACGGACGGAGATACCCGTACACACAATACAAGAACCACAGAGATGAAGAAGAGCACAAATAGACTGACAAAGCTCATATACTTCCAGTCTGGCCGCTAGGTTGTGGTCTGCCCCCCCCCCCCCCCAGAAGTAGCCGGATCGATGTGGGGGTGGTCTGGCACGTTACCTGTGTTTCTCCTCCAGTTTCGGCATAGCATATCGCTCCTTCTTCAGTGTGCGAGAGTTGAGCAGCGCCGACGTCTTCATCATAATGTCGCTCAGAACACCTGATGAGCGAGATACATTATCATAGAAACGGAACGTGGCAGTAGATATGCGAATGAAACAGACGGTGGGCATCAGACTTTAGTCATCATAGGATCGGGAAAAACACCACCGCCTTACCAATTACATGCAAGCGCTGACTCGAGATATGAATATGAAGGGCATTTGCAACATCAGTCTGCAGCATGGTAAATCGAATGCAGCCATGATGGCACAATTATCACCTTTTGACACGCAGTGCAATTGCGCAACGTCGACGACTCACCCTCTGGCACATCCTGCGGTACAGCCGACAGCAGTTTCTTCTCCAGCTGGCCGGCGTAGCTGCTCGTGGTAAATTTCTCCAGCAGCGCGAAGTCGTCCTCCCCAAACGGCTCGTCGGCGCGCAGGGGACCCACCAGCTGACCGTTGACGACCAGTGCACGTGCGCCCGCGGGCACGTGCAGCACGCGGCGCACGTACGTGACACAGTCGGCGAGGTGCGCGGCGGGGAGCGAGGACAGCGCGTCGGCCAGGGCGGTCTTCTGGTCCTCCTGTTGGAAGGGATGGACGGGGTCGGGGTGAGGGGATGATGGAGTCCCGTGTTTCCCATTCCTGGCGGGGATGAGCGAGGTAGACGGATGGGAGGGCATTGCTCCTGAGGCCCATCGCAGCAGCCTACAGACAGCAGGGGTTCAACACCACTCACAGCTATGTAGAAATCGCCGACATGCGTAAAACTAAAAAAGACAGCTACATCATATATCGCCTATTTTTCACACCCATCACATCACATCAGGGGATCTAACTTTGATCCTCAACCGACCGCGCCGGTCTCCCAGCTCACCGTCAGTATCGTCTCGGGCTCTGCCTTCCCAGCAGTGAGCGCCAACAGGTACTTCATCAGCGTGTCACCGGTGAGTGCCTCCAGCGCCGCCACGACACGCCGGTTCAGGTCAGAGTCCTCCGCGCCCTCGGCCGGGTTCGGTACGAACGCCAGACGGATGTCCCGAGAGCTCTTCTGTGGAGTGGATAAGGAGGGAGAGTCAGAGTAGCGACGGCACGGCTGGACAGAGTAGATACGTGGCGGGTAAGAGTAGTTTCCTAGCGAAACGGTTGGGACAAGACTGGACCAGCGGGCAGCGACGACAGGAAGAGCCGTAGCAGAAGGATTTGAACCGCGAGCCATAAATGAGTGAAGGCTTGTTCACGGAGCATCGAGCCCCATTCAGCTGTGTGCACGATTGTGTTACACAATTCAAACGACTCAACGCTGCATTGTTACCATTAACCAGAAAACCGGTCAGTAAGTGACACCGGCTTTCTTCACCAGTGACCCACTGCGTCAGTGACCCTCCACATGAGCTCCGAGGCCCCACTCACCGCCTGCAGGAGGGCATCATGCAGCAGCTGCCGACCCGACTCCGAGCCCAGGTCAGCCACCAGCCAGTAGGTCAGAGGTCGCAGCCGCACCGAGCCGCCCGGCCGCGCTGCGTACTTCAGTCGCGTGCCGATAGAGGCGCTCATGTCGCGTGGCGCCAGCTGACTGAACTCGGTGGCGGCGCCGTCAGCCGGCCGTTCGCCAGTGAAATCCACCAAACGGCGCTCAGAGGACTTCAGGATACGGTCGTTCAGCCTGTCAGAGCGTCAGGTACCAGTTACCACATCGTCATGACATCAACGACAGAAATACCAATACAGAGGTAAGACTCGCAGAAAACAGCTAGTCGATGAGTGGTTCACGGATTTGTTCAAACAATTACTCAAGGTGCCATATTAGGAACGTCAGTCAGAAATGATGGGGCCCATTCAAAGTCAGTCGAAGTGGGAATCAGTCGAAGTGGGAACGTCAGTCTCGAAGTGGAGACGATGGAAAAGAGCAGGTGAGGACACCTCCAGCCTGCATTAGCCCTAACATCCTGTATGTAACTACACCTTTTTGCACTCAAAATAGGCATCTTTTCATTCAATTTCGGCGAATTGCATTCAATTTTAGCGATCTCTCATTTGCTTTGAATAGAGAGATCGCTAAAATTGAATGCAATTCGCCGAAATTGAATGAAAAGATGCCTATTTTGAGTGCAAAAAGGTGTATTTCCTCTTTTACAGACTGTTGCCACCCGTTGCTCTCCCAGCCCACTCCAGCTGCACGGTACCGCGCGTCGTCTGACCTGGGCATGACGTTGGGCTGCGAGACGATCCACTCTGCCAGGTCATCTGCGTCGGTCAGCTCCTGTTTGTAGACGGCCTTGGTGAATTGGTGCAGCGCCCTCATCAGCTCCTGAAGTACCGCCTCCTCGATAGAGTCGCCAGTGATCGAGCGGACTGGAAGTGGTGCGCCGTTGAACAGAACCTGGAGCAAGACACGGCACTCGTTAATCATCACATGCAAGAACTGGGCAAACCACAATGTTGTTTATATACAGCTGCAGGGCAAGGCGTCTCAGATGACTGGACACGTCACATCCACGGCGCTCAGCGAATATCTGTGGCGAAAAAAAAGCGACGATCTGCCCGAATCTGGTAAATCCATCTGCAAGCTCACAGCACATCCATTGGACAAAAAGCACGTGGGTTTGGTTTCTGGAGCCACATGTGGCAGCTGTCCCCCCTTTCCCTCCCCCCCCCCCCCCGGGTGGTGTCCGTGCGCCCATATGCGGTGTCTGAGCCGCCCCCCCCCCCCCCCCACCCCACACACACATCGCATTGTCCGCGCGCCCAGCTGCGGTACCTGAGACTGCCAGCCATCCATGTGGTGTCTGCACACAGTGGCCGCTCAACCCTCCCCCATCTGTGTAACTAATGACTATCCCTTCACCCACCTGTGGCGGCTGTCCCAGTCCCAGCCGGGTGACATAGTCCCGCGCCAGCGTCCGGCCGGCGTCGTAGTCGGAGTCCTCTCCGAACACGTCCTCCACGTCTGCCGACGGGTACCGCTGGCGAAAGGCCCGCTCGGCGTGCTCCACGGAAACGTCCTGACCGGCGGCGAACGTGTGTGCCTGGCGGGGGAGTGAGCGGCGGTTAGACGGGGCAGCTGAAATTTAGGTGGTCAAACGGAGCCTAATCAGAGGTTGCAGTCACAGTTTGAAACAAAACAGGATGTTAGGTGGTATAGCGGCAGACAGGGTTGGAGTGACATCGTACAAAATATAATGATATTATAGACCTAGAACCAACGGACGAGGACGGATGGTTTTATGTGCACATACAGACAGTAACCCAGGGTTCATGAGCAGGCGGACGGGCGCCACTCCCACCTCGATGAGCAGCTGGAGCGCCTTGAGTCCGGCTTTCGAGCCCTCCTCTCTGAGCGCGTAGTTGAAGGCCTCTGTGAGTGCGACCCCTGCGTCCTGGCGACCGGTGACGGCCGGGTCGGCAGACACCACCGGTACAAGACCGATCGTCAGGGGCAGCTGGTTGGTAAGCAGCGACTGCGCCAGCTTCAGCACGTCCAGCGACGAGCGACGGCTCGGGTCCAGCACCAGCACCTGAAGCGGGAAACAAAGGGACAGAGGTCAGCCGAGGACAGTGCCGTGATGTGCATGCAGCTTCCAGTAGTCGCATGTCCCCAAGCCCAACCATAACACGACTTACCCTCTCCGAGTGAATGTTCTAGACTTCGATATCCCTCAGTATCGTGTTTTCATATCTGAAAACAAATCATAAATTTTCCCTCCGCCCAGAACCGACATACACTACTGTTTCCGACACTGTTCCCCACCCACAGCCCCGTCCTTTGCCCGGCCAAGTACGCACCAGGTGGTACATGTTTTTGCGGACGGTGCGCAGCATTCCCGGGTAGGTGTGTCGCAGCAGTTCTGTCACCGAGCTCGGCCACTTGGAGTACTGTCGATCGCGCTCAATGTCGTTCAGCCAGTTCACAGCCGTGTCGCGGAAATCCACGGCGAAATCCTCGGAGCTCGAGCTCAGCTCCAGACGCAGCATCTCGTCGAACGCCGCCCGAGGTACGCCTGTGGAACGGTGGAGCAGGCAGGTCAGGTGCTGTCAGCAAGCGGATCGGAACCAATAAAATACCAGGTGGTGTCTAAACCGGTGTTTAGCCGGCATGCATTTCAGTTCCGCCGAATTGCGACGCGTATATATTGGGCTACTCAGTTACTTTGCTACCGTCTTTTCATTCTATCACATCCACCATAAGCTTATTACATGCATATGATCGCACAGATAAGGAAGGTAAAGATAGCAGCTAACAGCTGCTATCAACAGCAGCCTGCAGATCAAAGCTCGCTCGCTGTATAGTGTCTACCATTATCTGCTGAGCATTAACCAAGTCATCGCGCACTGTCAACTCACCGACTTTCGCGAGTCCCTCCATGACCCGCTGCTCCTCGCGGAGGTGTTCGAACAGGGTAAACACGTCCATAGTGTCCATGTCGAAGAACATGCCGTTGACGAACAGCGCCGCGTCAGAATAGTCCAGATTCAGCGACTGGTAGATCTTGTTGTAGTTGTTCTTGATCTCGCTCTTCAGCGCCTTGTCCACTTTCGTTCGAATCAGGGACCGCGCCTGGCGAAGACGGAGAGTGCGGTCGTGCTTAACACAGAGCATTCAACCGGCGAACTGTATACCGATCAGACACTACCAGGTAAAAGCGCCTTTCATAACCATTTACATGAAGGTCGTTTGAAGTTTTTTTGTGGTAACAAAGTAAGACAGATGTCGCCTGTTAGTCGGCGAATGGAAGCTCTCTCCGTGTCATACAAGGAAGCTTTCGAGCCCCCACGTCCACTCACCACGGAGGGGAAGTTCTGCGCCAGTCCGGTCATCAGGCGGAGCGCCTCGTCCAGGTCCGCCTGGGCCACGCGCTGAGCCGCCTGCAGGCTGAGCTCCTGCAGCTGCCACACCTTCAGAGGAGCCATGTCGGCAGAGGAGGCCACCAGGTGACGCTGGAAGGCGCTCAGGTTGGCAGACAGTTCCGGATGGAGTTCCCTGTGGGCGAGAGGCAGGGCTGAGTCGGTGGGGCGATACGGTCAGAGCGGAGGTTGAGAATACCTCAAAGATCGCCAACAAGAGGAACAATTTGGTAAATCCTTAACATTTATCACATCCATTCATCTACACGACTCATTGCAAGCCAATTACATTGTGGAGCCACAATTTACGGCAGAGTGACGACTGTCGGTGGCAGAGGAAACAGAGGCGCTGCTCTTGATCAGTGCAGTCTGATTCACCTCAGTCGGCTGAACAGGAAGCCCTCGACGTCATCGGCCTGGTCCTGCGAGGCGGCGTCACCGGACGTCTCCTCGCGCACCTTGGTGTCGTCCTGTGCCTTGTACTCGGTGGATTTGATGGCCAACTCCACACCATAGCCGGAGAGCCGCACCTTGGAGCCGCCCTCAGACTATAGGGCCAGAATACAGCACACCGTCACAAAATATCAGAATAATCATCACCCAATGCACAGAGGAAAGCAGCAAAGCTCAAAATGCCTTAGTCCCGCGAAGGACGACATATCGCCATTGAAAAACATTTATACCATTCCATCACAGTATGAATAGCTGGGAGTTTCAGTATGCTCGTAGCCAGGATACGGGTAAAGTAGCCACATCCGCCTCTTGTGAGACAAGCCCGAGCACCGGGCCCAGCACCACGTACAGTCGAAACACAGCTGAAGAATGGGGCACCATGCCTCTTCAGCCGGAGTTCTACTCACCGCGCCACTGTAGGGCCGGAGCACGTAGTCGACTTTCCGCTCGTCGGCCAGCTGTTTGAGCTCTGTGTGCAGCTTACAGAGGGACTCGGTCCCCAGTCGGCCGTAGAGCACGGCCGCAGCACGTCCCGCCGGCTGCTCGCCGTACCGGTGATCAACAGAGAACGTCTCCGGTCCTGCGGTCTCTGCCGCGGCTGCCTCGGCCAGCTCTCCGGCGGAGCAGAGCAGGCGGTCACCCAGCTGGACGAAGGTAGACGCGCAGTCCGCCGGGGGCTCCAGGTCGGCGGCCAGCCGCTGCCACAGCGCCACCCGCGGCGAGTGCCGGCGCAGAGACAGAGAGAAGCGGAGCAGACCCAGCTCGGAGGCACTCAGGTAGCGCCCCGCCACAGAGACCACCTGCTCATACTGGACACGCTCCGGGGAGCCTGGGGACAGGGCGCTCAGATGAGCATTACTAGCACAGGTAAGGGCTACAAGAGACAAATACGGAGGGTATGACGCCTCTCTGAAGGCTATTTTCGGCAGGCACTAAGCCATTCTGACAGGGACATACAGCCTGCAGACATCTTGCATATGAACAGCTGCTGAACACAGTCATTTGTGATTCACATACATAAACACAAGCATGGCTGCATAGCTCACCTGGGTCAATATTTGCTGTGCATGTTTGATCCACAAAATCCCAGAAGTATTCATTGTTTTCTTCACTTAAGTATTCAGCAACTTCATGGGCAAATGGTGTCTGACCCCACTTTGCATCAAGATTTGTTGAAATGTACTTGCTCTTGATGTTGTGTTCCTCTGCTGTGCCAGCTTGCACTAGATAAAAAATCCAGACCAGCAGCCAGGACATCATCCTGAAAGATGACACACATTAATAGCAGAGCTTCATTCAACTTATGACAGTAACTCACTGAGTGGATCTATTGAGGCCAAAGTCTGAGAGCTTAGATTTACTCCCACTTACCAAGCTGACTGGTTGATTGTGGGTTTAACCCTTTATAAGGAGGAGTGTGGAGTGTGGGCCAAGTGTTAACTGGAGCCTTCACAACAAGAACAATAATAACAGCAACAAAACACATTCCATGAACACAAAATTAAAATGAGCATAGAGTCACACACTCACACTGTTCAATGCAACAAAGGAGCAGTCAAACTACAGAGTAGTTTACCTATCTCCCTCCCTCCCTCCACTCTTCAATCCAGCATGCAAAATTACCTTTTTGGATCTACCAGCCAGTGTCAATGGCTAAAATGATTTATAAGTAAAACTTTATATCAAATTTACAATATATTCAACTTGCAACTACTTATACTTACTTAGACTGATACTTATAAAGCACCTAGGTACACAATTTTGATTTTTGAAAGGCCACTTCGCCTCAAGGATCTCGTCATACCGAGCTCTTTGCAGTGTCCTGACTCAGTCGTTAAAGTGAGTTGTGCCTTTTGAATGTGCCCAGTGTTTGTCCAGTCTGGCTTTGAAGGCGGTTGAAGGCGAAGGTGAAGACTGGGGGCAGTGACAACTGATTACAGGGAACTCACCCAGAGGGCTGAGCTGTTTGCCCGTAGACAAGCCAGGCGAGAAGAGGCCAATGGACAGCCTCATGTTTCCGCCCCTCAGGCCCCACCCAGGACAGAGACCAACGCCCAGGGTGGCACCCCCTCTGCTGACCCGGGAAACTCCCTTCGTGCTTAGACACTCCTACAGTGAATCAGCCCAGACTTAGTGCCACAACAGTTTTAAAAATCGTGCATGTTAATATAAATGGACTGTCATCAAAGCTCCACCTTTTAAACCACGCAACCGTAGACCGATGGGATATAATTTGTGTTACTGAGACCCACTTGTTACCCAAAATAGCTGACTCCTTTGTAACAATCCCTGGTTACAGTCTTCTGAGAAATGACACTGCAGGAAGCGTCGCCAAACACGGTGTATGTGTATACATAGCAGAACACATTATGACTGACTCCCCTTGCAGACCCCTACCAAACACGCTGTCAGTGCACCTTACCGCATACAATGTGTATTGTCTTCTTGTATACCGACCTCCTTCGTACTCGATTGTTTCAAACAACTCAGTTCTAAGCCTCATCAATGACTTTTGCTCGGACAGAGAGGTCATACTACTTGGTGACTTCAACCTTCCCTCGATCAACTGGCTTTCTGACCCTCCGACAGCATCCAATGCTACCGACCACTCCTTCTTGGACGCATTCTCCTCGCTTGGACTACACCAGTGGGTACGAGAACCTACCTTCCCGAGGTCCGGAAACATACTAGACCTCGTCCTCACCTCTGAGTCAGATCGAATTGGGCAGGTAGAAGTTCTCCCTCCTATCCCTGGGTGTGACCACAGCCCCACCAAGTTTGAATATGCCTTCTCTCTGGATGTACCAGACGCTAGTATGACTACCGGTGCCAAGCACAAGCATTGGTTTAAAGGTAATTATACTGCGATATCCTCCCACTTAGCCTCTATTGATTGGGACTTTGAATTGGCCCATTTAGACGCAGATAGCTCCTTTAAACGTTTTGCTGGTATCCTTCAGCAACTTACCGATGAATTTGTACCAGTGATACCAAAGCGTGGTGATGACAATCCCCCTTGGCTCAAGCGGCCTCCAAACAGTTTGATCAACCAAAGACACTCAGCTTGGTTGCATTATAAGAACGTCAGGTCGCGTCTTGGTCGTCGCTCTAGCGAGTCATTTGCCGCATATTCTGCCTTTAAGTCTGTCAACAACCGTTACCGGAGCTTTGCGGTTTCTCGCCAGGCAGAGTATGAGGAGAACCTCTTCCTTCAATCCAGGGTTGGCATTTTTGCCGGCAAAAACTAGTTTATGCCATTTGCCGGTTTAAACCGGTTTTAACCGGCAAAAAGTGGCAAAAACTGGCAAAAACCCAGAAATGTCACAATGCTATGCCTAGACATGATTTTGAACAGGAAACATTTTAAGGAGAATTCGGTGAAAGCTTAATGCTTTCAAACAGAAGTGACATTGACCATTGAAATGTTTCATACCTAACTCAGAAACATTTTCATGGGCTATCCATAAGGAGCTAGTAAGATGACTTTTGGGGGTGACAAATGAGCCAGTGCAAGGGTGACTGGGTGAGTTCTGCACAATCAGAAGTGCGAAGAGGTATCGGCCACTGATATGCGCACGGCACCGCATGACACCCTACTTACCGTGGCCGCCTTGCCCCACTCTCCCCTACATGGAAATACATTCCGTTGTGGATATCTACCGACATGCATAGACATTTTAAGCAGGGATAAGTAATGAGGCAGCTTCAGAATGTTTAGTGCATCTATATAACTACCAGAAATGCATTTGTACAGTCCACAGCAGAAGTAACGTGTGGTTTCAGTCATGGGTATGTTCTGCTTCTGAAACTTAGGAACGATTAGCCGGACTACAATGAAACTTTGAATGTAGCTTATATGTATCCTCAGCATTAAACAATTGCCAGTCAAAGCCAACCGTTGAGATTGGTAAAACCCTTCATTACTTTAGCGGTGGGCTGTACATTTCAAATCCATTCCTAACTACATATAAAAGTTGTAGGTTTGGCCATCTGAGTTTTAGCCAGTTTTTGCCAGTTCTTGCCACCAGGGTTTCTGCCAGCCGGTTTAAACCGGTTAAAACCACTGGCAAAAACCAGTTTTTGCCACCCCCTGCCAACCCTGCTTCAATCCAAAGACAATCCCAAGGCTATACATACTTACATTCGTCGGAAGAAGGTGGGTCGACCCTCAGTCGGTCCAATCAGACTCCAGTCAGGACAGCTCACCGACGCACCCGGTGAGATGGTCGAGGTGTTTGCTTCCTCGTTTGCCTCCGTGTACTCGTCGGTCGCCCCTCCCAATCCTCGTCCCTACCAACGTGCTGATTGTGTCATTGACCCCATTTCATTCTCGATTGAGTCCATTCTCAAAGCCCTGCACTCTTTAGATTGCAGCTCTTCTATGGGACCTGACAATCTGCATCCCCTGCTGCTGAACAAGTGTGCCCCACACATCGCTTACCCTCTGTGCACTATCTTCACCCGCTCTTTAGCAGAGGGGGTTGTGCCTGACGACTGGAAGCGTTCAGCAGTTATTCCTATTTTTAAGAAAGGACCACGCTACGATCCGCTTAACTATCGTCCCATTAGCTTAACCTCTGTTTGTGGCAAAACCCTAGAACGCATCATTGCTGATCACCTCACTGTGTTCTTGGAGAACAATGACATTCTATCTCCTAACCAATTTGGATTTCGTTCCGGCAGATCCACAATGGACCAGTTACTACTCGTGTATGACCATGTGTCAAAATGTGTTGACGAGGGAGGCGTTATAGACGTAATCTTGTTCGACTTTAGCAAGGCCTTTGATGTCGTCGTTCACAGCATATTGATATCCAAGCTGAAATGCATAGGGGTTGATGGTAACATATTACATTGGATACATTCTTTTCTGACTTCCCGCCATATGAGAGTAAGTATTAATGGTGAGCTGAGCAAGACAAGAGAGGTACTGAGTGGCGTGCCGCAAGGATCCGTTTTGGGCCCTCTGCTCTTTTTGATATATATTAACAGCGTTGGCGCACAGCTCGCATGTAATTACAAAATTTTTGCTGATGATCTCAAAGTGTATGCCTGTGTTAATCACCCTACTTCGTCCACAGCTTTACGCCAAGCAGATGTGCAACGTGATATTGACGAGCTCCACTTTACAGCTGACTCGTGGGGACTGCATATGAATGTGGCAAAGTGCGTTGTACTGCGTTTCCCTAGATCCTCATCGAAACTACCTGTCCCAACCTACATCCTCAATGGCAATCACATCCCACACGCTTCTTCGGCTAAGGACTTGGGAGTCTTGGTAGACACGGACCTGAAGTTTCATGACCATGTCAGATCAGTCACTCACAGGGCAGGCGGGCTAGCATACAGTTTTCTAAAGTCGACGGTGTGCCGGTCCCCCAAGTTTATGCTTTTTCTCTTAACCACACATATACGCCCCGTTATTGAATATTGTTCTTGCGTCTGGAACACCGGATATGTCCAGGACCTTAAGCTACTGGAAAGTGTGCAGCGAAGATGGACTAAACGCATCTCCGGTATGCAGTCCTTATCCTATGGTGACAGACTGAGAGCCCTAAACCTCTACTCGGTCCAGGGAAGGCTGCTCCGTGCTGACCTCATTCAATGCTGGAAAATTTTTCATGGTAAGTCGATCATCAAGCCAGCTGACTTGTTCTTACAGCCTCCTCAATCTCGGACCCGAGGTCACTGCTACAAAATTTTTCCCTCGACCTTGCGAACCGATGTAAGGAAGCGCTCGTTCTCTCGTAGGTGTATATCTGTATGGAACTCTCTCTCTGCGGAAGCTGTATGCGCGGACAATGTATCGCGATTTAAAGGAAAACTAGACAGTGAACTGAATGACTCATTGTACTGTTTCTCGTAATGGCTGATACCATGTCTTACTGTCTCATCTTAGGAAACTAGTATATGCTACATGTCAATTACTGTTGTGAGGTGCACATTTCCAGACAGTTTATTTATGATTGTGCTCATAGGACATTCCAGCACTACTGTTTGGCGCGCCTTATGTTTCTGGGGTTCCGTAGTCCACTCCCTGCCTCAACTTCCTAAATTGCCATTCCCTCACAGTCGGACATTGGAACCCAACCAGGTAAGTAAACCAGGTAAGTAAGTTGATGACACGAACGCGGAACGCAGGAAAGGGAAAACATTTCAGAGCACACTCGGGAGATAGGATGTTGTTAGCTGTATCCGTCAAAACTCTCAGAAAATATATTAAAGGGACCCTCCCACCTTCAAAAAAGTTAATGAATTGGCATGAAAGTGATGTCGCTCGGTTCAGAAAGAGCGAAAACGAATATCTACCAAATTTCATCGAAAAATATTCACCGGTTTTCAAGATATTAGACTTTTACTTTTGTTTACTTTTTGGGATCTCCGCTGTTCCTAGCGACTTTATTTGAAAGTGCGGCATTTGTTGCGCGCAAAGCAGCATATACCACCGCGTGCTACCAAACGTTTTAGTAAAAGATTTAAAAATCGTTAGATCTCCACTGACGTCACAAATTCTAAGGGGGCATACCAATGCATTAGCCCCTTAGAATCCGAAAACTGCAAGTTTGAAAGGCTCTCTCTATCGCCTGGATAAAAATAGGCCCCGCCCATCCCAATCAGCTGCTGTATGACGAGTTGATGACGACAACCACTACTTACCAGCAACCAATCTAGGGATAGCGTACGTGACAGTAATGGTGCAGCGGTTGCAAAATATCACATTGTTATTCAAACGGTTTTTGCTTTTAGGGCCTTGTTGTTTACCCCATCTGTGTTTGATTGTATTGAGATGTGATTTTAGTAGATGAGGTGTTGATAAAGGCAGGTATTTTTAAAAATATTTTTTTGACAACTTTTTGCCCTTGTTCTACGGGCAAAAACCCGGGGAACCCGGGGCCACCTGAAGTCTAAACCTTATTTATATAACATGTCGATGCTGATGCTGTCTTGAAATGTGAAATTTAGACAATGGTAATAGGAATAATGAAAAGCAATTTCACCAACAACTTGTTAATCTCTAGTAAGTGCAATTAAAATAAAAATCACTGTCTGCCACACTGCTTCGATCCTGGTCATGCAACCAACGTTCATGGGTGGTGTTTCATGGCAGAGCACTGCGGTGCGCTGCGTGTGTCAGAGCATTGGGTTTCCATGGCAGTGTCGACAAACTTCACTGTGACGCTAAGCTATGACAGCATCCCAGAACGTTAGCATGCTGCGGTACCAGCACCAGCAGCATGCTAGCAGTATTTGAACTCAAACCTTTGTTTTTGGTACGGTTTTTCAGCAACTCTCACTCTGTTCCAAACGCGATTCATCATAAACTAAGAGATCACATGCAACGTCATTGGAGTGATGCTATGGTATGCCGTAGCTACCAGTGCACACAGTGTCTGGATGGTGAAACAGGGCCATTGTTAATCACATTTGTTTGTTTTGTTTCAGCAGAAACCTGTCTGCACATGGGAGGAGCGCAACAAAAGCCCATCAAGTTCATGCATGGCAGTGGATCTCAACAGGAGAAAACCAGAAAGAACATGGATGCTTGTAGATTGCAGTTGTACACTGCTGTTATCACCTGATGTGCGTGGCTGGCATTGCTCCTGGCAAGAACCACCTGCAAGTGATGAGATGGTGCCTCAGTCGTTGAGTGTGCTGCAGTGTGAGAGGCGCCCTGATCTCTACTTTGTGATGGGTTTCCATTGGAGGTTCAACTGAGAAGTGAGAACTGACTGTGACCATGCTTGAGCATGCCAGTGGAGCTTTACATGCTTATGGCAGCTTTTGAACAGATGCTGACCATGGCATGTCCCATCCAGTTATCACGTGCACAGAATGGTGGGGGGAGGGCAACTCTGGGCTCTTGAGTCACCCCTACTGCACAGGGGGTACAGATGGCCGCTTACTTTGGTGTGTCCTGCACTGCATTATCAAGCCCAGTCTGCTGCCACAGGCAATGGGTCGGGCTGCACTATATTAAAGGCAGACTATCTTGCAAAGGAGGCTGGCATCCTCTCCCATAATGACACACCAATTGGCAATCATCGCTGCGATGATCACGAGGGTGTCCGCTTATCTAACATGGTGAGGTGGAGAGCCAGCTCAAGCTGGCCTGAGGGATGGTTTTACTTCAGCTGAGGCCCCCTTTCCCCGCCTGCCAGGTCCGGTCAAACGACCGCTTCACAGTGAACGACTTGCAGCTGTGGATGCCGTCCCACAGCGCAACGAGCGCGCCGACCAGAGGCGGCGGCCAAGAGGCGGCCGCGCTCTCCCAGTCGACGGTCCCGGTGGACGTCGGCAACGCCCACCGCGCGACCATCAGATCGGCTCGCGACCGCGCCGTCGCCGACTGACCGCATGACTGGTATCTGTTCTTGATGTGGGACCGACTGCCACCGCCGGTCGCGGAAGGGCATCGCTCATCGGCCATCGACGTCCACCAGCTTCGCGTGGGTCACTGTTCGGGCTGCCACCAATATACCGAATCGGATGGAACCCTGTCGGCGAATGCCGGCGGTGCCCCGACATCGACTGCGCGGCGGCCAGTGCATCGCGTGCCGGGAGGAGGCTGGCACCCCCGATCGGTCATTGGTCACAAACCGTGTCCCAGCTCATGACTGCATCCAGCGCAGCTCTGTGAGATGTTCTGCTGCAGTCTGCCGCGTGTGTTGAAAGAAGAATGAACATGAGAAAACCTCAAAACTTTATGCCTATTAGTATTTGACCAGTATTAGAATAAGTTTGGATTTTGAGAATTTGTGTCCCTGTGCTTGTGCCTGTGTGGAAAGGCATGCTTTACGGTGTACCATCTCAATTTGTGCGGCTGCTGACAGGCCACCTGGGTGCCAACGTATGTGCGAATCCGCGAATACGTTGTATTTCGTCAGTCGGTATCGTTCTGAAAATATTGACTGCAATAGGCTATATAGCGTATGACGGTTCAGCCCAGCAGTAATAACTGACCATTGATTGGGCGAATTTTGTGTGGTGGTTCGCTAATACATAACCTAAAGAGTGTTTTGCCGGAATCGTTTAGTAGCAGAACTGACCGGAATATAAGTAGAATGCAACGGTTTGAATCGTTAATTTGTTGAAACGATTGTTCTCTGAGACCACTGTGTAACTTTTGACCTGAGAATCACCAGTTATAACAACGGTGGAAGCAGTAGGCACTATAGAGTGTAGGCAACACTATATAGTTGGCACACTTACGCAAGCACACAACTTACGCAGTGGACATCTGCGTCATGCATTTTAAGGTTTACTGGGAAGAGTGAGAAATTAGTCAGAATATAACTGACTAAGGAAAATAGGCGATATTTCCAATTGAGCTGGGGCGGAGAGGGGGAGGGGACGTATGGTCAGCTATGCCAATAATTCATTCTCGTTATGCAGCTGTGTAAAAGGGCGTCCGTTTTTTTGGGGTGAGACCTTCCCCATTGGCCATTTCCAAGCTAAATCGTGGTGGAGAGTCTGGAGACCTCAGCCTCGGTAGTCGGTACCCTGCGCGCTGCGCCACCTTGCGAAACATAAAGCAGCAGTCCTGACATCTGCAGGCGCTACTTTTCATGAAAACGCGGATGTGTTCGCGCTTATGCGAAGAAAATTCTTCCGAGTATGGTTGATAATGAGATTAATTGTTGTCATTTATTTATTAATTCATTAGCAAAAGTACCCTAATAAATCGGTAAAGTAGCTTAAACTGTATCGTATTTCCTTGAGAAAAAAGGACGAACTCATCCTAAGACATCCAGATTATTGGATGCGTTCGTCAGTTGTAAGTAGTTCAAGTTTTTGGAAAAATTTGCTTGTGGAAAATCATAATATTTCAAAGATATACCTATTTTCGAATGATTTATGCATTTATCTGCATTGAAAACTGATTGTAAAGCAAAAGTGCAAAAGATTATTGTCAATTTATTTTCTCAAATCACGATTTACGAACGCACAAAACTCCAGCTTTTAATTTAGTGCGTGTGCGAATTGCGGTCAAGAAAAAAGAATTTAACTGTCTATATTCCTCTTAAAACAATGAAGGATGAATGAGGAAAACGCTGTTTTGAACAATCGTATATTAATTTTTTCTCAATTAAGCAAAAGTACAAAATTTTCAACTATTATTACATTTGCTCTCACAAAACCCATCACTTTTAAGCATGACGTCATGTCAGCCAAATTTACTAGCGCCATCTCTGGAGAGCATCTTTCGAAACCTCCAGACGATAGAGAGAGCCGTTTGAAATTCCATATCTCCGAATTAAAGCATTTTTCGATGTTGTGAGTGCCCAAACCGGTATTTTCAGGCCATGGCCACCAATTTGGCTATCTCAACTCAAAACTAATGTTAAGGTGGGAGGGTCCCTTTAAGTTGTGATTATGCCACAAACAGACATCAGTGATCATTTCCCTATCAAATAGGTAGCTCAAGCTTGTCAGCCCCCCCCCCCCCCAACTAATGGGCATTACGCACATACGTGTAAAAAGTACAAAGGCCTCTTTCCGCCAAACGTTTCAGCAAGCCAGCTTTATTATACTCACTTTACAAGATATTCTTGCAGGGCTTTTCACCGCCTCTCACTCATAAAAGCAAAATTGAAATAATTGCAAAATTACACACACGTCACGTCTAGCCGGCTGGATGATGCCGTCTACGTGATTTTCTGCTGTTCAGTGATTATGCCCAGTCAATGTGAAATAACAAGTTGCTTAGCAACCTGCAAGCAAGCAGCAAAAACGCCGACCGTTGCCAGGCGACCTTCTTCCAATATCAGGCAGCTGTTTGAAGAGGGATTTACTGAACAGAAGAATGCGTCATATTCGCACCTTCCCCGTTGATGTTGGTCTGCTGAGGTCTCGAAATTAATTATATTTATCAGTTTTTATTATTATTGTGGGAACACATCTCATGATGTGTGAATTGGTGAACAAGCACTGATAATTTCCATTTAAATCTGGGTGACAAGCTACCTTTGAAGTCCTCGATTAGTAGGTAAGTTCCGGCTTCCGCGACTTTTGGTCCCATTTCTTTCCATGCAACGCCCATAGCAGTCGGTGACACACCAGGGAAATAAGCTAAAATTAGAGCGCTCTATTTATTGCTTCCGCTACTTCACCGTCTCCCATAGGGTCCTGTGTTGAGCTGGTGTCGAGGCTCTAAAAATGACGCCGATTTTTGCACCCTTCTCACGAAAACCGCTCGGACCGCCTGGAAACCAATTGTTCCGCTCTAAAAATTTCATGATCGACGGGAAAATGAATGAGGAAAAGATTGGTCCTGAAATAATTCTGAACTCCCTGTAGAACATATCGAAATATGGCTGCAAACTAGGAGCATGTCAAAATCGCCAAAACAATACAAATAAATTTACCGGGATTTTTTATTTTCCATGCATCTGTGTATGAAATCAGTCGGTTTTTCGGAAAGATCATCTTCTGTTTAATAAATAATTCCACAATTGCAATCGAGAAAAAAAAACATTTCCGCTGTGACAGCAGTTTTGGCATTGTGCCAGTAGTGTGGCGTGCGCGGTGCTGCGCGGTGGTCGGGACGGAGTTGTGAGTATTTTCGGTGTTTTAAATGGTTGATGGCCATTTGAACCAGCTTCATATTATTTCCTACAAATTTTTGCATCAAATTATTGCTTTGAAAGACCATTGAAACCCCTTATCTCTTCAGAAACACGATCATATTTATCGTCGACGAAAATGGCGCGGGACTCCATGTGCATTCCGATCGAAATAAATCGTAAATTAAATAATATTCGATGATAAGTATCATATTCTAGTGACACATTTTCATAAAATAAGGCATAAACTTTGCAAGGAAGTCAACATTGGATAATTGGATTCCTATTTTGCTCACATATCCTTGTAGTAGTCAAATGGCTCAATAGTTAGATAGATGTAAGTTATGTTTTGGCTTGATGTTTGCTGTGAAACCACCCAGCCACTTGCTGGTTGAATGGTTTTCTGATAATTACCGGATAATCATTTCTCCTTTTCCTGAAAAGAAACTAAAATTCCTTTCAAAGTAACCCATTTTAAGGAAAGGTGGCTTGCTCATTGGCATTTCATGTTCTTGTTTTGTTATTGCTGGCAGTATTTTGATACAATAATGAAATATGAATTTTTTGCAATAATAAAACCTAAGACAAACTTAGTTAATGCGTATATCAAACACCTAACAGAAAGATTGTGAGTCCTTGTGACGTGAAGTAGAATACCTATTCTATGAATGTGTTATATATAATATGCCAAATATTAAATTAATTATTATTTGATACTGATAGCTGAGCATGTGAATTATGCCACAATATAATTTCATTTTCTGGTTTTGAAATAGCCGGCAGTATTTTACTTCAACAAATGTAATATACATGGAATACATGTTATGTTACCTATGTTAAAAGTTTAATAACAGCCAACAGAAGGAGCTGTTTCAGCAGATAATGTTTGTACCTTATGCATTACCTTTCTTTTCTGCAGGACCATGCTTCCGCTGGGTGGTCGACATTTGCCTCCTGAAGAAGTTGAGCAACATGAAGACCACCAGATGAGGTGTCTGCAGTTCATGTGGAACTCTGCAGACTACAAGTGTTATGCCAACCACAACCACAGTGCTGTGATCATGGAGGCATGAACCTCATGACAACACTTCAGATTTGCAGTTGAACCAAAGTGTGATTCAAACCACCTGTGGCATCTCACTCAATGTGTGAACAGTGTGATTATTGTGCAGTGTTCAGCTGCAACTAAGACATTTATTAGTGACTTGTTTTGCAATTAGCCACCAAAAGCATTTTTGGGCTGGCTGCTGTAATTTGTTGTGCACTGCGCAATAGTGGTAGTGTTTTGTCACTTGTCAAGTTGTCAGTTGTGCATGTTGCATGTTTCTCTTCCCTCGGCCCTCATTATCAGTTAAGTGGTGACTTTGGCATCACTCAGTCTCCCCAGATCTCCATTGACTGTCTGTCAACCACCTAGCTTGAGATGGTATTTGCTAATAGTGTCAGAAAAGAAGTGATTGTAGACATTTTTAGGAATATGAGCTCCGTTTCATGCGTGTTCCAGTAGTCATTTTGTCACATGTCCCATAGTGTAATAAATGGGAACTGTTGTTCCCTTTTAAAGGTACTCGCGGATGCAGAAAGCGTTGGGCCTTATTATTAAACGCACCCTCCTATCAGCGACGCACGAAATCGACAAATATCATCCTTTTTAGAACAGGAGGAAACGAAAACTTGTGAACATAGCTGTACCTACAACAGTGCATAAGGAATTGAAATTCTGGGAGTTTTTGAAATTCGGAGAAACTCAAGTTGTCGACAGGTATGCCCCCTTGCACGTCAAAGACCGCCTAAAAAACAAACGTCTACAAATGAAGGCAGTATTCGTATGTTCGTTGTAATTGCAGCAGCCTAGCAACATGTATTGCGGTCCGATGGCGAATTACACTCGTGCTCAAAAACTATGCCAGTAACTGCCAATGCACTTAGGTCATAGGTGAGGAGAGGAAGGGTTATGTCATATGTCAACATCATAGAAATGGCTTCATCTGAGTTGTGCCTATTGTACATAATTCAACCAATCTATGCATTTCGTTTCTTGCAATCTACTCATGCTTTCACTCCAGCTTCAGAGTAATCATCCCATATTGTACGTCTTTAAGATATTGATTTCTATGGCGGTTTGCAATTACTAGCCACGTCTCACCTCAGTTTGGTGGCCCCGCATCGGCCCACTCGGCCGCTCTAAAATTGACTTACGGAGGAGGATGGTGGCTTTTATTTTAGCTTCTCCGCCGACTGCGGGGAGCGCCGTCGCCGAGGTAGGAGCAATAATTAGCTTATGTTTGGGACTAATTTCCACGCTTAATTAACATTTTAATGTTATTTTAATTAATTCATGTTAATCTTTGACGCATTCTCTTTCTATTGATACCATCCACCGGTCTGAGAATTACTGCCTTGCTGCGTAAGGGCCGATAAAAGATCACGCTTTTAGGGGTATCTCTTCAACATGGGGCAGGAGCAATAAATAGAGCGCTCTAATTTTAGCTTATTTCCCTGGTATGTCACCAACTGATAGGGCTAATGTTAAAATGTCAAAATCAAAGGGGGGCACGGTGCCCCGGTGCCCTCCCCGTTCCGCCGCCTATGATTGCTATTGCTGTTGCCAGCCCAGCTTTGGCTTCAGTGCCAGCGTGAAATCAATATTGATATTTAATTTCCATGTTGATGTAGCACATTAATTTTTAATTGCATGTCATTAAATATTGTTAAAGAGATATGTTTCAAGCAATAATTGAAAAGGCTGCAACTGAGATTGCAAAGCACGGCAGTCCTGATCGGCATTTCGCTGGGCGCCGACCGCCAGTCACCAGTGTGCATACTGCAGTGCAGATTTACTGCTTTGTGGTGTGGACTTAGTGTGGAACACAATACACTCAGTTGCAGGCCCCTATTGGTATTGCTCTTAACTGCTGTGCTGGTAGTTGGCACATTGTTGTCTGAATTTGATATGATCTACAGGAAAATCTCAGTCTTTTACATCATTTTATCTCCTGAAAAGATACATTGGAGTTTGCCAGGAAAGAATCAACCCTTTTTCAAAAGAATTAACCCTTTATTGCATTTTTGGCTTATTGCAAGTACAGTTTTATAGAATACATGAGTTTATATGAATATACATGTCATTCATATATAAGTTTATATGAATATACAGTTTTATATGAATACATGTATATAGCATGAGTTCTTTCTTGGTAAACTTGTTCCAGTGTGGGGACTAGGGCTGGGCTGGTGCAGATTGCCAGCCATGCTGGTGTGGGCTGGTGCAGAAAAGTCACCTTAGCTTGGGGCATCTCTGGTCTTATTGACTATGCTGCAGTGCTGCGTTGTGTGCCATGCAGTCTGGGTTTCAACCTTCCTGACTTTTGAAATTCCAGTGACAGTTGACCTAATTCTAAAAGTTATGTTGAAGTTTGATGCACCCACGCCAAGTATGGTAAAAAGTGTTCCCTAAGAGCTGGTCAGCAATGAGACGCGAGAGCCATTTCAGGCTTTAGCACTGACTATTTGCTTTGGACAAATAGTGGTCAATTTGTGATTAATCAGATTGGTGGTCTGAGTTTGTGACCATTGCATTACAGGCCAGAATCAGATGGAGTTGGTGTGAGCACTGAGCAGTGTATGATGTGTTTGTCTATTTTTATTAAAATAAAATTGGTTTGAAATCTTTTGAATGGAAGGATTCACGAGGACAGAGCCTCTGCTAGCAGAGCTTGTTGAGTTTGCTCTGCCCCTTACCCTCGGATCGCGCCATTCCCGTCTTTATGGCAGAAACTTGAGTTGGAGTTTTAACGTACGCACATAGCTGCATACGGCCGGTTACCTCGCTGACTTCAGCTGGCTACGGCCCCCCACCAACCGCAACCTCGCCCGTCAGGAGGCTCATAAACATCAAACACCCGCCGCGCTTCGAACCCGGACTTTTGCCACCGGGACATGTGCTCTCACCACACGGAGTCCAATGCTCTACCGGCTGAGCTACGGGATCGGCAATGCATATGCCAACGCCTATGTGGGCCAGTCAGCATAATTATTTGACTAAAACCTGTCGTATGTCGACCTTAATTGCCCGATGTAGCAGTAGAGATCAAGAGCTTCTCAACAACATCTGCTTTGCATTGGGATAGGTCGCGGTGGAATCGATATTGTGGGAGCACAGAAGTTTTGTAACACAGTGTATCAATCAGCAGTCTTGTGTCAAACGGACTAAAATCAGCACAACTATTGCCAACTATCAATGCCGGGATCTTTATGCCAAGGCTGAGGTGCCGGGGCGTAACACTTTATTATCGATTTGCAAGTTTCCAGTTTGAGCGTCTATTGGACAGCTTGACGGGCCAATGCTCCTCGGCTCTTCCCCTGAGGGTGATTGGGAGCGAGGGGAACTGTGCGGCAGTAAGCAACTGAGTAACGCTATCGACAACAGAAACAAAGCAAGGCTTCCAGGCGGTAGGTACTAAACATTGATAAACGCACATCTTCATGAGTTTATTTATTGTTATTAACGGACATGTTTATACCTGCCATAAGTACCGGTAAAATAGTCATATATTTTCCATAAGTCTTTGTTAACTAGCTTGGATAGTCAGCTTTATCCACAACCAAACTACCTACAGCATAAGTCATTGACGAAACACAAACAATGAATGAATAGATGAAGACTGGAGGTTGAACAAATCTTAATCAGTTATGTATGATAACTCATATGCAAACATCAGTTCTATGTAGGTTTGAGATTCAAAATCCGAGACATTACCTTTAAACATACCCACTCGACTACGACAGTGGGGTTCCTTGGGCCTTCTAAATCTACATGTCACTGACTAAACATTTATCATAAGTCTGTTTCATATACCGTGACACCCCCTACTGAGCGTGTTTACCTCGTCATCATCCAGGCTCGCCAGCAGCCTGACGTGACCCGGTTCAGTCCGGCTGTAAACCGGAGACCACCAGTAGCCCGACTCCGATCAGGCACTGCCGTTGTTGGTCCTTTCCTGACCGTAAAGGCAGCAACTGTCTGTTACCTGACTGTGATCAGGCGCCGCCGCTCTTGCTCCATTCCTGAGTCGGATTGGAGACCACCTGACGGCCCGCCACGTAGACGGCACAGATGTCACGACTATCTCCCAGGTAGACGAATTTCTGCAGTAGCTCGTCGTGTGAGTGCGGTGTCAACAGGTCCACGTTTGACTCCTCGTGACCCACATGAGCCACCACCGCGTCGAACTGCTTTCCCGGCTCGAAGTTGCCGATGATGTCGTCGAGTCCGAGGGCCCTGGCGCCCTCGAGCGTGGCCATTCGGAAGGCGTCTCGGAAGGTGAGCGCCTCGTAGTCGTCCCGGTGGATTGCGTGCACGTTAGAGGTGTGCAGCGTGGCACGGACGCTGTCCAGCACCGACGGGTGGTAGCCGCCAGACATGTCTGCCGGTGGACGAGGTGTTATTTAACGGAGAGCAGGAGCGCGGTCAGAAAGTGGGCCCAGTTACGATCAGATGGTTAGACGAACAGCAGCGAGACGTTCAGCTGGGCGGTTTCAGTCAAATGCCCAGACGGACTGTCAGGGTGCGGCGAAAGGGTCAGGACAGGCGACTGACCGGCTGAAACTGTCACCGTCACCAACTGAGCGTGGTCAGACAGACGACATCGGCACCGTCTGCTGGGTGGCAGTGTCTTCACCGGTACATGCTCGACACAGACAGCAGAGGTTGCTGCCTGGAGCCCTCAGGCAGCTCGTAAATTACACCATCAGTCGGGGATTGATTGCAGTGGGCGCTGACCACTCTATTATGATCGGATAATTACGCTGCTCTACATCACCAATGACCGGTGATGTAACAAGTGACGACAGAAACACGTAAAGAGAATGAATGCGGCTAATGAACAGATGTGCATGCACACTTGCCAACGTGCTTCTGCTCAAAGCCGTGATTGCACCACAGTTGATTAAGTTTGGGGTTTTATTGCAGCGTGGAGTGGGTCCATTGTGGGCTACGTACCGCGGGCTACTGTTTCGCTTACCCATGGCAAGGACCGCGCTGTCGCCCTCTCACCTGTGCGATGCCCATTGAGTCCTGCTTGCTTGAGTCAAGGGCGGCTCTGAAATCGGACTCGCGTGTGCTGAGGTCCATTCTTTATTTCCCATTTGCCTGTTACCACAGGTGAGCTACAGGTGTAGATATATCGTTCTTATATCCAACTCACCTGTGCCAAGGCCCGCTATGAATTTCCGCTCACCTGTGCCGAGGTCCAATATTTATTTCCCATCTCACCTGTGCCCAGCCCGACACTGACGCCGGCCTCGTGCAGCTTGCGCACGTCACACAGGCCGGAGCGCAGCGAGTTGTTGGAGTTGGCGCAGTGCGCCACGCCGGCGCCCGAGTTGGCCATGATCTGCAGCTCGCCCTCGTCGTGGTGCAGGCAGTGGGCGAGCACGGTGCGGGGACCGAGCAGCCCGGCACGCTGGTACACGTCCGTGTAACTGTGCGCCGCCGGGAACAGCTTGGCCACCAGCGCCTTCTCCGGCAGCGTCTCGTTGAGGTGCGTCTGCACGTGCAACTGGTGCTGGTTGGCGATCTTGCCGAGCCCGTTCAGGAGTCGTTCGCTGCAGGTGATGGCGAACCGTGGTGTGATGGAGGGACGCACTAGGGAGCACCGGCGCCGCAGCTGGCCGGCTACAAACGCCGCCGTCTCCTGGAGACTCTCGTCGGTATTCTCGCAGTAGTCGGCCGGCGAGTTCATATCCATGCACGTCTTGCCGACGAGGGCGCGCTGTCCTCTCCGGCGGCAAATGTCTGCCAGCCGCTCGGTGGCCGGCCGATGGATCGAGGCAAAGTAGGAAGCACACGTGGTGCCGTTCCTCAGGGTGCGCTCGACCACCGTCTCGTACACGCCAGCGGCGAACTCCTCGTCTCGGAAGCGCGCCTCCAGCGGGAACGTGTAGCGCTGGAGCCACTCGAGCAGCGGCAGGTCGAGCGCCAGGCCGGCGTTCGGGTACTGGCACGGGTGTATGTGGGCGTCCACCAGCCCGGGCAGCAGCAGCTGGTCGGCTTCCAGGTGCACCACGTCCTCGGCGGTGCCCCCGAGCCGCTGCAGCTGGTCGGACAGCTGGCGCGCCGGCACCAGCCGCTCCACCCGGCCGCGGCGCACCACCAGCACGTGCTCGGGCAGCACGTCGGCCGCACTGCTGGCCGTGGAGTGGACCACGGTGCCGTGGAACAGCTGCACCTCCGGCACGTCCTCTTCGTGGGACATGGTGTCGCTGCTGATGCTATACGACAGTCTGCCTGGACTCTGCTCTTCAGTCGCTCTTCAGTCGCTCCTCGCTATCCTACCCCGCGGTCCGGCCGCCTGGGGACGACACAGTCAACAGCGTCAGAAAGGACACAGTCCACACCGTTAGAAAGACAACCTTCGTCGTACTGCTGGCTAGCCAGTGTTAGTGGAACTGAGACTCGTCCTTGGAAATGCACTGCCAGCGGGGAAGGTCGCACTACCCTGAATAAATAACAATCTCGGGACTGTCGCTCGCTGAAGCGTGCGCACTGCGTAGGAGCCAGGAGTCATTACCCACTTTTACTGGGACGGCGCAGTTCCTGCTCCACAGACTTTGCTAATTCCATAATGACACCAGTCGGGAATCTGTTGTTTGCGTTTGTTTCCGTTTTCCACGTTTCATTCAAAACAACCTCAGTTCCGTGGAAGTTTTCGGTTCATTGATAATGATCAGTTATGCTTTATAGGGATGGTCATGAACAGGTGGAACGTGAGTCATGACTGACTGTCGACCTTAGCTCAGTTTGAGGGCCTTCCACCAAGTGTCATGGGTCCTTCATTAATTCAATTCTGGTTTATTGTTTATGCCAGCAATTACAAATTCGATTAACGTGACGGCGTTAGCAGAAGCCATCTACTACGGAAACAAGCCGAATTTCAGTGTGAACGAACATGTGTGTTTGTTGACCCGGTTTTGTTTTTCTATTATTTTTTGTTTGACACAAATAAAAAGGAAATTGTTTGGAATTCGATCTGCCTTGTCGAAATTTTGTTTTGAAACTATTTGTGCGACCGGTAAGAGCCTAAGTGCGCAACTCTGAAAGGAAGCCTCTGCGTACGTGTGATTGACAGGTGGGATGTAGCGGTGCAGTAGGGGAGGGGGAAGTACCTTATGGCAGCCGAATCAAAAGCGCGGAGGAGAGCAATTGTAATGGGATGACAGTGGTACATACCTTGAAAGTTTGATTTCCATTCACCGCATTTCATCTTGTGTGTTATTGAACAACAAAATAGAAAGTCAACTTTGGGGGGTGCGAGCTTGTAATCCAGGTGATTCGGACGATTAAACGTCATGCCGTAATGCTTGGTCATTTTGTCATGGGATTTTTGGTCGGTATACATAATTGCCTGAGCGAACAAAAAGTGCCACCAGTCATATCTGACGTTATTTAGCGGCATAATTATGATAATTTAATACTGAATTAAACATTTTTAGCCTGCGCCCTGGCCCTGGGGGTCCCAGCCAATTTGGCCATGGTAGAGGATTTGCCATTTGGCCCCACCCGATTATCTCCAAAACTTTATAAGAAAGGTAGAAAGACGCGAGAAAAGCAACAGATAGCTTGCTATAAGATCTTTCTAATTTACTAAGCTTATTTTTCGCAAATGGTAAAATTATACCGTACAATTTTCCCGATTTTGACAGGTTTTCACAAAATGGCGTACAACTCGTGAACCAAAAGAGCTAGAGACTAGGAAATGCGTATTTGATAGCTCTTTTACCGCTCTTTCGCTTACGTGCCCTCAGATTTACCTCAGGTCAACGATGTGGCCCACAGTGAACGAAAACTACCAAAATAGACGGATTTCGCCGATGCTATTTGTCCACAGTAACTTTGGCTTCAATTATTGTATTACATTTATTTTACCTCTTTCGTAGTTCTCTTTTCCAGACGCATCGATTTGACCCGAAAAAGGTCAACTTTAAATTTGACTGCAGGTCGAGGTCTGATTTGAGCGCAAGAGGCCATATTGCATATCAATCGATCCGTACTGATGACCTGAATAAATTCCGGGTGGCGGGTGCTGTCGTCGTTCTACCGTGTTTCCAACAAAAGCTATTGTCAAAAACCTTCTGGTGACCTTTTATGACCTAACATGACCTTTGAGTGACCTTTGAGTTCATCAGCTACACTCTGAATATTGCATAGGGGAAGCATTGGCATGCTTCTGTAAACATCCTGTGGTTTTGACGTGTTCATTCAAGGCAGGAGGCATTTGCACTTCTCCGGTGCCTTATTATGATGAGGTCATAAATCTGACCCAACCCAGGTCACATATATGAAAAATCGGAGAGATACATGCAAATTGCTGACACTGACACCCTCAATGGCCATCCCTTCCCTCTCCCTCCACTCATCAGGTTAAGCTCAACAGGGCTAAGGTTAGTCTAGGCATTATTATCCAAGAACTTGGGCTGCGTATCTTGACCAGTGCAAGAGTCAGCCATATATTCTGTTCAACAAATGCAACCATCTCGATTGTCATTAGGAGCAGCGGTGTTGTTGGTACCAACCTGGGCTAGCAAACCTGCCGTGTAGGTTTTGGATGTCTCCTTGCAGTATGTGTTGTGCTCGGCGTCCTTTGGTCCGATGTGAAGTCCCCGGCGCGAAGCTCCGCCCGCGGTGTCCGCGGGTCCGTCCGTCCCCCTGGCCGTCCGGCGGCCGTCTGCCGGCCTCTGGTGCCCCACTCGTCGACACGGTGCGCCCCTCTATAATGCGCCATCCGCAGACATAACGCAGATGTGGACCGGCCTTTGTGGTGAGCGCGCCGCCACTTGGTTACAGGAGGAATAAGACGCCAAGGAGGTGGGGATGGGAATAAGGCGCAGGTGGTGACTGTAAACCTTCTTTTTAGTCCTCCCCTGGTTTTAGGTCTCAGCCAACATCGCCTGCAGGGTGGCGGGGCCCTTTGGTCCCTCCCAATTATCTCAGTAACTAAGAAGATAAAAAGCAATCGATAGCTCTCGGCAAGATCTTTCAAAAATAAAGGGGCTGTTTTTTAGCCAGGTTTATGTCGAGGTCACTGGAAGTCATCAACGATGACTTTTTCCCGTTGAATTTTCACGATATAGATGCTTTTTCAAAAATGGGTGCAAGATCCGTAAACTAAAAGGGCTTGGTACTGAATCGCGAAAAACGCATTCGATAACTACTTCGAAGCTATTACACTAACATCTCCTCAGAGGTGAACTGAAGTCAATAATTTGGTAGGTATAGGTACAGAGGGTGAAAACCGCCAAATCGACGGTTTTGGCCAAAATGATTTAGTTGCAATACCTAACGTAAAACTCAGTCAATGCATTAATTTAACCATAATTTGACCATAATCGTGTTTCTCTTGTCGGTACGTGTTGATCCAATTAACTGTAATTTGACCTTGAATAGTTAGTTATTAGAAAACTTGGCCTCATGTGAAGTTTTCTGACTTCATTGACAAAACTATGATTTCGAGTTTGCATTTCTTACGTTTCTTATTTCATCTCAAGAGAAATGTAGAAAAGAAAACAATTCAACGAGGAACTAAGGATAAAACGTGAATTGTAAACGCTTACTATGTCTATAGATTTAAGCTTGGTCCAACCCTCATCAAATTTTTGACAGTATTCAGTTTGGAAAGGTAGGTATGGACATTGTCTTGTTGTTGACGGCAATCCAGGCCCCTGGTGACTCGTTCAGGGTAAATAAGCATTTTGACAGTCGCCAACTCGTCACCGCAGCCAAGCTGATACAAAACATGTTTTCACTGGTCCCAAATATCAGTTTTTGTTCGTGTAATGGCCGAGTTCTGGCCAGTATGTACATGGACATTCTGATAAACACTCGGACGACGGGGGCTCGGCTCCGGTGTTGCGTGTTCTCCATCTCGGGTTCACGCGCACTTACCGCACGGGGTCAGAACTGGCCAGAAAGGCGACAGCGGGAGGCGCCGGCTCTGACGGAGGCCAAGGAGAGGGCAGCATTAGCATCAACTAAACGCATCTGTGGTGTCCGCAGGTCCAGTGTAGAATCTGCCTCGTATATCTGTGGTGGCTGAACTCTGAAGGTCTTGTGAAGCTGTAATCTCACGGTATCTTTGTTCCACAGTCCGGTGTTACACTAATCTCACGGTGTCTGTAATATTGGCAGGCCTAATGTAGCACCAACTTTGATTTATCTGTGGTGTCGACGAGACGACGAAATACCAATCTCACGGTATCTACCTATTGTGTTCGCAGGGCCAGTGTAGAAATGGTGGAGAGGTATACTCCGCCACCGAAGAGGAGATTCGACATCAGCCAGCATAAGATCCCGTTTTCTCGCCGATATCCCAGAGTAAGTTCCAGCATAGAGATTTAATATATAAGATCTCTATGAGTTACAGTGCTTACCGGCGAGCCCGCATCCATCGATTGATGATTACCATCTAGCACATGGCAATTAAGCTGTAAATTCAAACGGTGCCGAATGCCGATCAAGTGCCGAGTGGAGAAATTACAGAGTGTCTCACTTGATTGAGGACGGGCTGGACTGTCTCGTCCTGTGTGAACATGCGCATTAAATACCAGTATTTAGTTGCATTCGTATGTATAGTACTGTGCAAATCATCGATCGTGTATGTGGGTGTTTCCAATGTGCAATCTGCTCCAATGTGCACGGGTTCCCTCTTTCTCATGTGATTCAGCTGTGTATGCTGTCCAGACCATGCGTTTCTCCGAATTATGATTCCTGTCCCTGTCACTGTGTTTGCTTAGTAGAGTCTGAGTAACCGCCCGTCGGTCCACCGCCCTCCCAGCTGCTCCAACGTCGCAGTGAGATAACGAGTGGCAAACTAGATAACGTAACCAATAAGGACCTAGAACATGGATAATATAAACAAGAGGACAAAGGGACGAGAAACATAGGAACATAATACAACGCAGCGTAACATTATATCTTAAAACATAATATAGCATAACACAATATAGCAAAGCATTACAGCATGATAAATTTTAATACCTGCAGCGTACTAACGAAAACGTTGAACATCATATCCATGCATCGTATATTTGCCACATATTTATATATCATATCCACGCCTCTGTATATCTCTCATCCATGCCCGTACCATGTTCTGTTGAGCCATTGCTCCGACCCCTTAAAGGCCTGGCTACACTATGCGTTTTCTGCGTGCGTTTTTTGCGGGAACGCGTGTTTTGTGTAATATCCGTTCTAGAAAAAAAAAGTTATTATTAACATAACTTCTTTAATATTTATTTAAAAGTAAATAAAATGTTTATATTAAATACAAGTTTATATGAAAAACATATAACAAAAACGTAATGTCGTTTCTTTCTAGAACCATATTCCGCAAATCACGCAAACTCGCAAAAAACACACGCAGAAAACGCATAGTGTAGCCAGGCCTTTATAATCCACAGTGCCCTATGATGCTGCCTGGTCATAATCAGTCGGGGACGCTTGTGAAACATGATGTAATCGTTTATTCAGTGTGACAAGCACACGCTCGTACGTGGGTGGGCTCACTATGACTTTGTATTGAGTCGACCCAAGACGATGTCGGTACTAACTTGTAGGCATAACACCAATAATGCCCCGTCACCAATCATCAGTACCATGGTATTGAGACCCGATCTCGGCGTCCCTGCGCTGAATAGTCCACGGGAACCCGAGTTCTGGTATATATGTTGCAGGCACTTTAGAAAATCAGTCATTTTGTAAAATGCCTAGGCATTTTGCAAAATGCCTGATTTTCCAGGCTTTTTGCAAAAAGCCTAGGCATTTTACAAAATGACTGACTCTCCAGTCATTTTGCAAAATGCCTAGGCATTTTACAAAATACCTAGCCATTTTACAAAATGACTGAGCAGCGTGTTGTAGATACGAGTACCTAATTATATACGTTTTGGTAGCGTATAGGTGGACCGAGGAGTCCAGCATTATGACCAGAGGAGTCCAGCAGTGGGAAGTCCATACCTACCTCTATTTTGAGAAGTGTAGGCTCGCGACATTTCCAACCCCCACGTCAGCGACGCTGCTGGATTTAAAATGATCGATCTGGAGCGTCAACAAACGACTGGCCCAGGGCTCTATGCCGGCCTGTATCTGTAAAACTATTAGAGGTCGCGAGGATTCGATCCCACACACTTAGGCGTTAGTGTCCTCTGAAACCAACGCTCTCGTCCTACGCCAAGCGACCTGATGATTCTCCCGATGTGGAGCTTGATATTTTTAACTGGGACCATGCAAGTAGGTAGGTACTCAAAGCTGTTAAACAAAGACACAATCAAACAAAGACTACACTCATTCGTAATTGTAATGTAATTGTACATCAACCGGGCCTTCCTATTGACTTGGGCCGGTCTCCGGCTGGTTTTGTTAGGTCTAGTTTCAGGCAGAACATGAACGGCGTTGATGTACTTGGGAGTTTTTACAGCGTTAACTAAACAATGCTTTATGCTACAGCCGAGTCTGCAACTCAACCTGGTCGTTACTCAGCATTGTCGTCATCACAGAGCTTCAAATCGATCAGCTACAGGCTGAACACGTACCTATAGGGTATAGGAAGACGTCCAAAAACTGTTGGCCATAGTATCTGTGGTGGGATCTACGTTCCATGCTGGTCAGGCATTTTGCAAAATGCCTAGTCATTTTGTAAAATGGCTAGCCATTTTGAAAAAAGCCTGGTTGCGTTCAGTCATTTTTCAAACAGCCGTCTTTTTGTAAAATGCCTAGGCATTTTACAAAATGACTGATTTTCTAAAGTGCCTGCAACATATACATGTGTACAGTCGTGTACAGGTTGATGGTCCTCTACTGTTTATCCACCGGGTTCCTATGGCTCAGCATTGGCAGCAGCCGCCTGGTACCGGTAGGCTGTGCCGCATGACCCGAAAGTTATGCGGCACAGTCTACCCACGCCGTTTGACATCGGCTCGGGTCGCCGGGTGGAGCGCTTTGTAGACCAGTTGTTGCGTCAGACCAGCGCGGGGGGGAGGGGCTCGTCTCAGTGGTTGGCGTGGGCTGGCGAGTGGTGTGGGGCGTGTCCGCCGCCCGCCCGGCCAGACTTTGCCCCGGCCACAGCCACCATCCGGTGTAGCTCAGCGTAGGAGTGCTTGACTGTCAAACTGACAGGTAGTGAGGGGCCCGGTTCGAAACGCTTCGGATGCTGGATGTTTATTTCTCGTTGGGAGGCTTTGCGTTTAGTCCACTCTTCAGAAAGATTATTTGGTGACTGACCTGTTTTCTTTCTTTGCTGCAATTCATGAGGAGACCGTATGCACCCTTACCTGTCCTTCCGCACCCCACTTGGGAGATGGGTGGTTGCCCCCTCCCCCCCATGGGTTTTGTGATTATATCTAAAACGAATTTTTGGAGGGGGGATGCGATCGGTTCTATGCGACAAGTGACCACACACGCCCAGCCCCAGGTCCGCCCGCTCACTCCCTCCCCACATCACCCCCTCCCCACACCACACTCCAGCCCGCCTCATCCACCGAGCCGAGCAATGACGAGCCTCAGCGCCCCGGGGCGCGACCTGTCAGCGAACCGGCGGGGACGCGGGCCGGCGTTTGCGTGCGCCGCGGGGGCAGGGGCGCGTCCACTGTCCAGGCGTCGGGGACATCGAGGCGGCGCGAGCTGGCGCCGCCACGGCGACACTGGACCAGACCTGATAATTGGACACCTCAACATTCAGTCGTTGAAGCCCAAACTGCCGGATCTGCGAGACGACATTCATAGAGTTTCAAGGATTTGATATATTGTCACTGTTATTACGAGCGAGCGAGCGCAGCGAGCGAAGTGAGTCTTTTCAATATAACGGAAAAATCTCAGTATGAGCGGCCCGGCCCGGCCCGGCCCGGCCTGTAACGCTTTTGAGAGGCTTATATCTCAGCAACCGCTGGACCGATTGGCCTGCGGTCTTTTTTGTTGGGTAGCCCCATCCCTTCTACCCCGTAATTTACCCGGTTTACATAGCATTTTTGACGAGGCTCTAGCTCGTTAATTTGGCGATAATTTCGATGCAGTGGTCTTCAAATATTTAGAGGGGATCATTTTGTAAGCTGTTCAGCACCATTGGCATCTTTTGCAACATCACGGACGGAGATATAAGCTTGCAACAAACCCTATGTAAACGCGTCTATTGGCTACTTTTGATACATCTCAGTGACCGTCGTGGCACGTGCCACGTGAAAAGTCAAGGGTGTTCAAGCTGTTTTGCAAAAGTAGTGATTTTGAGAGGCTCATATCTCAGCATCCGCTTGGGCGATTGACTTGCGGTAATTTTTGTAGGGTAGCAGCATCCCTTCTACCCAAAATAGGATACTCTCGATGAATGTGGGTCACCCCCAGTGCACGTGCAAAATACAACAATAAGAGGTGAAAAATTTGTTCCCATTTCAGTAACTCGGTAATTACTGGGGCGATTTCGCTGAAACTTGGCATACAGGTAGGCACCCACCAGGCAATGCATTCCCATGTGTTGCGGTTAGGGTGCTGCTGCACGTGCGCACGTGCATGGGGCTTTTCCAGATCTCGAGAACGGCTGGGCCGATTGCGGTCAAATTTGGTACACGGTTGGGGACCAGTTAATAGGGTGCCGTGCAAAAGTCATTTTGGACCCCGTTTGCACGTGCGCACGTGCAGAATGCCGCTTCCAGATCTCAGGAACGGCTGGGCCGATTGCGTTCAAATTTGGCACACCGCTAGCGACCGTTTAGAAGGGTGCTTTGCGCAAGCCCGTTGGAAGCACCCTCTCGCCCTTCCGCACGTGCAGGGCTCACTATCTCGCTCGCTCGTTCTTCGCCCAAAAGGCGTTTTACTGGTTATATAACAGTGTTCGCTGACAGGTCGCGCCCCGGGGCGCTGAGGCTCGTTATGGCTCGGCTCAGTGGATGAGGCGGGCTGGAGTGTGTTGTGGGGAGGGGGTGCTATGGGTAAGGACGGAGTGAGCGGACCTGGGGCTGGGCGTTTGTGGTCACTTGTCGCATAGAACCGATCGTATCCCCCCTCCAAAAATTCGTTTTAGATATATTTACAAAACCCATGGGGGGGGGCAACCACCCATCTCCCAAGTGGGGTGCGGAAGGACAGGTAAGGGTGCATACGGTCTCCTCATGAATTGCAGCAAAGAAAGAAAACAGGTCAGTCACCAAATGATCTTTCTGAAAAGTGGACTAAACGCAAAGCCTCCCACCGAGAAATAAACATCCAGCATCCGAAGCGTTTCGAACCGGGCCCCTTACTACCGGTCAGTTTGACAGTCGAGCACTCCTACGCTGAGCTACACCGGATGGTGGCATGGCCGGGGCAAAGTCTGGCCGGGCGGGCGGCGGGGCCGGGAGGTCGGCGGCAAAGTCAATTAATGTTTTTGTGGGTTCGGGTGACGGTCACTCTAGCTTGGTGGAATGATGATGGATCATAGGCAAAATTTACAGCGTGGAGTCCCGGTTCGAGCCTCATCAGGGCTCCGGCTGCTTTTCCGAGTTAGGATGGTTTGATTGCTATTAGTGGTTACGGTTTTATACATGTCGATTGATTGTTCGATTGATTAATTGATTCATTCATTCATTTAATACGTGCCGACATTTAGCATACGAATTGACATCCAGTATCAATCTACCGTTTTCATAAACGTATTGCCTAAATATCATGCATAGGCACAAGACCTATGGTTGCCTCGATACCGTGCCAAATCACGTTTTGCACAATGCACAAGTAAAGTAAATTATATTCGCTGGGTCTTTCGTGCATTGTGCTTATCAAAAACAGGAATGCAATTGTTAAGCGACGCAAAATGTGCAATGCACAGATCCAGGAAGTGACCACACACACCCGACCAGCCCCCATGGTCCACCAACACGCCCCACACCACTCGCCAGCCCACGCCAATCACTGAGACGAGCCCTTCCCCCCCCCCCCCCGCTCTGGTCTGACGCAACAGCTGGTCTACAAAGCGCTCCACCCGGCGACCCGAGCCGATGTCAAACGGCGTGGGTAGACTGTGCCGCATAACTTTCGGGTCATGCGGCACAGCCTACCGGTACCAGGCGGCTGCTGCCAATGCTGAGCCATAGGAACCCGGTGGATAAAGAGTAGAGGACCATCAACCTGTACACGACTGTACTGCGTAGTCGCCGGCTATTTTTCCACGGCAATAGCTGACTGTTATCCTGTTATCCTGACTCGTTTTTTCAATGACACATCAGCATTAAATGCGCTTCTGGAATATGTCAAACAGCGGAGGGCTCATATTTCTCTTCCAGTCCCCGTAATCACGGGCATTGATAAGTAGTGTTTGGTGGTCTGCGGTAATGGCCTGTTTAGGTTCCGGATTACAATGGACCACAGCACATCAGGGCTTCTGATGCGTGTCTCAGTACTCAGTGAAGCAGTTCATTAATGTCTACATACCTGAATTTGTAGAAGATAATTACCAACTTATTCCTTACGTTTCAGCATAAATGATAGGATTTCTCTATGTTCCACCTGTTTTTTTTTCATGAAGCACAAACTTGTATAATGCAGTTACATGCCACACATGCTAATGCATATAGTCTCCGTAACGTGAAGCCGGCTAGGCGCCGTCTATCATTGCGAAATAGTTAGTTCAAAGACCATCGAACCGGTGAAAACACCAGTGCATTTGAACTGATGATACCATGGAAGCACGGCCCACACCACTCTGTAGGAATTTCCATTGAGAAGGTGTGTCACGGGCCCGGGGGGCCTGCCGCCATCTGGCGCCAGCCGCTGCCATCTGGGGCCTGTCATGTGCCTCCCGACAAAACGACTCGTGGTTCTTGTCATCACTGCAGGCCAGAGATGAGGCGATGTGGCTGGCATATGCGTAGGCTACATCATATATCATATGCGCAATGCACCTTGCTTGTATGACTATCTCATAAAACTACCGATCACTGTTCTTCAGTCGGCTAAGTTGGGCCGTTGGGCTGTGTTTTCTTCCGTACGCATTGCGTGTCCTGGGCACGCACCAAAGGATAGTCAATTGCCTTGGTCACACTGATCATAGTCTATTTTTAACTAAGGCAAATTTGATTTTTTAACCAAGGCAAATTTGGGAGTTGACGCGTAAATCTTGATGTCTGCGGTATGTCATTTATTGTTAGGGGCGTCTAGACGCTCATGTAATCGCATTTCTCAAATCCAGATGGTATCTTTGCAGCAAATATTTGCATTCATTCGTTACCCTCCCGAGTCCCGAAAGGTCACCATGACACCTATTGATTGTATAGTGATTGCACTGTAGTAAGTGTGGACTGTGAAGGCACTGTTTCCGGGTGCTCTGTTCTTAGGTGATGTACCGTGTTCTGCTACTGCACGGTGTATCGCTTGGCGCCTCATTGATTATGAAATCGTTCATTCAGCGTTTGCAATTGTCATGTGGTGTGAGCCTTGCTAGCTGGTTGTGTGGCTTATCAACCTATGACCCATTCTTTTTTGTTAGCACTGTCGTATCGGACGGGATCCGAAGATTTTTAGACTAAGATTTAATTCAGACATTGCACATTCTCATCCCTATTCCCAAGGGCATGTCTTTGCGAAGCTGTTTTCGATTGATTCTGTGTGTTTAGTGCTACTATGCGCCACTTCCGGTCCCATGACTACTGTCATATCGTGTATATCTGTGTATTTGTACGTCATTTTCCATTGTCCACAGACCGTGTTCTCGCTGTTCGTCGGCTCTGCTATGCTGATTTTCTGGAGTCGGCCCATCTACGACATCTTCTTCCGTGAGCGCGTGGAGGGCCGCCAGTACATCCGTGTGGGAGAGAAGCCGGCTCTGACTCCGTCCGAGTCACGCTGAGTCGCCTGAGTCGCCTGAGTCGCTTGAGTCGCCACCTACAACACCATGGAGTCGTTGACCCGAGCACGGGCCCGTCTGCGGGCCTACCCCCGCCTGCTGGCCGCCTGCTCGACAGAGGGCGCTGCCTACGCGCGCTGCGTGGCGCTCAAGGAGGGAGAGGCCGGAAAAGGCGAGTGTGAAAAGGAGTTTGTCGTGTTCCGCCGCTGTGTCCAGGACGCTGCCAAACGGCTAGGCACGCGCTACTGAGGTGACTTGTTGGACACGCCGTAGTGAGACGCGTAGCCGTGTGGAGTGTTGCTAGTGCCCGTTGTGCGCGTGTGTGTGACACGGGCTGGAGTGAGCGAAGGCTGAGTGGTGGTATACTGAGGAAGTAAAGACTGAGTGCGTTCGGACTGAGAGATCGAGGCTGAGTGAATTACACTGAGGAGCGAGAACTGAGTGTGTTCCTACTGAGAGAGAGCGAGGGCTGAACGTGTTCGTACTGAGAGAACGACGACTGCGTGAACTCAGATTTGTGTGTAATTCCGGCCTAGTGAAGAGTGCCTAAACCCATTGACTGCCTGGGAGAGTGCTGTCACAGAGTTTGCGACTCAGTGAGGAAATCTCATTCGTCTGTGTGTTAGCTCCTCCCTATTTCCCAACCATGACGACCCACCATGTGTTAGCGGCCTTCCTGATCCGACTAGCGTTTATCGCCTATGGCGAGTACCAGGACAGTGTCATGCACGTGCCCTACACAGATGTAGACTACCACGTGTTCACGGACGCGGCGGCCTACGTGGCACGTGGCCACAGTCCGTACCGACGTGCCACGTACCGCTACACCCCACTACTCGCCTGGCTGCTGGTGCCCACCGAGCTGTGCCGCACGTTCGGCAAACTGGTGTTCTCGGCTCTGGACGTTGCCGTGGGCGCCCTGGTGTATCGGCTAGCTCGCCTGGAGGGGCACAGTCGACGGATAGCGGTCAGCTGCGCGGCTCTGTGGTGGTACAACCCGCTGCCGATCGCCGTCTGCTCGCGCGGTAACGCCGAGTCCCTTGTGCTCTGCCTGCTGCTCTACTGCCTGTACTTGTGCCGCCGACGGCTGCTGCTGCTAGCCGGCGCTGCCCTTGGACTGGCCGTTCATGTGAAAATCTACCCGGCCGTGGTGGCGCCGGCGCTCTACTGGTCGCTCGGAGAGGGCAGTGGAGTGCGCCGGTGGCTGCTGCCGAACGCAGCGCGACTGCGGCTCTGTGGTGCGGCGGCGGTCACGTTTCTATCCCTGACGGTCGGATGCTGGCTTATCTACGGCGATGAATTCCTCCAGGAGACCTACCTGTACCACCTGACACGGCGTGACGTGCGGCACAACTTCAGCGTGTTCTTTTACGCGCTCTACCTGACGGAGGAGTGGGGCCACTGGTCGCTGGGTCTGGTGACGTTTGTGCCGCAGCTGGTGCTGGTGCTGGCGCTAGCCGTCCGCTTCCACCGTCCGCGCCACCTGCTCTTCTGCGCCTTCTGTCAGGTGTACGTGTTCGTCACGTTCAACAAGGTGTGCACGTCACAGTACTTCCTGTGGTACCTGAGCCTGCTGCCGCCGGTGCTGCCCCGACTCTCCTGCTCCTACCTGGAGGGCGGGCTGATGCTGGGACTCTGGTACTTTGCGCAGGCCTCGTGGCTGCTTCCGGCGTACCTGCTCGAGTTCGAGGGCCGTCAGGTGTACCGACTCGTCTGGGCGGAGAGCGCTGCCTTCTTCTGTGCCAACGTCGGTATCCTGGCCCGGCTGATACGAAAGTACGACGCCCCGACTGCGGCAGCGGTGGCTGAGGGAGGCGGCCGGCAGCCCTCAGAGCGAGACCAGAGCCGAGGGAAGGCGGACGGAGAGCCCAGGTCACAGACGAGCCGCGCTAAACCTCAGCACCAACAACAAACCGTCAAACACAGGAACAAGCGCGGTGGAAAAGTCAACTGACCCCAGGCGGCGCCTCCCTGTCCAGGGGTCAAGTCGCCTGAAGGGGAGGAAGGCCCGGAAAAACAGCGTTACTAGTCATTCTGTCGCCGCTGGGCATCTGTGGTGTCTCGGTGGCGATTATCACAGTGGCTTCTCATCGATCAATAGGCTACCATGACCTATCCAGCTCACTGTCTGGATTAAAGCACCGACCACAAAGCTGACGCTCGAGTCACTCGCGCTGTGGAGCCGGGTCGATAGCTGGTCCGAGTTCAAACGACCCTGCTCGCATGTTTAGCGGCAGCCCACGGGCGGTACCCTCCATTTGTCGATACCTGGTGTAATAAGCTCCCAGTGATGGCGGACCGTCGCATGTCATATACCCTCACGGTCGCCGGTTGGCAAAGGTCACTGCCAGGTCATGTGTGTGTCCTGGGCGGCACAGCGGCAGAATACTGCAACTTTACAGCGCAGATTGGTACTCGTGAGAATACACCTGTGTATGAGAATACACAGGTGTGTTGAGCTTAGTCTTTTTCTCGTATCGTAGACGTGTTGTGTGAATGTGCCCGTGTCAATTATTGCTCAATTTGTGAATGCAATAAACGTAGCCAGAAATTAACAAATTGTTGTTTCGTTGTGATTTTGTTTAGAAGGAGCCCGAGGGTTATTGATTTTGAGCATTGAAGGTTGTGCTGTCTCCTGGCATCCGTGTGCTCAGCGTCCTGACCACCTTTTCCCGTCACCAAAGGTCATATCACTTCCTCTGTGTTTCCTGATGTGGCTCGTTTATATTTGCTATCATCGATATCTTTCACCCCAGCTGTGTATTGGGACAAGTCAATCACGTGGTGCGCCTAGTGTCCCAGTCAATATCAGTCGCACGGCGTATTGCCAGTCACGTGACACCCGGGAGCCGCTCTACTCAGCAGTCAGAGGACGTCCTGGCCACCTCGGCCGTCAACAATTTAATAAAGGTCTGGGGACGGATGGTATTGGCTGCGGCACCCGGACCCTCACCGGGCACAGAGGGTAGGCCGGCATCGGGAGAGGCAGGAGGACGTGACTGGGCGGTCAATGATACCTACCAGCGGGCGGACAATACTGGCAGTGACACTAGCACGTTTTCAGCTATATTCCGACACCTAAGGTCCGCTATTGTGACACGGGGATGTGCGCTTCAATTGACAGTGATGCCGGATCTGCTGGCGTATATGTGACTAATGCAGCTTCTTCGACGCCTGCGGTGTCGGGACTCGGGAGTACGAGTATATGTCTGCTATTGTCAGGGACGCTTTTAGATAAGGATCCATTCTTTGTCACCAGTAACGTCATCATCACTCGCTACCGTTTATGCTATCGTTACTGATCGTGTAACTGTCTTTGAAGTTAGTCGCATTGACGCACTGACCAGTGGGAGCAACTGACACCGTCTTGTCGTGTCCGTTAGAGAGGTCTAGAATCTAGATATAGTCTGTTAGCTCTTTTGTCGTCTCCTTTAGATATACAGGGTGTCTCAAAAGTTCGCTTACAGGTACCAGCCATGCTTTTTTGTCAATAATTCTGAATCAACATGAAATTAACAGTCGAAATTTTGCATGGGCATTGGTAACAACCTTCCTCAAGCAGCTTCATTGTTTTCAAGCGCATTCGACCCTTCATGAGCTCACAAAAAGGGTTCACCTCTGACCATGGATCAGGCATGAAAATGGAGGTCGCATACTCGGGTCGGCTGAGAAACTCTCTGCTTCACGAGTAATGGGAATGGTTAGGTCGGAAATGACACATGGCAAAGTGTCGGCGAGGATGAGTACAACATGATGGTCATCTAATAAAAACGGTGGCTAAAATTTTTGAAGGACAAAACCATGCGAGACTAAGTGCGCTTTGAACGACCCTTGTACCGCAGCAGACTCGTGCTCCGGAAAGCAGCTGAAAATGCAGTCCTAACTATTGAAAACTGACTAGAAGCTCACAGACAGAGGTTACCCAGTTTCAAAAATTGCAGGTCATCATAAAATAAAGACAAAATATCATTTAAAATTGTTTATTATATCTATAACGCTAAATTTTGAGGGAAAATAATGCGAAAATCGTCAATGCCGAGGACAAGTGACCCTCCAAAAGTGTCAATTAATGTAAAGTTTTATCTAACGAAGTTTCAAGAGGCAGATCTGGAGCAAATAGCTTTCTTTTACACACAAAATCCGGACAAAACCGCACGATGGACAGGTTTTGGCCGTTTACAAAGCAGAACCTCTCCTGAGGAAAACACTCCGGAACCCAGCGAAGGTCTTGGCATTGGGAATGACGAGCGTTCGGGATTTGCAACTTTTGCAAAATGTGTCTAAGAAACAGATGGCCGACACATTCTGCTACGATATGCTGCGAAAAATTTGCCCCTGGCACTTCCCATTTGTTCAGGAATGGGGCTGTTTTGAAAAGGAAAATGGTGCTTGGGAGGTCGGCGCCAGTCATTCATGAAGGAGTTAGCGCCAGAGAAGACCTACAAAATACTCACGGATGGTGTCGATGCAAGCTATCGGCTTTCAGGGAGAAGCGGATGTTGCCGGGGAGCTCGTCAAACCTAAATCCGACGCAGAAACTGCGGGGGATTCCCCTACAAGAGCTTGAAAGCTGGTAACCTTTTATCAGCCTCCGGCAGCTGACGGAGTGACGAAAATCGGTATGGGCAAATATTTTTGGAGATACAGCAAAGGGTTTGGTTTCCAACCTTCCGAATCAGTTGTCAAAGCATGCATATTTGTCTAGTGTACACACGGACACCAAAACCTTAGATTTTTGGCCGGTTCTTATATGCTTTATTGACATGGGAAATGTGTAAGCGAACTTTTGAGACACCCTGTAGAGTAGTCTATGGTGGCAATAAGTCTCGCATAGTTGCTGCCTATGGTAGATTTTTAGACTGGTATCAGCTCTACTCGCGCGGTCAGCGGGAGAATGCCCGTCTATTCGTCTGACGACGGACGGTAGAGATGTCGGGACGCTTCTACTCATATCCCCCTGCCAACTGCGATGTCGGTCTGTTCGTTCGTCCTTTGTCGGTTCTTCATTCACCCGACGGGCGGACGGGCTTGTATAAGTACCGGTGATGTGATGCGTCACCCGCGGGCTTCCTTGCCCCGATCCTGTTAGTGGCGGCGGCGACGGACGGACGACGCCGAACGCTCACTCCGCACTGGTGCCGCGAACGGGTCGAGTGGCGCTGGTGAGTGTTACCGCCGAGTTTCTAACAATGTCTGAGAGTGTTCTCTGAGTGTTTCTGGTGAGCTTCACTGGCATGGGTCGCTGTTGGGTGTCGCTTGTGGCTTGTGTCAATTTTGTAAATCCCATCGTCCGTAAAGGAGCTGAGTGTGTGTCGCTGGTGAGTGTCTGCTAGTGTCTGGTCTGGTGAGAGCCACCGCCGCGCCGGGTGCCGCCGACGAGGGTCCCTGGTGAGTGTCGCCGGTGGCTGTTATTCGCACCAAGTGTCCTTGGTGCCGTGGCCCCTGTCACTCGCTTTTGCTGTCGGCGACTACCGAGTGATAATACGCAGCGTATTGTGTTGGCTTGAGGCGTTGTGATACTTGTAGGTTGTATGACGGTATGTGCTGCAACATTTACCGGCAGTGAATCTCAGCTGAGAAGTGAGAAGTCTCAGCTGAGTCGATACGGTTTTGGAATGGTTCTATAATATGTTGTCTTATTTAGGCTCTCACTATTTTCCCATCAGTGCGTCTCTTTGACTCTAAATTCGTGTATCTGAGTGACTCAAACCCGGGCTCTCATGGCTGGAGCCCAGCGTTCTGCCAATGGCACGGAAAAACTAAGCGATATATAGGTATATTTATTTGACTTATTGAATGGCCTTAGTTCAGTGTATGCATGGGAAAGTACCAAACCATTGTAAGACATTCCAGATTATTCCTTGCCATCCCCCACGGCCCACCCCTTCGTTCCTAGCCTCCGTTATTCCAGGCGTCTCGCGGCGATCGTTCGCTGCGAGCCCGGCGGCACAGTATAACTTCAGGCGTTTCATGTCCTGCCATCTAGCGGCGTAATGTACAGCTCTGATCTGCCGCCGCACTTCGCAGGTATAGCTCGCGCTTGTTCATGAATGGATGGGCGCGGGCCGCTGCAATGTAAAAACCCAAACTATCAGGGAGTTTAGTGGTCTGGCTACTTCAAAGTTCTAAGCTGATGAGATTGGCGACCATAACCAATATGAAGCAAGCAATAAATGATGATAATATGCCCGTGACAAGTCAACCGTCAAGGAAAACGAAGATACAAATGACGAAAAATATACGGTACTCCATAGTCCATATTATACCTAGTTAGGTGGCTAAGGCATGTCGAGTAGGTGATTGTTGGTTGTGAATCTCTCATAAAAAGACATTTGTTATCTTCGAAACATCAGACCCTCGAAACCTCAGGATAAATCCGTTTTCTTATTCAGTTCCCTGTTTGTGTCTGACACTCACACCGCTTAGGCAGCCGGTGAGGACGGCGTCTTTAGAAACATATTTCCCGGGGTGACCATTTGAGAAGCTGGATGTCCTGCACCACGGCGATTAGTCGGTCCCAATGGGACGTGATCAGCCGCTGCGGCGCTGCACCAGTCGCTTAACTTATCCATCGAGCGCTGGAGCGGCTCGAACCAGGGCCCTCGCCACCGGGAGGCCAGCTTTCATGCCAACCAAATTACGGGACCGGCTTTGATCGTTTCATCATTAACCCGCGCCGGCCGAGGGGCGGAGGCGGGTGCCGCCCCCCCCCCCCCCTCTGTAGGTTTTTTTTCACGATACGTCCGGACACACCAGCGATAGAGAGCTGAAACTTGGCATGCCTGATCTTTGATCGAAGCCGCATCTTGTGACACCAACCGCATTTTCATGTCAGGTCAGGTCACAGATATATGACGTCATAAGTAGACCTCTGCACGGTCCTCAGATGTCGCAACGCCCTCACTGCCAGAGGAACTTTCACAGGGAGATTAGTATTACAGGATGCGGTATCCTCTAGAGTTCTCACAACTGTATATCTCGGATTTTTCCTAAAGGTCGCCTTAGGTCATGTCGGTCACGTGACCTCACCATTAGGTAGAAATCAATGGGAAAAATGAAAACTGCTATTTCAGCGCCGGGAACGATCTCAAACTATCTCAAGCACACGGAATCGTGATTCCTTGCACTCCTTGCAAGGTCCGATGCTTCACTTTTGCATTGGTGACCTTGTGTGACGTCATTTATGACATCACTTGACTTGGGTCATAACAGTTTTTCGTCAATAACTCCCGATAAAATTGAGCTAGCAATTCGGAAACGCCACCAATAGACTCAGAAAGATATGCCGAATCGAATGATATGCAACATGACCTCATTCGACCAACTTCGTGACCTGGGGGGCGCTGACCTGACCTTGACCCCAGGTGAACACCTCAATTTGACCTCACCCGAACAAAAAGTATACCATTCGACGCGCCTGAGCAAACGAACACGATGATGCTAAAATCGCGGCTCTGCGACCGTTTTTTGTGAAGTTCTTCCTGAAAAACTGAACTCCTGCCTTGGGTCATTTGACCTGATCTCAGAGGTTACCGGTTGACCTGAGCCCTTAAAATCGTATACCAGTCGCTGCGTCTCGTTACGGCGCACACGCTCGCTTTTTTCGCGACGCTCTAGCTCCATCGGGGGGGGGGGACGGCGAGGGGTTAGCCTGGTCGGTCGCCGGTTGAGGCTTTAGGATTGAGCCTTTAGATTTAGGAGCCAGTGAGCTGGCTTTTTTGTGTGGACTGTGCATTTTGTAGCAGTTATATACCGTCAACATTGTTTGATGCTTATGTGAATTATTTACCTCCTGTCGCTCAGGATCTGGAGATAATCGCCCCTCTTACGCCAGTTGGGTACAGCGTGGAAGTCTTGACCCGGCCGACGTACCATTGCAATATTTGCACGACTGTTGTTTACCGTCGTCGTGGATGCATGTCAAACAGAGCAAGGTCAATGTGATGATCCAACTGCATATGTGACGGGGCAAGACGTCAGTGTTGACAGAGCTCGAGAAAAACTGCATCAACAACTCAAATGAAGGACATTTACATGAACACGGGCATTTAGCATGAACTAGAATAGAACAACTGTCATAACTGCAGCTCTGAACGGTCAACTGCGCAGTCATGTTTCGAATTCTGGAGGAGGCCAACAGGGAAGCCCTGGCCACGTTCCTGTGTCCACCCGGCTACAGCGCCGCACTGGCGCAGGCCGCCGCCGCCCCACCCGGGTACGAGCCGGAAACCTGCCCTGGCTCGCCGGTCGAGGTGGAGTTCTTCTGGGATGCCTCGTCTCGGGCGGCCTCCCCGGCACCGGAGCGTCCGCTGCCGCTGGCGCCCCGCTCGCCGGTCCCAGGTCACCGTCTGCGGCGCCCCAGCGGGATGACCCCGCCGCCGCTGCGCCGTCGCCGACCCTCCGAGTGGAGCCGCTGTGAGACGCCTCCGGCGGTCGGCGGCCTGCTCAGTGTGGCGCCGACGGCAGCGGGCGCGGCCGGCCGGCGCCGCTCCAGCGCCCAGCTCGAGCTGCTCATGGTGTTTGGCGGCGCCGACACCGCGGCCGCCGGCCAGCCGCCGGCCGAGCAGCCGCCCGCCGAGGCCAGCTGCTACCCCAACTGCGACCTCTCCATCTGGATGCGCTCCTGTGACACGGAGCAGATTGAGCCGCTCCGTGGAGAGATCTCAGGTCAGTCGCCGGAGCACCGTCCAACTGACATTTATTTGAAATGTTTGTGTTCTAATAATGATATTAAAATGATAAAGTTATTTGGAAACATCAAGTTCCTACTTCGGTTGCCATGAGACGTTCGTATCATGATGAAAATAGCGATTATGTCAATTTGTATTTACCATTGCATAATGAATATGACTGATCTACTTAAACGGTTTGACTTGTGTACGCCATGAAAACGACGACGGGTGTAACGTCAGGAAAGCAAACGATCCGGGGGCCGAACTAGACAGACTCGCATTTTGATCCTCCAATAGACGGACATGCCAAGAGACCGACTAACGAAACAGACCGACACACTGATACTATATGGCAGACTGATCGGCTGACTATTTGACAGTCTGGCAATGCGACACACCGATGTATTAGCCAACAGGTGGGCAAAATGAAATAAATACCTACCTATCGTCTGCCTGACGGCCGTCCAGCAGCTAGACTGACAAAAAGATAGATGGAGTAGCTAATTTACAGAGCGACGGATTGATCGACTAAGAGACCGAACAACCAGCCGACAGGTGTTATAGACAGACGTTTAAATAGACAAAACGAAAGAACGATAGACGGGACCGACATCCAGTCTCTCCTAGTGCCGTCCGCTCCCAGGCTTCCGTTCTGCTTTTTTATTTCAGCCACCTGTTATTGCGCTGTCTCCCTCCGTCGGTACACCCAGTACCTCCAGCGATTGTATCAGCTGACGACTGACGTGATCGATAGATATATTGCCTCCGACGACTCTGCTGCGTAGAACGCACATTGAGCACGCGTCGGTGAGCCGAGAGATTGCAGATGCCAGCTCATTGATCGTCCGAAAGAGGAAATGGGAAACCAATGATAGATGTTGCTCACGTAGAATCTACCAAATATACATTGCAATTGCATTTTGCAAGGTGTTCCCTAGACCCTGACTTTAGTGACTCTCTGACCTGTGCAGGTGTTATTCCGTCGTGGTTGCGGGGTTCACTGCTCAGGAACGGACCAGGCCGGCTCAACGTTGGCGACGAACAGTTCAAACATCTGTTCGACGCCTCAGCACTGCTGCATCGGTGAGCGATCAACGCACGCAAACGTGTACAGGAGAGAGAGAGAGAGAGAGAGAGAGAGAGAGAGAGAGAGAGAGAGAGAGAGAGAGAGAGAGAGAGAGAGAGAGAGAGAGAGAGAGAGAGAGAGAGAAAGAGAGAGAGAGAGAGAGAGAGAGAGAGAGAGAGAGAGAGAGAGAGAGAGAGAGAGAGAGAGAGAGAGAGAGAGAGAGAGAGAGAGAGAGAGAGAGAGAGAGAGAGAGAGAGAGAGAGAGAGAGAAGCAGTATATGGGAGAAATCAACACAGTTACGTACATTTACATGCACGAATGCAAACACTTCAAACACAGCGCCAATTGCGCTCGGTCTTTTCGGGACGTGTTATGCGGCACAGCCTCACTCAGGCGCTCGCTACTGGTGCCATCTAGCGAGCGTTGAGGTTACCACATCACTGCTATCCTTTTGTTTGGTTGGTGTTTGAAGAAGTTTGATATTTTATGTTTGTGATGTTGTGCTGAAAGGCTCAAGCGGCCCATGTTCAGTTTAGGATATCAGCTTGACCGGAGTGGCTACCCCCGGTCTCGTAACGATGGTGCCATTATCGTCCCGGCAGGTTTCACATAGCCGACGGTGATGTTACCTACCAGAACCGCTTCCTGCGCTCCCGCACATACGAGAGGAACACGGCCGCCCGTCGGATCGTGGTATCCGAGTTTGGAACGCTCGCCTCCGTGCCGGACCCGTGTCAGACCATCTTCCAGAGGTCAGTGTCATGAGGTCGTCTTCCAGAGACCAGAGTTCTCTCATAGCCCGATAAAGTTCTTCCCCTTGCCATATTCTGAGAAGGAGTCAATAATTATCATGGTGATAATAACCAATGAGTTGATAACGTTGTTGACTTCATGTTTCTGATCACATGAAGTCCTAGTTGAATTGGGTAAAAACATTGTAAAATGGCTTGTTTTATTTCTACGATGTGTTGACCTGGGTGTTCGGTTTCCACAGAGTGAGCAGCATGTTCAGCACTGAGGAGATGATGACGGATAACGCCATGATCAGCATCTACCCGTACGGCGACGAGCTGTACGCGCTCACTGAGACGCCCTATCTGTTCAGAGTCGACCCCGAGACGCTAGAGACCAAACAGAGGGTGAAGAAACATTTGAACGGGAGAGTCGGGGAGGATCGTTCGGTAGACGAAAGAGTAGTTGCTTGTGGAGGGAGTTGATAAAAGCGGCCGAAGGGTAGTGGGTTTTTGTCAGAATTACCAGCACCGAAAACTGATAGGCTAATCGACTTAAAGACCGAATGCTCATAGACCTACAGAGCGACTTATCGACGGGCTGATAGACCGACACAGATTTTCAAAATACAAGCCGGCAGATAAACGTCAACATACCAGCGGATAGCATGTCAAAATATCGAGCCCTTCGGCCGAACCTAAACACATTTGGTTGGCCAATTGACCAGCCAGCAGTGATGAATTAATATTCTGCTGCGTCACTGCTGCAGGTGAACCTGATGAAGCACGTGCAGGTGGTGAACCACTCGGCGCACCCGCACGTTCAGCCGGACGGCACCGTCTTCAACCTGGGCCAGAGTGTGGGCCTCACCGGGCCCGCCTACAACGTCTTACGGTTTCCGCCGTCCGACGGCTCAGGTCAGTGGCAGTCAGTCAGCAGCTATAGCTGGATTATAGTCAGTGATATTAGCCGTTTTCACGACGGCCATCTGGTACACATTTGGTGCACATCTGGTACAGATTAGGTGCAGATTTGGTCAAATCAGGTTCAGTGTGTCTCTTAGCAGTTATCAGCTAGGGTTGCACTAATTGCTTATATGCCTGCTTTGTCATATTATCAGAGAGCATCATCGATTAAAACACTGAAATAAATTCATAAAATGAAGATATTTGCTGTAAAAGAAATTAGGTGCAGATTTGGTCAAGTCAGGTGCATTCGCCGGATAGCCCGTCGTGAAAAGGGCTTATAGCAATCCCGTGCCAGTCAAGGGCGTCGGCCCTTAGATTCAGCGGAAAGGTAGTGGAAGGGACGGGTATAAGGCTGCAAATATACCATTGTCGGACATTTGCAGTTATTTTGATGCACATATAAAAGTGTTTTGAGTGGTTTTATCCGATTAAATAGCTCTCGCATTGTAGGGAAGCAGGAAATTTTGTTTCTTTTCAAGAATGTTACAATGCACGATGCTATGAATCCATGGAATAGCGCAAAGTGTTTGTCATGTAGCACACAATTCTCACATGTTCTCTAACATTCTCCCGTGTCCCGTTTCGTGCATCCGCCGGCCTCAGGAGTGGACAACGTGTTCGAGCGAGCCCAGGTAGTGGCCTCTGTGGGCTGCCGGTGGCCGCTGCACCCGTCCTACATGCACAGTTTCTGCATCACGCCCGGGTATTTCGTGCTGATCGAGCAGCCGCTGGCGGTCAGCACCGTACAGGTGTGCAGGACTCTGCTGCAGCGGCAGCCGCTCGTCGCCGCCCTGCGCTGGTTCGACGAGCCCGTGAGTATAGGCATTGCGGTGGCACAGCATGGGAACTACCGTCATAGTACACGGAAATCGGCATATGACACATATGTTCAATACTCGTACATACGTGCAATTTGTAAATACGCATACCGACAGGCAACGGCTTAGCAGTTAGCACACGAGCTACCGATACTGTACAAAGAACATGCATATCCTCGTACATACCGGCATCACCGCAGCACACGGATACGTACGGTACAGACACAGCATATGCATTATGAAATTATTCATCAGCATGCACCGTATCGTATAATATTTCATTTGTGTTATTACCGTTACAGCATACGGATATTGACACAATAATAAGGGCCCAGCATGTTTACAGACACAAGCAGCACACGCATTCCGCTAAGGGTCATATATTCCAGGGCAGCACACATAAACCGGTCTTTCAACGGCAGCAGGAACATCGTTCTATTGTTCTGTCATGCTAGTAACACTGCTTTTGAACTGCAGCCCTATATAAATAACCTTTCGTATCCAGTGCCCATCACTGATCGGCGATCTCCCTACCACAATATTGATTCCTGTGTGTGAGCACTAATCTGGGCTTCCCGTGTTAGAGCCGTAAGCGGATAAACAGACTGTGGCTTTGTCTAGCCGAGGGAAACCAATGTCGTGAAGCCATGCATTCAAAAATTGCCACCTGTTTCGCTTATTTCGTTTATTTTCGTTTATTTCTCAACATCGCCAACAGGCAGTGCCCATTGTGAGGCGAAGTCAAAAGTCAGGTTTCTTTTCACCTTGTGCTATGGGCAGCTATAATATACCCGGCTTCAATACAGCCATAAATAAACGCATCCAGAGCAATAAGTTTCGTATATGAAGGCTGCGGTGATGGCGTTCGTTAAGCCTTCAGTCGTAAAATCGTTTTTTTTTTTACCGACCTTTGTGCCTTGAGAAAGCAAATATAGCAAAAGTTCGGAAATTCATGTGCTTATTTTGTAATAACGATTTAACGATTTACGATTCATTTTATAACGCATTTCGTGATTAGCAGTTAAACAAAGACCATTACTGCACGTAACTTTCCTACATGTCCAATTTCACATAACAAGACACAATACGCAGTGATGCCCACTCACGTTTTGCCTACGTTCTCTGCCGGCAGACACGGTTTATCGTGATCGACCGTAAGACGAACCGCGCCACTTCTCTGTCCTACCAGACCGATCCCCTGTTCTTTCTACACACGATAAACGCCTACGAGGAGGACGGACACCTCGTGGTGGACCTGTGCGCCTACCAGGACGCGCAGATGCTCGACTGTATGTATGTCGAGGCTCTGAAGGTGAGCTCTGAGACGGACATTCTAAAATATCTAAGTTACTGCAGTTTTGTTCCAAAGATGGAGGTAGCAATTTTCAGAACCAAGGGACGTAAGATGCCTCTTCGAGAATAACGCTTTTTATTTTTTATTTTCTAGAATTCGGCATTTTAACTAACAATAATCTTGAACCATGGTAAAATAATGCATTTTCGCTAATCTAACGAAGCGCATAGCCGTCCTGATTGATGTCGAAGCTTTGACGCCTTTCTTGTCTTGTTTTCTTCCGTTGCAGTCTGCACAGACCAACCCGCACTACGCGGATATGTTCCGCGGCCGGCCGACGCGGTTCGTCCTGCCCCTGTCACCACCAGTCGGCCTTGACCCGGCCGCTAACCTGGTGACCTTGACCGGCACGACGGCCACGGCCCGTCGCCGGTCGGACGGTTCCCTCCAGCTGACCCCGGAGCTGCTCTGTGACCTCGGCACAGAGACACCGCGCATCAACTACGCCCGGCATAACGGCACAAAGTACCGCTACTTCTACGCCATATCGTCGGATGTAGACGGAGATAATCCTGGAAAGGTGCGTGGGATGGGAGAGGGAGGAGAGAGAGAGAGGAAGAGAGAGAGAGAGAGAGAGGAGAGAGAGAGAGAGAGGAGAGAGAGAGAGAGAGAGAGAGAGAGAGAGAGAGAGAGAGAGAGAGAGAAGAGAGAGAGAGAGAGAGAGAGAGAGAGAGAGAGAGAGAGAGAGAGAGAGAGAGAGAGAGAGAGAGAGAGAGAGAGAGAGAGAGAGAGAGAGAGAGAGAGAGAGAGAGAGAGAGAGAGAGAGAGAGAGAGAGAAGATGGAGGGGAATGGGAGAAAGGTATGACGTGTTCTTAAAGCGAATGGAAATCATAACATTCATTAGATATTTGCGCTTCTTGATATCCGCCAACGGACAGAGGCATTGTTCCTGCCTCTGGACATACTAACGAGACGGAATGTTGCGTCAGTAATGTGCAATCAACTCGCAGGAGAATCATCGATCAGGCAATGGTTGGGCCGCAGCGCGCAAAATTCACTACCTACCATTCCGTTCGTCGCGTCCGGGCGGCAGTTGGTAGTGTATAATTCTGCCGCTAGATGACACTACGTGAAACGCCTGAAGTTATGCTGTACCGCACGACCCGTAACAAACTTCTGGGGCGTAATGGCTTCCGGAAAGGCTAAGGCAAGCTCGTTTGTGTACTATGAGTGTGTTCTATGTCGGTATACTGACCATGCTATTGCTTAAGCAGCTCACAAAATGAGTCTTGATTCATATCATTTCATTATTATCAGCTGCCGCCACCGAGTCAAATTGTCAGTTGTTCGCGTCGCTCATTCGCAATTTGTACGCGCCCGCGCGTTTTTCTTTGCCCGTCTGTCTGATTCTCTGCTATTCCTGACCGCAGCTGATAAAGGTCGACACGGTGACCCACCAGACGCGGACCTGGTGTGAACAGAACGCCTACCCCTCCGAGCCTGTGTTCGTGCCCCGGCCAGACGCAATGGTGAGCCATTTCACTCAGCAGCCCCCTATAACAGAACGCTTACCCCTCCGAGCCAGTGTTCGTACTTCGTACCCCGGCCGGACACAATGGTGAATATGTCGCTCGGAGTCTCAGGATCCCTGCGTATGACACAGGGATCTAACAGAACGCCTATCCCTCCGAGCCTGTCTTCATGCCACGGTCAGACGCAATAGTGAGTTAAGATTAACCCGCGCCCCAGTTGCGGTCTCAGCCAACTTCGCCCTAGTGGGGGGGGGGGGCATATGTTACCACCCACCTCTAACTCAAAAACTAAGAGGGCTAGAAAGACGCGGTAAAAGCAGTCGATAGCTCTCAATGCGTCGGTTTGAAAGTATTTCGGTCATTTTTCACCTTAGAGCAATATTGGGGTCACCAGAGGTCATCAAAGGTCAAAATTTGCCAATTGCCATTATATTTTTCAGAAAACATGCCGCTATCTCAGGAACTATGGTAGTTAGAAAAACGCATGGAAAAGCAATCGATAGCTTTTGAACTCTTCTTTTGAAAAGTTCATTACCAATATTGACCTCAGGTCAACGGCTTAGCCTCCAGAGGCAGGGCCTCCTCTAAGGATTTTTCACTGGGTGGGCAAAATTTTTCGTCGCTCCCCTGCCCAAGGGCAGATCCAGTCACTTGTTTTGGGGTGCAACCATTTTTACCTGCGACTGGGGGGGGGGCGGGTTAAGGCCTATGTCACTTTCACAGTCAACCAACTGTGCCATTTATAGTTAAACGTTTGTCGTGTGTGATATGGTATTTCGTGTGTATTTCACCTTATAGGTATGCCTATTGTTTACATTAGTGATATCAATAACGGAAAATCAGGATACCGATACCAAACCAAATGCCAACCAAAACCATGAAAAATACCGAAACCAAACCAACTTGGGAACATGAGGGAAATACCAACTTTTTACCGAATTCGTATCCTCTTATACATTAGCCGGATTCGTAATACCAACAAAATACCAACAACATTAGGATCAAAATACCAAATACCAAGTTGGTATCAGTTTGGTATCGGTATACCAAAAAGTTGGTATCCGATTGACATCTCTAGTCTACATACATTTAAAATTTTAAGAAGACTGCAAAAGTGCAGAGTTAAACTTACTATGATTGCTCCTTGAACCAGAAATCGAATAGGTAGGTGATGCTCGCTGCCTCTTTTTAGGAGGCATGGTCAGCTTACTCTTGGCGCGTCCTCTTGATCTAAATACGGCTTTTATTGACCTTAATCTACTTGTAATACATCTTTGGCCTTGTAGCGCGCTACCCTGCTGGCCCATGCCGGTCTTTGAGGGTCCCACACTGACCTCTGAGGCCCCATGCTGGCCTGTGAAGGCCCATATTAGCCTCTGAGGGCCCCGCACTGGATTCTGAAGACCCGATGCCGGCCTTTAACCATCCCCTGTATTGGTGTTTTTCCAGCCGCGAACGTAGGTACTCGTTTAGGGGGGGGGGGGGGGCGTTGGCCCTTCCTTGCCGTTTCGCCCCTGATCGAGCTAGAGCTTCGCGGAAAAAAAACAAGCGTGTTGCCCGTGACGAGAGGAAGCCGATGATACCCAATTTTAACCCTCGCCGGCACAGGCCATTGCGTCCTTCGGCGGCACGACCCCCCTCGCGTTTGGCCCCTGATCAAGCTAGAGCTTCACGGAAAAAACGAGCGTGTTGCCCGTTACCAGAGGAAGCCGATGCTACCCAATTTTAAGGTCCTAGGTCATCGAGTGACCTTCCAGGTCAGGTCAATGACCCGAAAACCGGGAAAATCGGGACCTGTTAGAAAGTCGTAAAGTGTGGCTGCTATGTGGTTTTCCGGGGTGCTGATCACGAATATCGTGTTAGTTTTGATCAGAGATGATGTTTTAAGCATGCCATTTAGACCAGGTCGGGTCAGGTCAGGTCAGGTCAACCGGTAGGGGTTGTGACGGGTATTCGTATTACGTGTCAACCGCCTCTGACAGCTTCGTAACATGTTACGAAGGCACCAAAACTACTTCGTAAATGTTCAAATGGTTGCTAAATTCGAATTCAGATAAAAAACTAGCCTAGAACATCTCGAAAAAGTGAACCGAGGTCACCCGAGGTCACCAAAGGTCAATGACGTGACCTGACCTTCAGGTGACCTTGTCACCCACCCTTATGTATGGGAGCAACATCAAATCACATGTTTGAACGTTTGAAATCACGAAAAGCTCGCAAACGCGCGGCTAATGCGAGCCGACATACGCCGAATCGCGATTTCGGCCAAACATGGTCACGGAAAAGAGGTCACAGGTCGCGAGTTATTCGCAAAAAATCGAGGGGGGTCCGTTCGACTCCCCCTATACGGGCGAGGGTTACCCCCCGAGTTGCTGGGGGGGGGCGTTAAACGCCCCCACTTTTTTCGCTGGGCCATAGCAAAAAAAAAAAAAAAAAAAAACGGCGCGCCGCAGGCACGCCAAATTTTGGGTGCCTCTACGGAATTGTTTGACGTTTATTGTGACAAAATTTCAAAAAAATCGGCCGGAAAATTTTTGAGATATCGAGGTTTCAGTGGCGTCATGATTTCTTGGTTTTCGACCAAAAACGTTATATGTTCAAAAAATCATATAAAATCACAGAATAGACATACAGACATGCCGTAAACGCCATTAGACTGCCAATACCATGAACACAAATGGCTATCTTCGATTATTGATTATCGTTCCGCATTTTCCAAAATCTTGAACTGAATCTTGGCAATTTCTCATGACTACTTCACGACCATGATACATGTATTTTTAATTTGAACTTTTTGACCCAAACACGTACACATATGATAAAATGAATGTCACCATCGTGTTCTACGCCCCAAATTACCCATAAAACATGTGTCACAGGCTGCGAATATCAGTTTTGATTTTCGGGGATATGTGTCTACCCGGTTGACCTGACCTTGACCCTGACCTATGCTTGACTGACCCCTACATGGAGCTGACACTCTTGTAGGCCTTATATGATGGATTGTGCACTGTTTTGACTGAGTTTATGACGGGAGGCGCCCATTGTGAAGTCCTGAAGTCCATGCTACTGAAAGTCCGATTTCAGGTGTTTGACCTGTTTGACCTGACCTTGACCCGACCTGTGATCTCAAAATTCAACTTTAAAGTACTCATCTGAAGCGTCTCGTCGCGTTCTTTCGTTTGCCGCCTCGTGCGTTTCGCTGCGCCTACTGGTTCTCGAGTTATCGGCTGGGGGCGTTTAACGCCCCCCCCCCCCAGCAAACGGTGGGTGGCGAAATACCCCAGCAACTGCCGGGTTAAGGACCTGCATCGGCTCTGAGGGCTTAACTTGGCCTTTTCTGGACTCTGGGGTCCAACACCAGCCCAAGCCTGTCTTTTAGGGTGCCACACTGACCCCTGAGGGTACCATCCTTGCCTCAAGGACCCGCATTAGCCTTTGAGAGCCTAAGTCGGCCTCTGATGGCCTCAAACTGCCATTTCAGGCCCTGTACTGGTCTCTGAGGGCCTTAAACTGGCCTCTGAGGGCACAAACCGACCTCTAAAGGTCCCACGCCGGTTGCTGATGGCCCATTTTCTGCTTCTGAGATCCAAGACTGACCCTTTTGTGCCTCTGAGGGCCCCGTACTGGCTTCTGAAGGATCGATGCCGGTCTTTGAGGACCAATGTCAGTCTTATAAGGGCCTCACACTGATATCTGAGGCCCACATTTGCCTCTGATGGCTCCAAATTGAGGCCCTATTTAGTCCCCAATCAGCCTATAAGGTCTCTGATGGCCCTATTTTGTTGTCTGGCTGGGGACCCATGGCTTACACCTTTAGGCGTCACGCACTGGCCTCTGAGAGCCCACATCGGCCTCTGGGGTTCCATACGGGCCCTTGAGGCCGCTATGGCCATGGGCCTCTGTAAGCTAGCACCGCCCCCCCCCCCCCTCCGAGGGTTGGCAAAGTTGCCAAGTTGCCCCCACCCCCAAACGCCAAGTCTGCTACCGCCCCTGCATTCAGATGCATCCATTGTAAAAAAAAAAATAACTTGCACTGCAGTGATTGGGGGCTGGGGCACTGGCTGCTAGCAAGTTTTTTTCCGGGAAACCGAAGTGGTAGTTCCTACCGGACGTCTGGCCGGACCTTTATTTTTGCATTTGCTTCTGGGTGGGCAAATCGACGCCACTGGGTGGGCAATTGTGGTGACTGGGTAGGCATTTGCCCACCCAGTGGGTATGTTAGAGGAGGCCCTGTCCAGAGGGCAAAAACTCCAAAAATAGCTGTTTTTACGAAAAGTGTTTTTCGACAATTACTTTCGACTACAAAAAGTCACGACATTTCTATTGCCAGAATCGTGTTTCCCTCGCCGAGACGCGTCAAATGACGATAATTTTACCTTGAAAGGTCAACTTGAAAATTTGACCTCAGGTCAAGGTCATGACCTGACCGGAAAAGGTCATGTTGCATATCAGTCGATGCGTCTCAATAAGACAAACACAATGAGACCATCCCCAGCGTTCTATCTCTTTCCAATCGCGAGTTATTGGCAAAAAACTGTTAGTAGCCTCAAATGACCTCGGATGACCTTTCTAGAGGCTATCAGCAAAAATGACACCTTGGTCATCACGAGTGGACTAAATCATTGTGATTCTGAAATATTTGGACTGTTCCTATGCGTACATTCGGATCTAGAGGCATTTTCATTTTTCTCCATTGACTTGTAATGGAAAGGTCACGCTACTGACCTGACCTTAGGTCACGGATATAAAAAATCCGAGATATACAAATTGTAGGCGCCCATAACAGCATGCAATCCACCAAGTTTAAAACCTTTCTGACAAACACTGCAGGCTGGACATGATTGCAAACGTTTTTAGGCTTGGTCAGTTAACTTGACCTGGTGACCTGACCTGACATGACCTGGGGTCAAAAATTTCACACATTGTCCAAAATTGATGTACCAAAAGCTACCCCAAGCGGCGCGACGCTACGCGCCGCGCTTTTTTATTCACACGCAAAAAACGCGACAGGGTGGTAACATTTGCCCCCCCCCCCCCACTGGGGCGAAGGTTAAAGTCGCTCAAAGCCTCAGGATCACTGTGTATGCACTCAGTAGCCCTCCAACTAAACGCGCCCTCCAACTAAACGCTACCCCTCCGAGCCCGGAGCCAGTGCTCGCACCATGACCGGACGCACTCGCAGTGGTGAGCTATTCCACTCTGAAGCCCGATGATTTTCTAAGAAGTGTGTTGACTCTTTGTCATGTGCTTGCTTTATATGCGTCAGCAAATACATACGTGTGATGAAAATATTTGAATCAATGCATAATTTTCTTAGATATCGTCACATGATGATGTAAATAATAAACCAAATTATTACAAATGCATTCAAATATATTCAAAAAGACACACAAAGCTTTCGGTTCATGGAACCTTGATCACTGTGCAAATGAGTATAACAATCGCTGTAACCGTCTAAAAATTCTTTGAAATTAAAGGGACCCTCCCACCTTAACATTAGATTTGAGTTGAGATAGCCAAAATGGGGTCCCTGGCTCACAATTACCGGTTTCGGCACTCACAACATCGAGAAATGCCTTAAATCAGAAATATTGAATTTCAAAATTGCAGCATTTTGATTCAGAGGGGCTAATGCTTAGGAATACCCCTCTGAATGTGTGACGTCAGCGCAGATATCTAACGATTTTTAAATGTTTGACTAAAACGTTTTGTAGCACGCGGTGGTATATGCTATTTGCGCGCAACATCTGCCGCAAACGCCGCACTTCTAAAATAAAGTCGCTAGAAACAGCAGAGATCCCAAAAAAGTAAACAAAAGTAAAAGTCTAATATCTTGAAGACCGGTGAATATTTTTCGGTGAAATTTGGTAGATATTCGTTTTCGCTCTTTCTGAACCGAGCGACATCACTTTCATGCCAATTCTTAAACTTTTTTGAAGGTGGGAGGGTCCCTTTAATCAGCCGCGTGTTTTCTGCTTCTGCTGGCCTATTTGCACAGTGATCAAGGTTCCGTGAACCGAAAGCTTTGTGTGTCTTTTTGAATATATTTGAATGCATTTGTAATAATTTGGTTTATTATTTACATCATCATCCAACCTGTCATGGATACTCAATATCGTCACATATATTTGATCATCTCGCTGGTAGCCGATACCCAGGGCGCTAGCAGCGCGGACGTGACGGTGACGTTGGCTGGGTCCGGAGAATTAGTCTTTGGTCACCAGCTCCCTTTGCTGTTCCGAAACCCGAGCCTAATGGTGGAAGTCTTATCGAAGTCGTGCCGCCCCCTGCTGCCGGCAGAGTGAGGACGACGGTGTGCTGCTCTCCGCACTCCTCTGGGCCCAGGGACAGGAGCGGCAGGTGGCGCTACTGGTGGTCGACGCCGTCTCCATGCGGGAGCTCGGCAGGGCCACCTTCCACACTGACGGACCCGTGCCCAAGTGTCTCCACGGCTGGTTCAAAGGCGACTCGGTCTGATCTCTAAATGGCCAGTTCAAAGACGACGGAATCTGGTCTCCCATACACGAAGGAGGGCCCAAGGGGGATTTATTTTGGCCTTTACACGGCTAGTTCAAGAGACTCGGTCTGATCACTGAAAGGCTGGGTCGAAGGGACTCAGTCTGATCTTTATACAGCCGGTTCAAGAGTTGTATGTATGTATGTATGTATGTATTGACTTCATGACAAACCATTCCATATACAAATAATGGCTATTCTTGGCGTCGAGTCCAAAAAGTAAAACACGGACGGATGGGAAAGTTCTAAAATGCACATACGAACATCCATACCACAAGCCACGCATCCCTGCACAGTACACATCACACATTGCAAGTTCAACTATTCACCATTCTGCACTCTCAGCAGATGGCTGCGGCAGTGGGCACTAAACTGACGAGGGCCCAGGTCGCGGAGATCCTGGGGCAAGGCATTGTACTCCGATACAGCCGAGTACAGGAACCGGCGGCGCCCGGACTCGGTACGTATTGCCGGTGTTTCAAGTGAGTCCGTCTGCCTTGTATCACGGCCGTGAATGCTTCCACGAGTCACAATTCTATTTCCCAGCGACTCCGGCTGCCCTGTGTGCATCATACGCTTCAACATGCTCAGTGAGTGATAGCGCCACAGGTTCTCCGCCGACAGCCACTGCAGCTCCCTAATGACATCACTTATATGATCGTATTTCCGCCGACCCGATATCACCCGAGCTCCAAAATTGATCAATTTCTGCAGCCGGGCCCGTTGCATTGCGCCACACACGCCGTATACACTGATGCAATAGCGTACGGAAGACATAACCAGCGCCTGCACCAGCGTAGTCAATGTCTCTCTCGAAAGGGCGTGCCGGCAGTGACTCAGCCCACTCAGAACACCTGTGCACCGGCGCGCCACATCAGTCACACATGATCGATGAACGTGAGGCTCTGGTCAAACGTGATACCGAGGTTTTTGACAGTACGAGACCCGTTAATGTTGGAACCCATGAAGCGAACCGTGATCGGTGGAAGGCTACGAAGACCTTGCTTAGTTCCAATTACAATTAATTGCGTCTTTTCTGCGTTGATTTTCAGTCCGTTTTTGCCAAGCCAAGTTGAGAGGGTGACCAGTTCCTAAAGGCTTGGTTCAATGGCGACTCAATTTAGTCTTTATACAGCGGGATAATGGAGACTGAATGTGGTCCCATACACGGATAATTTCGAGGTGACTGACTTCAGTCGGATTTCCACACAGTGGCCCCGAGGCGCTTCCTACAAGACTGGTTGGAATGGGCTGTGTGGCAATCTGGTCCCTACAGTGTTACATCAGAAGGTTATGAACCTAATTCGTATGCTTGATGTTGAACGTGCTTCACTGTTGTAGACTAGTCATTTGTGTAGTTGATAGGCTCATTTAAGATCATATTTGAACCATGTTGGCTTGAGCAATGTTGTTTGCTTGATCAATGTATCAAATAAAGGCAGAACGACACCAGAAAAGGCGGCACGTTAAATATAAAAGACATTTTATTCCAGTTTATAACATATGAGCGGACAAGTAACTATATGGTCGTGGCGAGACCCGGCTCTCCATTTCCGGAGTATGTCGTCATACCGGCCGCCATCTCTCTCACGGTCGGACTACACCAATACGATCGAAGGCACAACAGTCTCACCGAAAAATGGCACGTTCATAATCCCATTTGTGGGCCAATAGGACCCGTCGTCTCGCCCGCAGCAGGTCCGGGCTGCGGACAGGGTGGGCGCTTCATCCATCCTGGACCCATCCGCTACCGTATACGGTACTAAGGCACATCACTGGAAGACCAGACGTCGGCATAACGGCCCACTCAATAAAACACTATACGAATCACAAGCGGCGCGGCGGATAATTCTCTGATTGTGGAGCGGCGGCGCTGACTTGGCACAGGACTGCGACGTCACACGGCGTCACATTGCGTCACGCGGAATGTAGTCACACACGGCGGGCGTCACACAGTCGTTTCGTTACGTCTCGCCCCGGCGGGCGGTACCGGCAGCAGGTCCAGTTCGTTGTAGTACTGGTGGTGCGGCCGGCGCGGCGCGGCGCCCGCTCCCACCGGGTAGGGGGCGCTCAGTCCACCCGGTGGAGCCGGCAGCGCGACCGGACGAGGCACGGCTGTCCGCGGAAAACCGCCGCTGCTGCCGTGCCGACCGTTGGCACCGCGAGATAAACTGTTACCCCGCGACAAACTATTACCCCGCGACAGACTGTTACCCCTCGATAAACTGTTACCCCGCGACAAACTGTTACCCCTGGACAAACTGTTACCACCAGAAGGCAGCAGTGGGCCGTGGGGGCCCCCGTTGCGGGCCACCATGTGGTACTCGGGGTTGTCCATGCTGAAGGTGAAGGGTGAGGCTGCCTGGTCGAGCCGAGGACTGGCTCCGTCTGCTGGAGACACACAGAATGGGAATCCGTCTCAGTTGAGCATTAAGTAGCTCATGGAAAATTCAGCGCTGAAATGATTGTTAACGAACATCGGATATGCAAAGACGCGAGAAAAGTGATACGCTAAATGTGTATAAATAAGCTGATAAATTTTAAGGTCAACTGCCTACCTCCACGCCGTGGGTCGAATTTATCACTCACATGCCAATTCAACGCCTAAAATACTGGTTGCAGCGAACGGCATCGTTCACCTACTTCGTCCCTGGTCTCCGTACTCCTTGCTCGTCGTTCCTTCATCTCATTTCACTTTTTTCAGCACCTAGCCCTTCCGTTAACCCCACTGCCTGTTACCTGTAGCGCCCCACCATCCGCGCACTCACCAGAGTCCGGGTCGTCGCCGATCAGGTCCATGTAGGCCGGCGGTGAGTCGGCCGGGGTGCCGTTCGACGGCATGAGGTAGTCGTCCTCGTCCAGAGGCAGGTGTAGCGTCGTGCCGCCGCCAGCCTCGGCGCCCAGCATCGAGCCCGACTCGAAACAGTCGTCGTCGCCCATCTCACCTGCCGAGGAAAGAGATGCTGTCAAGAGAGGGTTCACGGTGGCGCTGGCATATAGTTAGCTAGGGGTACTGGTTATAGGTGTTAATGATCAGATGGTCCATAGCAGCTGCAGGTATCACAGTTGCGGTCATAAAAAGAGTGCATAGCAGCTGCGATGAACCTGACATCGCTAATCAAATGACAGTGGCACGATGTGACATTGGGTAACCAACAGTGTTACCGACGAGTTGTCGATACTGCCACTGCTCGGTTACAGTTAAATAGCCCATTAAATAAACCCTCGTTACCCAATAAAATGCCTACATCACACAACGACCGATCCCTCTAATCCATTGTTTGTCGCTAGTCATAGAGTGGTCTTCAGTTGCCTATCCAATAGTGTCTGTAAACCGATGCCCAACCGGTAGCTACGTTTACCCACCGAGCACCCTTTACTCACCGAGCGAGCGATGCAGGTCGTTATGCCGAAAAGACCCGGCCGACCCGGCCCGCCTCCGACCGGCCTCTTCGTGCGTGTGTCGCCTCTGACGCGTCCTCAGCGAGCCGTTTCTACTGGCGTCCAGCGCTCCGAGCGAGCCGATCGCGCCGCTGCCGACCGAGCCGAACCCTGTACCGTGGAGGCCAGCCGGGTGCAGGTACTCGCTGGCAGCCATCAGCACGTCAGCCGGGCTGTCCAGAGCTGAGGCTGCTAACGAGCGCATCAGCTCCCTCTCATCCTGTGGTGGGGAAAGGAGACAGTCAGACGCACTGGCACACATCGCGCAGTGTTGGAATAGCGGTACTTGCGGACAATGCATGGACAGGATATGTCCAACCAGGCCTGCAGTCAGCCGGTAAGAGTGGAAGGAGGAAAGCACACCTTTCTGGCTACCAACGCCTAGGTGTGAATGTGTACGCGTGTGACGCTTGGCGGGATCAATTCATCAATTCATATTGAAATAATTGTCGCTATAGGATAAACCAAGCGGCGATCACGAGTTCACTGCACTATAAATGACCGACCAAGGCGAAATGTTTGCGACTGAAGTCCGTAGAGACCGCAACGCCCTGTTCCAGGATAGCACAGTGCGTTTTGATAGAGGAGAATGACCCTAAATAGAGACTGATCTATTGTTTGTTTAAGGGCACGATCTAACACATCGGGTATGTGTGATCGACATGGATGAAAGATTGGCCCGCTGTATCTGCCTAGCCTGCTCTGCGTAAATGATTGCCCTGGTGTATCGCTAACCTGCGGGGTGTAGGATGGTAGCCTCATCAGCCGGTCGCCCGGTATGACCAGGTACCGGCCTGGGTCGCTCGACATTTTGGCGAACTCGGCAGTCAGCTCGCGGAAGTTGGGCCGCGAGTCGGCGTCGAGCATCCAGCACTTGATCATGATCATGTAGACCTCGATGGAGCAGGAGGCGGGTTGGGGCAGCCGCTCGCCCTTCTCCAGAAGGTCGGGTACGTCTTTGGCGGGTACGTCCTCGTACGGCCGGCCGCCGTAGGTAAGCAGCTCCCAGACGGTCACACCTGGGAGGCCAGGCCAGAAAACGGTCACAGCACGGTCACACCTGGGAGGCCAGGCCAGAAAACGGTCACAGCACGGTCACGGTAAAACCACCGAAACTATCAGAGGTGATACCTCCCAGACGGTCACACCTGGGAGGCCAGGCCAGAAAACGGTCACAGCACGGTCACGGTAAAACCACCGGAACTATCAGAGGTGATACCTCCCAGACGGTCACACCTGGGAGGCCAGGCCAGAAAACGGTCACAGCACGGTCACGGTAGGTAAAACTACCGGAATTATCAGAGGTGATACCTTTCCGAAGTCGAAACAGACATAGCAAGGCGACAACAGCATACCACAAGACACTGACCATAGTCACAATACGGTTGAAACTTTCAAGTTACAAATTTTCAAGTTACGAATCAGACCACGATCACACGCTCTGAGATTACTCATTCACGTTTACGTCACCTTGCAAATCAAGGAGTACAACATCCCGGTAGCCTCGTTTCACCACCTATGTATGTTGTACATACATATCAGCGCACTGCCACTTACCGAATGCCCAGACGTCGCTCTTGTGGTTGAAGATGCGGTGCTGGATGCACTCGAGCGCCAGCCACTTGATGGGCATCTTCCCGCCAGCTGCTTTGTACTCCTCCTCGTTAATATCGAGCAGCTTGGCCAGCCCAAAGTCGGTGATTTTCACCAGGTTGGGTGTCTGCACTAGGACGTTCCGTGCCGCCAGGTCCCGGTGAACCAGTCTCCGGTCCTCCAGGTAGGCCATGCCGCGCGCGATCTGCGTGCACCAGTTAAGTAGGGGCTTACTACCGATCTTAGTGCGGTTGTTCCTCACGTAGTCGACCAGACATCCGAGCGGCATCAGCTGCGTCACCAGCATCATCTGGGAGGTCATGCAGACGGCCAGCAGCGGCAGCAGGTTCTTGTGCTCCAGAGAGGCCATGATGTAGGCCTCTTCCAGAATCTCCTTGTTGGTGTCTGCTCCTGTATCCTCGCGAAGAACCTTGATCGCTACAGGAATCTTGACGTTCTCTCCCTCGGGCACCCAGACTCCACGGTACACTGTGCCGAACGCACCGAACCCGAGAATGCCTCCCTTACGGAGCTCAGCCTCCTTCACAATACGCAGCATGGCCATGTTGGGTTTCACGTTTGTGACTTCAATCGGCTCCAGACCCTCCTTGCTCATCAGCATTTCCATGGTCATCTGCTGTCGCTTCCTGTCCGTGCGGCACTTGCAGACGATGCAGATGATGACGACCAGCAGGATGACGACGGTGACGACAACCGAGACGATGACGATCGTGATGCTCTCATCCGAGCTGTAGTCGGCCCCCGCTCCCATCTCGGCCGAACAGAACGGGTCGCCGCCGTCGGACGGAAACAGCTTGTGCGGGTGACTCGGGGGACACTGGGCCGTGCAGTTGAACAGTGGGCTGCCGTCAGGACCATCCTCGTCCTACCGGGGGACGAGCGCAGGTCAGTGGTGAGTTCAGACCAACATCAAACAATGACGACAGCCAGCCTGCTGATGATACAGGCGCGAGTTACTGAATGACGAGTAGTCAAGATATCCTGCACAGCAGCGACCACAACGCAAAGTGTATGGTTGGGCATCATAAATTAGAGAAGTGCTATATCATGTCTTTCATACAGTGCTCCTACTCAGCCAGCTGAACGGTTTACCACTCACAAATTGAGTCGACCTCGTGCTATTGGCACACCGGCCGTTTACTAGTTGCAGTCCGGCCTGACTGAACAAAGACACATCGGTCTCTTACTATTTTACCAGATACCATCCACCCACCGGATGGTGAGGACATCAGCCACAACTCAAAACTTCCCCATGTCTCACTCTTACCAGGTAGATGCGGTAGTTTCGGCACTCCTTGCACATTTGCCCGGGTCCGGTACAGCCGTCACACTCGGCCGCGCACCGGATACACTCGTGAGTGTCCTCGTTCGAGTACGAGCCCTCCGGACATTTGTCCTCGCACTGCTCTCCGTTCCGGTAGTGCACGCACTCCTGGCATACAAGCACGTGAAACCTGATCGCCGGAGAGAGGGAGAGGGTCGTCAGTAAGGTGCTGACTGCTGAGCCTCTAAGAAGCTTAATTTCTATGCTGTTAGCGATTACAATGCGCAAAAATGTAATCGGACATACGGTTCACGTACCAAATGCTCGCCACTCGTTTGTAGAAGAAAGCTAGCCAATATGAGAAAGAACTTCATTTAGCAATGCTGAGGCCATACAAGGCGCGTTACAACGCTACCAGGTCTGGCTGGTGTCTATCGATTTACAATTTCGTGACCGAAACAAACACAATCATCACAGACAGTTTGTGATGAACGGGGAGATAATGTGAGAACTCTGCGGCAGAAACACTCACCCGTATCCAGTGCAGGTCTTACAGCGATGATGACACTTCTTACATAATTTCCAGGCCAGCGACTCCATCCGGCCTTGTTTCTGTGATCGAGCGTGGTCGCTGAAGTGCCCGTCGGGACAGGTCTCGTTTGCGGCCAGACAGCGCTCCTGTGGGCGAGACGCCTGTTCTCAGCGCGGTGCGGAGCCCGCAGACAGGCCGGCCGTGGTCGACGGACGGCGCGAGACACGGCTTCGGGTACCGGCGACATGGTGCTAATCCCTCCCCCTCCCCGGCCCCCGTCCCGTCCGCAAGCAGAGAGTCTCTCCCCACTGCTCGGTACCAATCGAGCCGCTAATGCGGACAGAGACCCATTTCTGGTCAAAGCCACCGAGCATAAACAAGGGCGAAGCCCTACACGGTGTCAATCCGTACCTTCCTGCAAAACAATACGGTACATACTTAACTGCAAACGTTCCTGCGCTTCGGCACCAGTGACTGATAGAGAAATGTCTAGCCTAGTTTAAAGATTGTCAAATAAATCCATATCGTGCACGGATAAGGTGCCATCGAGTGGAGCGGGTCAGTCACAGTCAGGTGAAGGGTCACTGGGTGCAGCCGCCGGAAAGGGAGGGACGGGCAGGCGCAGTGGGGCGGGTCGACACAGCGGGCGGGTCGGCACAGCGGGCGTAGTCGGCGGGCCAGTCTTCCAGGCGCCGCCTGTATCGGCTCTGATCGGGGCGGTGGAGCCGGCCGGCCCTCCGCCCCGCCCACCGCCTCGCCACCGCCCACCGCCCCGCCGCTCGGCCAGCTGATGCCGCAGCTGATACCGAGTCGTAATGGATGGCGTGACTAGCTGGTGCCTCCCCCGCCGCCGGTGGATACTTACCCTCAGGAGGCCGCGACGCGACGGAATGCAGCGAAATGGGAACGGTGCGAACAGGGAGAGGCACCGAGTGGAGAGAAACGGGCGGAATGGAATGAGACAGGACAAGATGAGATGAAAGGTACGCGATAGTCGAACGGCGTTACATGCAGGAGACTGGATAGCTGGGGGAAATGGTCACCCTATCTGGCGGTTCACTCACCACTCGATCGTTCTCGTCCAACACTGCCGTGTGGCAGCGCACACAGCCGCCCTCTCCGACCGTGTTATTAGGGCCCGAGCAGCCGCCCAGACAGTTGGGGTGGCACGGCAGGCACACGCCGGACGCGTTGTATTTGGCCTCGGGGCACTTTTTGACGCAGTAGGGACCGTCTTTGACGTGTCGGCAGCTGCCGGTACACTGGTCGGGTCCACCACCCGTGCACGGCCCGTCGCACTCCGGGTGGCACAGATCGCACGTGTTTAGCGATGACTTGTACATGCTGGCGGAACAAATACGAGGGGCGTCAGTGGACGCGGCAAGCCGTTCGGACGTGTTGACGCCGACCGACTAGAGGGGTCATCGGGCACCGGAAAGGAGGGAGACAGCCACCGAACAGCTGTGCACAGAGCAGCTGGGTAAAACACAGCGTCATCCACAGGAGTTGCCGGGATATCAATACGAAAAATCACATAGGGTTAACACAAACTAGAGCAATAAACACTCAAGACGGAGTACGGACACATGATAGGCACGCATTATCTTCACCATGGAGCATGCAGTGATCATATAACGTAGTCTGTGACAATGTGCGAACGCATTACGTACCCTCGCGAGGTGTCGCATCGCTCTACGCAGCGGCGGCCGACCTGGAAGGCGCGGCACTTGAGGCAACTGTCTGGGCCGGGACCCCAGCAGCCGTCGTCCGTGCACTGCTCGTGGCAGACGAGCCCGCTTGCCGCTGAAACCCACCAGAAGGAGCAAGTCAGAGGATGGACGGTAGGCTTCGGGCTGAAAAGTCGTCAGCCTGTTTGAGGAAGTTGTTATGTAATGCCACTGATATGGCTGTGGCAATGCTAGTGCCTTTTGTCAACGAAGTTATATAAAAGGATTTGCATGCTACGGTTTTTACATTAGTTTAACCACCCAGGATACTGCGTGCTTATGATAGCAACGCCTACGATTACGCCTCGTATTTCGCATTAATTCACTATAAAGGCACAATATGTAACTCAAAAGCAAAATCATCTTATTATAATAGCACCATCATATACGCCGCAAAGATTACTCACCGCAACTGGAGGAGTTTCTATTCTTCTCCACCATGACGTCGTAGGAAGCCTGCGACTTCTGGTCCCGCGAGATGAACGTGCCCCAGTTGATACCGTCTGCGAAGCAGAGGTCGCTGTTCTCCACAATGAGCACACCACCGGATCGAATCTTCTGCAGCGACTTGAGCCGCAGTGACTGTAGTGACGTCTTGACGATGTAAAGCGCCGTGAAGTACTCGTGCAAGAACCGGCCACCGATCACCTGAAGTCGTCGCAGAAAGCCCAGGTCGAGGAACTCCTCGTGGTAGGCGTCGATGTTGACATATCCGGTGATCTCCTGAACATCGCTGAACACTTCCAGCCGTCGCGGGTGCAGCCGAGGGTGGTGGGGTCCAAAAGTGTAGTTCTCGTGGATCTCCTGAAAACCGTCGAACGAGTGCTGCAAGATCTGAAGCGAACCCTGCAAGATCGTGCAGTTGCGGAAGCGGTCAATGTTTCCAGCGTGGATAATTTCGGATTTCTTCACCTTGCACGTCTTTGGGCAGGGTCCATCACAGGCGACGCACTCGCCATTTTTGGCCTTCTTGTTCGGGGGACAGGAGCGGACGCAAGCGCTGCCGTCAGTCAGCAGGTGTTCGGGACACTCCTTGACGCAGGTAGCACCGTACGCGAACTTCCCGTCTGGGTTCGGTTCCCACGAGTACTTGATCGAGTTGTAGCGCATCATGGATGGACACTCCTGCTTGCAGATACCGTTATCGTAGAAGTTGCGGCAGGCCAGGCAGTCCGACTGGGTGGGTCCCGTACAACCACCAGCACAGAACAGATGACAGCACTGACGCGGCTCCGGGCCAAAGCAGCGTCCTCCGTAGCACTGCGGCGAGCAGTTGATCTTGCTCAGTCTCTGGCAGTTTTCGCGTCCCGGCCCCCAGCAGCCGCCACTGCAGGACGGGTCGCAGCCGGGGCACTGGCGCTCTGGCTGCGTCAGGTTGTAGTGGTAGACAATGTCGGCGCCCGGACCGGTCAGGATCTCCGTCCAGTTGATGGACTTGATGTGGCAGAGGTTGTAGTTGTCGAAGACGCCAGCGTTCCCCGCCAGGACATCTGCGGGTCGGGAGAGTGGCGTCACAAAGGTGTACGGTACCGAGTCGGCCCGGGACGAAAAGGTCCGTTAATATCCATCGACCACTCGACCCTCGTATTTAACCACTCAAGGAGGAAATCAACCTCATGAATGTGAGAAAGCTAGGGCCCTCCCTTAGCCTTCTTCCTTACCTCTGAGTGCCGGCATTTCCAAGCTGTACATCTTCGACATGGTGACAATAAGAGAGAATTCGTCATCCCAGACGTTCAGCTTGAACAGTGTCCTGCCGCGGATGATTTGAAGTGAAGGCAAGACGAGACGTGGCACGTCAACAGAGGCGATCAGAACGTACCCCGTGACCTGCCGAGAACAGAGAGTGATGACGTCAGATGAGCACGGGAGACAAGGGGTGGCCGTGGAAAGATATGGCAGGGAGGGAAAGAGAGAGAGAGAGAGAGAGAGAGAGAGAGAGAGAGGGGGGGGGAGCTGGAGAGAGGAAGGGAGAAAGGGAGAGAGAGATGGAGGGAGACAGAAAGAGAGAGAGAGAGAGAGAGAGAGAGAGAGAGAGAGAGAGAGAGAGAGAGAGAGAGAGAGAGAGAGAGAGAGAGAGAGAGAGAGAGAGAGAGAGGGAGGGGAGGGGGCACAGACGGGATGGGACGGACGGGACGAACTGTCAGACGGGGCAGACGGGCAAAATAACCGTAACGCGGTAAAAATGTTTGAACATAATAGGAGGGACAGATAAGACAAAGATGAAACGGATGGGATATGCAAGGAGACCTGCTGAACGGGACGCGGGTAGTTCGACGAACGGTGGGCAGGAGCAGTCTGGACGAATGGAGAGCAGACAGTTTTACCGCCTCCCATTCGGGCACTACTGCTACAACTAGCTTGAATGGTCGAAATGGGCCGGTCTGTCGAATCACAGGTCTATAACGTACACAGAGGTGCAACACAAAGTCCATTACCTACAGCACACCGAGTGATAGGTAAGTCTAATTCAAAGTGTTCCGGAGTCAAGAACAGTAAAATCGACACTTTCGAGCGGTGTTGAATCGAAATAGAGGTCATTCAGTGACTACTGCTAACGCTACAATGTCACTAAAATGACGGGGGTGACGGAGAAGGGCGAAGGATAACCCATCAGCCTCAATTCTCCGTCCTTAGTAGCTATAGTGCTCGTACATCATCTCCGGCGCAGTGGCTAATCCGCTGCACCGCCTGCACCGCTGCCGGCTGACCGATGTGGTCTGCCGCCGCCCACCAGAGCCGGTCATACGTCACACTCAGCCCGGTCTACTCAGCTGCACCGGTCCCAAACCAGCCTCCCGGCGCGACACCTCCGCTGGAGCGCACACTTTGCCACCCGGCGGCGGATTCGGACAGCGGCGCCCGAGCCGGCCTCGGGCCTCGGAGAGGGCAAGTGGTAGGTAACTGCAAACACTCCACTCCTCTCTGGACCCACAGCGACGTCTAGCCAATCGACCGCCGAGGAGAGAGACGCCGCCAACCGTCACACGGAGGCTCGGCCAGGGAACATCGAGATATTTCCAGTCACTGCGGCCACTGCGGCCTGAGTCAACACGACAGACTCACGTGCACTCTATCAGAGGACTCCTCTCACGTCAGAATGACTCGCTGGCGGCCGTGTGCACTGTGCAAACAGGTGCCGTTTGAGGCGAGCACGTCGCGCTGCACTGAGACAGCCAGACGCGGTGGCAGCGGCCGGGCGGAGCGGGCGGGACGAGCGGAACGGCAGGGTGGGCCCCGCCCGCCCGCCGGCGTGGCCGCGTGTTGGCACAGGTGGACCGGCGGAAACGGTCGGCACTTCTTCGGTAGTCGCAGGTGACAGGCGATAATGAAGCGGACAATAAAAAGTAAATCGTTCAGCAAAAGGTAACTTCTTTAAAAAAAACGTTGACCCTAAGATCTCTCCAGCAGAGCAATTCACAAAACTGCAGATTCATACAGGTTATGACTTTCGAGTGAAGAATGAATTTTGATTTTGTGAAAGGATTTAAGCAGTTTTATCAATTTAAATCAAGCTAATTGTGTCAAGCATTCTGTAATTGTGACCATTATCAGAGTGTGAATGTGACACAAAGTTTGTCATGCGGCTTCAGCAGTTTTTTTTGCACAATCCTTTATGTTTCGTGCGCATTAAGCAATCATTTCGCATAGGTAGCAACTACTTGAGAAAGCACTTTATTTTCCAAAACATCCGTTACATCTATAGAGAAACGTTCTAACTTCTAAACACAAACAAAATTTACAGTAAAAAAAAACTGAAAATTTCGGGTTTAAACGTCTCCAAGAGTGCAAACGGCCTATAATTAATCAGCCTTTCAGCTCGCTATGACTGCATTTGTTACGAATCGCGTTAAGCATGGGCACGAAGTACAGACCACCTGATATTGCTCGCGCGGTGCGAGCGGCCGTCTAGAGCGTGTTACAGCCGAGGCACCGAATACGATTTAAACTGAACGTTTAGCGTGCCACTGTTTCACCTGAACTGAGGACCGTTACGGCCTCCGCAGAACGGTGGCCGCTGGCGTGGAACACGGTCATACATGGTATGAACCCTCACTGAGCGGAGCCCATATCGCGTGCCCTGCACCTGATCGCCGAAACCAAACTGCCGCGGCATTTTTCGGCATTTTCTCCATGTTTTCCGCACGTGTTAACGGTATGTAAGCCACTATCAAGCTGTAGAGATAGTGGAACGTAATGCCGCTTTGCGTCTGTACCTGTCGTCTTATATAAGGAAGGTGAGCTATTCCTACAGCCTTCAGCTTCAGCCTTCAGCTGTCGAATGGTATCGGCACGGTGGGTATTCCGTTGGACTGTAGGCCCAACTCTTTTTCAGTTCGGTCACACTCAGCCCTCATCCTTCGTCGTTTGCTATTGAAAATTATGTAATCGCTTGGCATCACAGCTAAAAAGCACCTATACACATACTGTAAGCCGCGAGGGATACATAGAACGTTATGCAAACGTTACGTAAACGCAAACGTTATGCATGTACATATGTATGCCCCCAAGGCCCTAAAACTACTACACCTGTCACCTACTTATAGGCCATTTGTACATTAATTAAAAGCACACATTAGAAAGGTTCCAAATTTTATGCATGGCGATTTCTCTGGAATTAACGCTGAAATTAAATATACAGAGTCCGATGATTTCCAGTAGCCACTCACCTCTCTGATGTACTGGAGGAAGCTGAGGTCGAGACTGTCGTCCTGTAGCCACGTCAGCTCCAGGTTACCGTCCACATAAGTGCAGTTGGTGTAGCGATCCTTGAGGTTCTCGTAGTGGGTCGTCCGGTTACCCGGTACAGACATCCGCCCGCTGGTGCCGATACAAACTGGGGACGAGAGGCGGAGTGGGGTGTTAGGCGGGAGTACACAGAAGACGGCCGAGAGGCGGGTCTTGGACGCATCCCCCATCCCTTCCATCTCCGAGTCTTCATCAAACCGGCAGCGGCCAGCAAAACCCACACCCACCGCAACGCTCCCACATCCGTGAGGTCACCTGGCTATCCAATTAGCTTCCGTGGCGTCACTCAACCAGCCACAAATACAAAGTGACGTCACTATCACATCACCAGGCGCACAACAGAGCCACGTGTGGTGGCGTCATTGGCAAGTGGCAGCACTGATGCAAACAGTGCGGAATATCTGCACGCAGCCCCTCGTGGCATGCAAGTGTAGGTGTAACCTCAGATAAGTCATGATATAAAGGAGGACCTGCGCCTGTTGCGCAATAGAAACGAACATACATAGAAAAGAGGTTAGTTCACCCTCCTTGATGCACTGAAGAGCTCAACCATATGACACGATTTGGCTGCCAGTCATGGCGAAATATACAGAGCTTGCAAACTTGGAACACATGAGGCTATCCTATATCAATAAGAAACATTCAACAAAATAAGTAGAGCCATTAGATAGTGACAACAAAACGTAAAAAGTTGCAGCTGCAGTTTCGAGCCCAGCCAGCTTATGGTTAGATAGAACCTTATTTAAAACTCACATCCGCACTGCCACTCAATTGAAAAAGGGTAGCGTCGATACCGTTTGTTGCTACGATCTCAAACCGCGAAGACTGTATTGAGGGACGGTCGGAGCCTAGCTTTACTGCAGCCTCAGATCCGTACCACTGCACGGTCTTGCCGAATACCAGATTAGCGCGAATTTAATCAAAAACCCGACTTTCGATAAACTGTTATTTATACCTATCAGTGGGTAGGAAATTGTCTGAAGTTATCGGATAGAACCTTATTTTTAAGCCACTTTACCATTTGAGGACTTATATCCCTGCCGAAAGTAGACCCACGCTCCGGTTCCTAAAATCGGGCTATGGTACTGATAAATATGTCCAGTTTTCAACGTAAATTTTACGGAAGTTTCGAGAAGATATATGAGAAAATAGCATATCACTGGATAGCACAATTCATGATGAAGCTGTTTCTGCTATCATTGTAGCTTTTCAATGCATGGTTTTTGAGTTTAATGAGTTACAACAAGAGCCCTGCATGTGCATCGTTCTCACGATAGTATTTAATAAAGAAGTTGAAAAATGTCAAAATGGATAAAAATGGATATGACGAATAGGGCATGGCTGAACTCATCGCACCTTTCTGAACATAAGCGAGCAAGTTTCAGCTGCCAGTTTTTGCCTATTTGCCGTCAACTCAGCTTTGAACATGTCTAGTCGGCCGCCCTATGTGACCTGACCAAGGTCGGGGGCGGCGCGGCCGGATAGGCTCCAGCCTAATAAACTATCTCAAGCACACGAAATCGTGATTTCATGCACTCCTTGCAAGGTCCGATGCTTCACTTATGCATTGTTGGTCTTACGTGACGTCATTTATGACGTCACTAGGGTAATAAGAGTTTTTCGTCAATAACTCCCGATTAAATTGAGCTAGCGAGTCGAGAAAGCCACCAATGGACTCAGGAAGACTTGCCGAATCGAATGATACGCGACATGACCTCCTTCAACCAACTTCGTGATCTGGAGGATTCTGACCTGACCTTGACCCAAGGTCAACACCTTAAGTTAACTTCAGCCGAACAAAAAGTATACCATTCGACGCGCCTGAGTGAGGCGAACATGATGATACCAAAATTGCGGCTCTGCGGCATTTTTTCGCGAAGTTATTAATAAAAAACGAATCCGCGCCTGGGTCACTTGACCTGACCTCAGAGGTCACAGGTTGGCCTGAGACCTTAAAATCGGATACCAGTCGCTGCGTCTCGTAACGGCGTACACGCTCGTTTTTTTTTCCGCGGGGCTCTAGCTCCATCAGGGGCGAAACAGCGACGGGGGTCGTACCCCCCCCCCCTTCGACCGGCGCGTATTTTGAAAACCAATAAGTCCGGCGAAAGGTAAGTGTCAGTTTTGGAACCAGAGAACCATTTTCAGTGGATCCGAGCGGCGCTGGGATTAAATTCGCGCTAAACTGGTGTTCGGCCACACTGTGCACTGTGGTGCGTCACTCGGGCTTCCAGCCAGCTTTCCATCAATTCGTTACCTTCACTTGCTAGTAGGTATACAATTAGGGATTATATTGCATAAAAATTGGCAAAATGCACGCAACACAACATAGGTATCAAATAATAGAATTAGATAAAATAGTAAAACATAATTAAATTACATTACATTAATACTGAGAGTTAAATATGCAACACAATTAGAGGCATGCGACCGCCGGATGCGATTTCGGAGAGTGGCTCGGTTGATTTGCCGCAAAGTGCGCTGTTCGCCCCAACTGTGCCACGACCGCACCAAAAGGGCGGCCACTGCTCAGTGTCATACGCCTATCGTCCCGACATCTGGGGCGGCGCGTCCAAAACCGTCCGCGCTGCGATGCAACGATACGCCTTGCCGCCAAATAGGCGCCGGTTCCGAACAGCGTCGGTCATACTCATATTGCACACATATGGTCCTATGACTGATGGAAGGTAGGTATTATTTTATCAGCTCTCAGTCCAAGAATACACCAGTCTACTGATACGTCCAAGGTATAATTATATGTACTGGAATATATTCGTCGACCGTTCGAACAATAAAATCCGTCGGTCCGATGCTACGTTTTGGCGGCTCTTTTGATTACACAGCAGTCAGTTGGATGCCTTTTATTGGCCCATGGTTAAACTGGTTCCATTTATAACACACTGACCTTACACCACTGGACGTTCCATCCGCGGGTCTCGGTCCAACAATTCACTAGCCGCTCCCGTCCCATGATATCATGCATAGCTTCGATCCAAACAGGCACGTTCCGATCGGAACCAAATGATTGACCTTTCCTTTAGGAGCAAACTCGTTACTCAATGCTCATAGCTCATAAAAAAGGAAGCATGAGCTATGCATTCAGTGTCAGTAGAAAAATAGGACATGCATATAAGAGCGTGCCCGTGGCGGCTCCCCGCGTGCCTCAGTGACGTCACTGCCGGTCGAGATGACGGCTCATGGGCACAGTGTTGGTACACCTCTGGGAACAGCGTGACACAGGGATGTGGAGCGGTCGCCGGGGCGGGCGAACAGCGAGCGGCGCGGCGTGTGAACAGAGCAGCCCGCCGCGCATCTCAATGGCCGTCATTTACATTGGATCAGATGCAGCCGGCTACCGGCAGTCCATCAACGAGAAACTGTCACCGGCTACATATCAGCCGCTCTCCGGCAAAGCCACATGTTTTCTGCAGGCGTCGGCGGGTAGAACACTGATTTAGTCTTGTCGTCGATAATTCTGACACTGTTCGCGGTGGACAGCTGACAGCCGTGACGTCATCGATGCCATCTCGACATTCCGTCTGAGAGACGTGACAGTGGCAGTCGGACATTTCTCAATACATCTCAGACGGGCACATGCATTGCAACAAGGATACAGGATTGGTCATGTGCTCATAGACCTAACCCACGCGCTCAGTGATACAGAGATAAATCTAAAATATGCCAAAAGAGAATGAAACAAATACAAAACTACATCAGTCACAACCACGAATGTATTGCGCATGTGTAATGGTGCATTCTCCTTTCGAAGCCTGCATTTGTTCGTGGCTAGTAAAGATGAAGCCCAATTAGTTGTATTTTACTCCAATGGTTCTGACTTCTGATCAAGTAAGTTGATAAATGACTCGTAAATAATGCTAATGAGCACCCATATCAATTTGTGGCGATAAAAATAGGTACCTAAGCATGCAATATCGTCACATGAGCCTAGCACCACGCAACCAAGAATATGTTATACAGTGGTTGAGTTTCTAAAAATTACATTTGAAAAAATGCACTGTATGTGCTCATTTCTCCTGATTAGGTACCGTGGTTACCTAATCCATTTTGAATACCTAATTAGGTTTGCCTTCCTTATAATCACAGCACAAACGGGCAACAAAAGTGCTGCCAACTCGCGGGACACTTTAAACGGTCATTTCGGCTGCATGCCATCATAAATCGAAAACAGTAAAACAGACGATTATAAAACACATTCCGAGGCTTGCTAAGCCTGCAAAAATGTTCATGCCTGTAACAGGGATGCTAACTATTAAACCCGTGCCTTTTTGTGCTCATTACAACTAACAGACAACGTTATGCAAGCCTGTCTTTATGGCGAGTAACATTGGCACGCTAATGTGTTCAAATGTCGACCTGTTCGCCATCGCGGATACGATTACTCATTATCACATACAGTCGTGAAAGAACGCCAGCGCTCGTCCAGAGCTCACATTCCGTGGTCTGGCATTCCTCATCTCTGAAGCCAGCAATCCGGCGGCCCTTTACCGCGGATTCCATCGTGGCGACACTTTTTTCAGCGGTAGCGACAGAAGATCCTCTCCCCACAGGCCAGTCAACTCACCACAGCAATTTTTTCCGACAACGTTCCCAGAACAGGGCAAGCGACGAGCTTAGAAGTAATTAAATATTATAACAAACTTATAAATTTATACAAATGTACACTTTATTTTAAATAGTTGTGCGCCAGGTTTCAAATGTGTTCCAAAAATGGGCTGCTTTGTAATATGTAAGTGTGTCTGAAGCTGTATCTCTATAAATGCCTTTGTCAAAGAGTCGCACGCCGAACACAATGCTATTAACTCCAGCACAGGACAACAAACCGCTGTTTTTTCAGTTGCACTCCTGGGTAAAACGATGGCTGCAGGTGATATCGCTGCATGTGGCATGTGCATTATGACAGCGCACGTCACGATTCTATTTACAAAATGCACTAACGAAGCCGATCTGCCGGATCGGACGGCGGTGTCGGCCGGTGCCGAGCTCCGAGGGTATGCCATCCTTTCACCGGCACCAGTCACCGGCCCGTCGAGTGCTCAGTGCTCACCCGAGCCGGGCAGACGCCATATT